TTCATCGTGCGAGATTGAAGTTGATGAATTTTCACTTTGGGGTGAAGAAGAAGTGAAGAAGTTTCTCATGTGGAAATATTGCAATTCACAGTATTTTAGAGCGACACAATAAAATAATGAGGGCGAATTTGCATTTTGTACCGCCTGAGATGCTTCTGTGTATCGGAAAAAGTGTATCGTGATGAAGGGCTTTTTCACTTTACTGTCATTGAGTATTTTTCCCCGAGTCACTCTCGGGGGGTGAAAGGGGTGGTTTTGAGGAAAGTTTCCCATCTTGATGGAGAGCTTTGCAACACCCAAGAATGCGGGAAGTTTATTTGGGAGAATCTTGATAATAATCTTAACTCGATTTTGCCACGCTGAAGTGTATCAAATGCTGGAGAAAGTAATTAAAACACCTCTTTCTGGGGAGAGACAGAGTGGCAAACTAATGAATTCTGCGAGCTGTTCTGATGCACAGATTTAAGCTTTTAAAGAGTCAACACTCCACATTTAAATAAATTATTGGGATTGTGTGATGTTTCGAAAAATTATCTGGTGATAAAACAATAAGCGCGCAGCACGGGAATTAATTTGTTTGCATAAATGATTGAACAGAGCACATAAAATCTCTGCGAAACATGTCGTTTTTCACTGGGTGGCTGACCAATAAATTCTGCATTAATAAATGGCGCGGCTTTGTTAGAATTATCATTTTCACAATTTCCTGTGGCGAAACAAACGGCACTGCATGCGAGAGCCTGTGAACTGAATCGATCATAATTAGATGAGAATTACTGAAGCCTACATTTTGTCCATTTCACTGGCAATTATAACTCTTGATGAATGCATTTCACAACATATTACATCGCATATGAGATTTTCAGTTGAACAATTTCCCTTTCGGCAATTAAAAAAGCAGCACTGGCAAATCGACATTTTGGCAAAATGTGCAAGATTTGTGTGTGTTTCGAGTTCTATGTTACCAGAAGGATTATAATATCTCTTCTGGGAAATGCTAATGTGGTTTCATCATCCTAGTTACATTTTCTGCATGGTATTTACATTAAATCCCACAACAAGATGTTTAATTATCAACAAAAGACAAATTACTGTGCAAGAAAATTGGAATATAAGTTTCAGCTTACCAAGTTTCATCATGAAATTCCATTTGATTTTCATCTCACTGAATTCCATTCGTATGATACATCCAGTTATTCAAGAAGGGAAACTTGAAAGTTAAATCAAGAAATGTTATTTAGATATATGGGAAACTTTCGCCCTCTTCATTTTATTCTACACTTTGTGTGTCGGGGAAAATGAGAAAGTTCCGTCCATCCACAATTTAATTACTCTATTGAGAGATATTGTTGAGATTTGAGATTTGTTCTGACACTAGTTTCAAGATTAATCCTCGAACAAGAGACTGGAGAAGATGCAATGTCTTTATGCGCTTGAAGAACTTTCTCATTTCCTCTCCAAACTATCATTTAATCATAGAAAAATGAATTGCCGGAAGACATTCAACTTCCGACAGTGGAGAATTACGATTGAAGAATGGGGAAATTAAAAAAAATGCCATTTCAAATGCGACCATTGCAGTGAAAACCCAACAATGACGATGAGATGCTCCACTGTAATTGGTATCTGTTGTTTCACCCGAGAGACTCTGGTGAACAAGCGTGCACTTGGGAGATGGAGAAGAGACCGAAATTGCCTCGGACAGAAGCTCAAGAGCCTTCAGGTTTCATCAAAATTTGAGGCTGTTTCCGATATCAATTGAATGCTAATGAGACAGACAAAACATGAGATTGCCGATTATCTTCCACCTGTCGAGCTTCACAATGCCAATATTCATTAGACGTGTTTGCTGATGATTTTCCGGGAAATTAATAGGTGGAAGTTCAGCATCTGTAAAGTTGGGGAGCGTGAGGGGTGAAGATGTTAAATCTCTCAGCACTATCAACGCTAACGCTTGAATGATTAATTCCCTCCCTTATTATTATCATTCGTAAATAATTCATTAATCCATCAGTTCCACATTTTTCACGGTGATTATACTACACACGAAGTATAGCGCACAGGTTATTAGAAATTCCATTGTTTTAGCATATATATGTATTATCTAGATAAAGCTTATCAAGAGGAAATGGATCCATTAAGCTTTTAAAGTTGGCGAGAACCTTAATTCCAAAGGTTTTTCTACTCTTCAAAGCGTTTGTATGTGAAGTTAATGCAAAATTCACTACTAAATAATTTGCGCAAAAGCTCCGCCAGTGGAGACGCCTGGTACATTTATGATAAGTTCATGAATTTCACCAATTTCGCATAGATTTTCAACCTGATTTCCTAATGAAAAATTGCTACCAATTTATCATCACATATTCTTTCAATTTCTCAAGCGATACTCTCGAAACTTCGGTGAATGAATCTAAATTTCACTTTATTGAAATTTATACCATTTTCACCGCAAAACTCTCAACATTTTCCGGGAAAAACTTTTATCATCAGATCCCCTCATAAGCAATTTGTATGCACAATTTTGCCCTATATAATGAATAAATTCTACTTTGTGCTCTTCCCAGCCACATTTTCCTGTCTGTCTAACTTTTCTATTTGCTCTCTGACGCTCATGTGACCGAAATATGTGAAATATTTGCATGAATAATTGGGTGTAAAGTCTGAAATATTTGCTGCGATGAACTAAAAAAAAAATGCAGGCATTTCGGATTGGGAAGTGAATTCAGCAGCTAAAACTTGTCACAGATCGTTGTCAGAGGTAGAAATTAAACCAATCTGTGGCGAATTTATCTTCAGTTGCATGGGAATGTGCAATGCAATCTGTTGTCATGACACTCCAACCCCTAAATTACCTGTCCACGTAGGCAATACAATGGCTGAGTGAGTACCAACCAATCTGCTTTATTCTAACTTCCACAAGCCACAAAACTCTCTTCCTCAATCAATGCTGATTTCCACATCAAAAGCACGGGGAAAATCATACTTCTTCTGCTCTGCTTGAGCAGAAAAAGGATTGCGCAAAGTACCTAAATTATTGAATTTGGAGCTTCTCATTAAACTTTCAATTTCTCTCGAAAATGGTGAAAACTTTGATGGCATCGCGCGTCTTAAATTTTAATTGTGTTCCAAAACTTCTTTCTCCTCGCCCATTTCGCCATTGGAAATACTGAAAGGCAATTTATTATTCCCCAGATAGACAAAGAACACAGTCTCACAGGAAGTATTCACCCCAAAGATGCAAGAATTCCTGAGTTGAGCCACATTGCTAGCCAGTTATAGACCATTTTCAACAGTTTGCAGATGACGAGCACAGCAAAAAAATCACTTCTGACTGTAATTTAAGTCCGGAAACTCATTAAGTCAGCCTCAATAAAAAACCCGTGGCAAACAAGAGACAACTCCCATAAAATGCGCCCAAAAATCGATTCTCAGCACCACACTTGGCGCAGCTAACCCGCGAAGGCTTAAGGTGGTTATGAACTTTTTCCACTTCTGCCAGAGAACTCTCGTCACTCTCTCACATCGTCCAAAAGGTGACACAAGCAAGAAAGACCGCGAGGGTGGCTTGTAAAATTATTTAGAGCAGCGTTTCGCCTGTTTTGTTGTGTGTGAGTGAGTGAGGAAGTTTCGCGCTTCACAACTTTGCCCATGGCCAAATCCACAAAGTGCAGAATTTAATGCTTTCGCCCCGGGGCGGAAATTTATCTCCGTTTATCATTCTCGGTCAACGTGTTTTTCTTCCGCCGCCAAACGACTCAAGGAGTGTCGAACGAGCCACCAAGAAGGAGTTCCCGGCTGGGAAATAGAGTGCTCCCTTTTATTACATGCGCCTGAATAAATCTCCCCTGTCGCCCACTTCTTGCGGTCGCAGAAACAAACAAGCCCCAAAAGCGAAGGGTGGGTAATTTATGGGAAAATATGCAAAATTTACACGGAAATTAACAAACTCTCCTTGTAAGGCTGTAGACAACTAATTCATTTGTTATTTGCGGATGTTCGCTGAAGAAATCAAATCAATTTCACCGCGGTTTAATGCTCCTCGAAGACTATATGATCTCGTAAAAAGTGCATAAAGTGCAAGAATGTCATGATTTATGAGACATTTTGATATATGCATTCCCCCCCCCCCCCCCCACATTTTGCCAAGGAAATCGCACTCGGCGCTGCAATGAATACTTGAAAGCCCCTCGACAGGAATAGTAAATGATACACTTAACATGCTGAATTTCGTGGGAGGACGCAAGGAAATTATTCACCATGTTCCACCAGAGAAATGAATAAATTTCTCCCAGTGCAATAAAACAATTTCAAACCATCACTCACAAGTTTGAGAGAAAGATAAGAAGTGCAGAGCATTAGTTAATCTGAAAGCTCTATTTTGCAAATTCTTCCTGCTCTTTGAATAGAGCGGAAATTATGAATGGAAAAAAGATGAGATGCGAAAATATTCAACCTCAATTACATTATGTAAAAGTTGTGAGCTTTTTTCTTCAAACGACGGGTGAGACTTTTGAATATTCACAAATTAACTCATGAATAAAATCATCGTCTTTGATGAGGATTTTCCTAGAAAATTAATGACTTTACCAGTGAAATCTTAAGGAGATTCAGTTGACAGAGAAGCTCCATGACAATGTAATCTGAAATAGTATCTAGTTAACATGCGTGTATTGTGAAAGTTGAATGTCTCAATTGTGACACTTTGTCAAATGACGAATTGCAATTAATTTGATATGTTGTTTCTTTTATTCTCATATCCACATATGCATTGACACAGAATTGTAACAATTAAGTGCCTAAGATGCGATAGTGAAGAAAAATGAGCAGAAGAAATGAATGAAATGCAGAAATCATACTTTATTAGCTAAGACGCACACCATATGACGAAGTACTAAAAAATTTCCAGAAAATCCTCAACTTAAATCAAAATCCATTGAAAAAATACTTACAAAAATGCCTAAATTAAAACACCAATTTCTTTCTCAAGAGACAAAAGGCAATAAATGTTTATCATTTTTATTTCTCTTCCATCTAAATTTCATGATTTTTCTCAAATTGTTTAAATCTTTCTTGAAATAGCTTTTGCAACATGTCTAATAACACTTTCCATTGAATGAGGAAAACACTTTCTTAAAATCCTCCTCCACACAATCTCTCTCCAACACGCTTTTCATCAATCCATAATCTTCTATGGTTTTTCATTCAATGAAGGAAAAAAGTTAAGCATGAGGGAAATCAGTGTCTCAAAAATAAAAAGTACAAGTTCGTGTTTTGCGCATTCTCGATCTTGTGTGTGTGTGTGTGTGTGTGAAAAGCTTCTCCGTTGCAAAGTCAGGATTCTTCTTGGTGAAGTATATTTTTTCGCTTCTGCATACTGTGTTTTCCATCAAACTACATCGAATTTCTCTGTTCCATCAATTTGAGTTTTTTCTCTGTCAACTAAAATTTTATTGTATGACTGATTTTTTGCTCATATTTTTTCTTCTTTTAAGCTGAAACTTGAATTCACTTCTCTACCGTTTTTTTTTAATAGTTTTTCCTTATAAGACAACTTCATCATCCTCTCGAATGGATCTCTCTTATCTCCACATTTTCCTTTGCCCTTTCTTCTGTCTCTGGCTCCTGCGCGCTTTAGGCCTCCAATTCGAGGGCGACGCCAACTTTGTGGCCACCAGCATTGAAATTCTTACCATCAATGAGGGTGGAAAGCGTGAGTGTGATGCCATCGCGCAACTTCTGTTGGTATCCCAGACCAATCTGGCTGGAGTTGTTCACCTTCGCCCTCACGGCGGCATCCTTGTCCAGATTGTACTTGGCGCCAATGCCGAACTTCGTGGCATTGGATCCAGAGCTCCAGGACAGCTGCACGGCGGCGTCCAGGCGATCGTTCACCTTCTGGTACACAGTGCCGCCGAACTCCTGGCCGTCATTGCTGCACGAGAGAAGAGAAAAAGAGGTGTTAATTTACTAACAGTTAGGACCACCACACTCAATAATTTCATTAACCAAAGTCAATTTAACTGTCGTGTAAACATGTCTAGAAATCTCAAATGACTCACATTCGTCACATTATTCAAACAAACATCCACATTAAATTGTTATCAATGCCATTCGCATGCTTTTTTTCTCTCTCTCTTTCCTATAATTGGAATTGATAATGTGATTCTGTAACACTTTTGCTTTTCCCCATCAACACAAAATCACATCATTTTAAAAATACAGCACACTTTGTTATGCAAGAAAGTACACGAGTCAACAAAATTATCTCCCATTTTCTTCAAGCACACACACACACAAGGAAAGATTCTATGCAAATTATCAATGAACATTTCAATGAATTTTCCTCTCATGCTAAATATAAAATACAATTTTGCTACAGTGAATTTTATAAATTTCCCAGTCTCTAATAAATTATATCGTTAGACTGAAGATGAATAACAATTAGCATTTGGCTTGATCAACATCTCACAAGAAATGTGCTCTGCTTCAAAAGACCATCCACGTGGCGCATCATTTGAATAATTTTATCTCTCATTCTCTCCTCACTTGAAGACCCCGCGTCATGCTCATCAATCAGCAAACCCAATGCTCTGAGCCAAGACAGTCGATCAGAAATAAAGGGGAATCAAAGGAGGAACACTCACACGTTCGTGTGGATGACAAAGTCCCCGGTGGAGTACGCCAGAGCGAAGTTGTTGGCAGTCACGCGGCTCTTCTGCGTGTCAAAGCTGGTCTGGTAGCCGGCCAGCCATCCCTGGTACCCAAACACGGCCGCCGCGTTCACCAGCGGACCCGCCAAGTCCACATTCACGTCCGAGTTCAAGTGCACATAGTCGTGGCAGTACGCCGCCTTCACGCGCGCCGTCTTGTTGCTGCGAAAGACAAAACTCACTTTAGCACCGCGCCCTCGCCACGCCACACTCGCGCGCGTCCTTTTGAGCTCATACCCCGACTGAGGAGCGAAGGAGCAGTCCAGCGTAAGCTTCAGCCCCTCCAGCAGCTTGTCCTGCAGCGTCACCTCCGTGAGCAGCGTGTTGTCCGTGTTCCAGTTCTCCGTGAACGTCAATCCATACTCCTTCAGCTTGTACTTGGTCTCCAGCGAGGCGAACACCTTGCCAGAGTCCTGATTCGAGTTGCCACTCGTGGAGAACTCCACGCCGGAGTTGGTCTTCGTCTTCACGTCCAGCTTCCACAGACCAAAGTGGTAGCCTTTGTTGAATATATCGCGAGCCTGCTTGCCCAAATCCGCATACTGTGGAGGAGCCATCTGCAAGGCACAGAGAGAAGAGGAGTTGTTACTTAACGCTGCGCTCCATTTGAGAAGCCTTGGAAATGTTTCCACAATTCGATAAGAAATCTCTCGTGACTTCCAAGTTCTCAAATATTTAAAGTGCGGATTGTTAACCCTTCACTGATTTTATTTCCAAATCACATCTCTTGAGATCTTTGACCTGTTTCTCTCCTTTCGTGAGTCAACCACGAATTTTGCCATAAAAATGCGAAATTAGAGCAATTAGCGGAGAAATACAAACAAAGCTACTTATTATTGTTGCTCGTTTAGCACCTGATTATTAGAAAAAGCCAAAGCATTTCACTAAGTCGCAAAACTCAATTCTTGTCTGAAAATTAAATAGGGCAAAGTGAGGCCAATTTGAACACTGTTTGTCTCTAATTGTTACAATACTTAGTTGACTCTATTGGACTAATTTTACAGTTCTAGTAATTGCGCCAATATACTAAGAAATTTCACAGCTTTATTTGCAAACAGTGCTTCATATAACTCTCTTAAAAACCCGTTATTTCTGCCCCAATCTTCTCTATACTACTTCAAGGTCACTCGAAACCATTTTAAGCATTAATTAGCTTTCGTTGATGGTCAATTTGTGACAAGCTTTTGGCAAATTTCATCAGAAATCAAGTGATTTTCTAGCCTCAGATTAAATTCGTTTACACGAGAATTTCTGCCATAAAGCGCGTTAACACTCCTCTTGGATAAGGTTTCTCTTTACGACACTGGTAAAATGTCTCGCAATTCATCCTCGCAATCTGAGAAGAGTGAGGAAAACTGGAGTTGCTGCAAGGGTTAAGCCTCGGATCATCTTCCCAAGTGGGTCGTGATGAAAATTGTCAACAGAAAGTTGACTGTGAAGGTGTTTTTCTCTCTTCTCCACCCGAAGATTACGCAAACGCTTCGGGCACGTTGCGCAACTGCTTGTCGCGCGCGCGTCTGCCGTCAATCCGCCGGCCGGGGGCGCTCTCGTGGGCCCCACAATGAGAGACTTTCCACATCGGTGCACACAATTCGATCGCGGCGCACTGAGTTCAAGGTCCGCGAGGTCAATAACATCGACGCCTGTGGCCAGCACTCCCGGAATTCCCGGAATGCCTCAGGGAAGCGCGCACGTCTGGGCTATTTTTGGAAGGCTCTGGCGTGTGGAGAAGCGCCAGAAATGCCCGCAAGGAAGCCAGGATGTGCCGAGCGAGTGTCCTTGGACAATCGCGACTCTGACCCCATTCGCCAATCCCAGGACGCGAACGCTGCAGCGAACGGAGGCGGAGAAGTCTCGTGACTAGGACGACACGATGGCGGAGGAAATCGATAAAAATGGCCTGATTACATCATCAATTCTGGAGCACATTCTCGTCCTTGCACTTTTCCAGCCCATCCTGCGCGCCGTCAGGCAATTCCCATGCTCCCATCGCCCGAGAAACACCTCCCGAGTATTTCTGTTACGTAATCAATTACAGTAAATGGCTTGTGGTACGATTTTTCTTCCCTTTTCTCTGCACCAATTGAACAATTAGCACCCGGCGCTCTCCATCAACTTCCACTTTTCGCCTCGATTTTCACCCATTTCCCACTGCATTTTCAGGCCAATATCACCGAAATACCGAAGACAGGCACATTGACAATAGATATTGTGTGGTTTAAGGAGGAAATTGCTCACCTTTTACGCCTTTTTTGGGGACTTTTTCACTGCAATCACCGAAACACGAACGCACTCAACCCAACTCTGCCAGGAAATGTGAAATGCGGGGGGCTTTAGAACAACATGGCGCCACCGCGACGACAGCGCATCTGCCGGGATTTCGAGGAAAATACCAATTTTAGCCATAAATAACCGTATCACATCGATTTGTAGAGTAATTCCTTGCACAATCAATTCTCAATAATATTGTTAAAGCAACAAAAATCACTGCCTCCCGGAAATGTGGAGCTCTACTGAGAAATCCCCTAATTTCCCACGCAATTTCTTTATCCAAGTTATCCCAAGCGGGGATCTGCAGTGCCGACACCGCGTGCGCCAAAATTTACATTTTTCATGTGGCAAATTCATTCATCATAAAAACGATGAGAAATTAGTGTTAGAAAAACACAAAAATATTTCACAGCTGCCAATGAGGCGCGATGTTTATTTATAAGCGCACCGGCAGCCAGATTTATAGAGCAAAATTCGTTGACAAACCCAATAACAATTGTACATCAAAATTTTTACATCATCTTCATCGTCCACACTTGAGCGCCAAGATTGTGTAACTTTATTTATATTTTACGAGGCATTTTCCCTCGCATTTTCCTTGTGGGACTGACTTGAGGAGACACAGTTTGAGAACCTTGTCATGCCTGAGAAATTCGGACTAATATAACAAAAGGCGAAGAGGTAAAAAAAACGTTGTTGAAAAGACAATTAGAAAGACACTTTGACGGGAGATTCTTCTATTTTCTCTGTGATTTTCTGGCACTTTTCCCACCCACGAGGTATTAATTTTTAAACTAGAGGCATAAATTGACGCAATTGAACACAAAACAAGGGAATTTACCGAATGAATGCGTGAAAGATCTTGAGGGAAAACTTTCCGTTTATTGAATTCTTGGCGGGAAACGCCGATTAAGCACGATAAGAGGAGATTTTCGGGAAAAGTAGCGAGAATTGAGAGTGGTGGGAAAGAGTATATAAATATAGAATCCTCAAGCATTTGGCTTTTCAGTAAGACTTCGTCTTCCGCACGGTGATTGTAGCATAACCTTCGATGATGGAGCCAGAATTTGAAGTGCTCCGCAGTGACACGTTGGGGCGCTACGGTGTGGCGAAGAGGGATCTCAAGGCTGGCGAAGTTCTGCACACTGAGCTACCCTTCGTCGTGGGCCCGAAGCAAGACACCGCCGTCGCGTGTTTGGGCTGTAATGTGTATCTGGACGGCACATCGGCCGGCCCCAGATGTTCCCAGTGTGGCTGGCCTCTCTGTCCGGACTGTGAGAATTCCGATGCGCCGCTGCATCGCACAGAGTGCCGACTCTTCACACAGAATCACGTCAAATTCCAGAATCTGCCGAAGGAGGCGATGATTTGCCTCCAGTTGGACTGCATCACGCCGCTGAGGCTTCTTCTGGCCAAGGAGGCGGATCCAGAGCGATGGGAGCAGGAGTTGAGCCAAATGGAGTACCACGAGGTGGCCAGGAGGCAAACACCAGCGTGGAAGGTCGATCAGGTCAACATTGTGCAGTACCTTCGAGGCCCTTGCAAGCTCTCTCGCTTCCCAGAAGCTCTTATCCAGCAAGTGTGTGGCATTCTGGAAGTCAACTCCTTCGAAGCTCACACTCTCAGTGGGAATCCTGTGCGATGCATCTTCCCGAAGTTGGCCATCTTTGCACATTCCTGCGTGCCGAATCTCACGCATAGCATTTCCCTGGACGGCGACTTCCGAATGGTGTGTAGGGCGGCAGTGGACATCCCACAGGGCGGTATGCTCTTCACCACGTACACGTACACGCTAACGGGGACCAAAGAGCGACAGGTGCATCTGCAGCGAGGCAAGTTCTTCACTTGCCACTGTTCCAGGTGTCTCGATCCCACGGAATTGGGCACTTACTTCAGCTCCATTAAGTGCCGCTCTTGTCCAGGCGGATTTCAACTCTCCACAGATCCACTGGATGAGACATCCGATTGGAAGTGTAACTCCTGCGATGCTTCCACGCCAGGATCGAAGATCCACGACACGGTTGACAAAATTCAAGAGTCTGTGGATGTGTTGAAGAACAAACCCGCCTCCAGGACGAAACTCATCGAGACAGAGAAGCTCTTCAAGCACTTGATGAACACTCTTCATCCCAATCACTTCCTCCAGATCAGTCTCCGGGAGATGCTGATCGAGATGCTGGGCCACGTGGAGGGTTGCGGTCTCAATGGATTGCCAGAAGTTTTGCTGCAGCACAAAATCCAACTCATCAGAGACGTTCTCGCCATCCTGAACGCCTTCGAACCAGGCATGACGCGTGTGCGCGCGATGATGCTGTTTGAACTCCACGCTCCACTCGCCGTTCTGGCCAAGAAGCTCTTCTTCGGCGGCAAAATCCCAGCTCGTGTCTTTCGGGAGAAACTCCAGGAAATCGCCGATGTCGTCTCTGAGGCTTACGAAACACTCAAATGGGAGGATTGTCGACTCTCCGAGGGACTCTTGGCCACCATCTGCCAGAACACCCACAATCAGCTGCTGAACGATATTGCGGACATCAAGGATGTGTGAATACCTAGTTTCTGGACTTGTTCACACGAAAGAACTTCTTGGAGTCCTTCGAGTGGCGCTTCCGACCGCCGCGCTTGGGCTTCTTGGGGCAATCTCGCGCCAGGTGATCCACGCTCTGGCATTTACTGCAGCAACCACCGTCCGGATAGATGCCGGAGCTGTTCTTGGGACATTGCTTTGAGATGTGACCCTAAAAATGGCAATAAATGAGTGGGATTTTGAGGACCATCGGCAATAGTCTTACCATTTCTTTGCACTTGAAGCAAGTGGCGAAATTGAATTTGGGGCCCTTGAATACAGTACAGGCAAAGTGCTTGTGGTCAGAACTTCCACATTTCAGGCAAATCTCCTTGGATTTCCCTGCAAATGCCTTGCAATTCTTCAGCAAATGACCAACTTGCCTGCACGCCAAGCAACGCTGTTGCGAAGGCGCTTCCTGGACAGGAATATCATTCCATTTGTCATTGTCATACTTCTCCTTCAATTTGGCCTTAATCTGATCCATTTTACTGCCTGAATCCTTGAATTCTTTCATCTTCTTTGTCCTTTTGGCAGATAAGTGATCATCCTGACTTTCCTCCTCGATTTTTCTCTTCTTTCTCGGCATTTTCGATTGATTGTCTGAAACAATCTCTTCCGGGAGTGATTCTGTAGCTTCCTTATCACTGTCTGAGAACGTCTCCCACTTGATGGCTGATGATTTTCCCTGTTCTATTAGGAATTTCTTGTAATTACGATCCCTTTCCTTCATAACCTTCTTCACTTCTTCGCTGTCAGAATTGGATTTATCCTCTCCAACGTCAGACAAATCGTCCATCTGGAAAGTATCATCTTTCCTCCTCTTCCCAATGCCTTTGGACACTTTTCCACGGGAAAACCTTTTCTTGAATTGCTTCCTATTTTTAGAAAACATGATTTTTCACTCGACACCGTACTTATCCGCGTGTGTTTACAGGAAAAACATCACCTTATCCAAGCAATCACATGGCTTGGATAAAGAGTGATAACAGCTGATTGGCTGCGCGCGAATACAAATTATTTCCAACGGATTTGCTCAGTAGATGGAAAATTTTGAGAAAATTCTATTTATACATCTGAAAAATTTAACCATTAATACATGCTTGTAGAATTACATTCTGGAATGCTGCAGCTCTCAATCCTCATCAATGATTTCGATTTCCATTACTTCCACTTCGACCAAAGCATTCCCTTCACAAGTCCCAGAAATCTGGAATCCAGGCAAATTCTGCAGCTGGCTGAGATCGCTGAATTCTTTCTCCTCAATCTCTGCATCGCTCTTGAAGCGCTCCAGGTAGATGCCGTAGTTGGTGCAGCACTTGAAGTTCGAATCCTCCAGGGTGACGTCGCAGTCCTCCTCCAGAAAGATGCCGTACTCACATCTCACGATGTCCGTGGAGATCAAGTCGACTTTCGTGCCGCTCTTCATGCCGATGCCATAGAAGCAGTCGGTGATGAGGCAGTTCGAGAGGGTGACTGAGCCGCTGCCCTTGAGGTCGATTCCGCACTCGCTCAGCTTCGTACTCCCCCGGATCACGCAGTTCCTGAGCGTCAGCTTGGCCTGATCCTGGCACACAAAGCCGTACTTCACGTTGCTGCAGTCGAAGATGATGTTCTCGAACGTGAATTCGCCATTGCAGATGATGAGGAAGTGATCCTGCAGCTCTGAACAGATGACGGGCACGAGACTGCTCTTGCAATCGCTGGGATTCATCCTCGACACCTCTTTCAGTTGCTTCACGCCCGAGATGGCGCCCTGACTGTTGAAGTACTCCCGAAATGTGATAACGTGCTTTCCAGAGGCGATGTGAATCTTGTCGCTGGCATTGGAGGTCATCAGGGCATTCTGCAGAGTCACACAGAACCTTGATGAATCAATATTCTGCACGAGCTTCAAGATTTCCGACATTTTATCAGTCGACTCCGTGACAATGATGCTGTTGTAGTTCTCTGGAATGTCCAGATGAATGTTTTCGTAGATTTCCCTGAGATTCCCATCCTGCAGCATCGCCAATTTGCTCCGCAACAGGTTCATCTGAGCATTAATCTTCACCAGAACGTCCATCTTGTCTGTAATCTCCTCACTTGGTTCCTCTTCCTTTACAATTCCTCTAATCTCGTTCAGGCGATGTGTCTCGACCAGAAGCTCCCGGATGTGAGCAGCTGTTGAGCGTCGGATCTTCCCCGTCTTCATGTCGCACAGTAGCTGCAGCCGCATGAGGACGTACTTGTCGAAGTAATCAGTCTCCTCATCCTCCTCAGCGTCCCAGGGAAGCCAGATATAAGTGAGAAAGTATCGGAATGAATCCACAGCCTCTGCAGCTTCATCCGCCTTGAATTTTGAGTCTTTCTGCTCCACACCCACCCACAATTGCTCAAGGGGCACCTTATACTCCCTCTGTAGCTCATCCCCTTCCTCCAGGAACTCATCATTAGTCGAGAACTCCGCCACGCCGGTAGTGAAGTCCACTGCAGTCACAGTTCCGGGAAGGTGAAACGGGTAATTGACATTCATTCGCTCGCAGCGAAACTGAGGGATTTTCCACAAGCCCTCCCAGTCTGCAAGATGAATGCCAGCGCCATTAATTGCCACGAAACCCAGAACAATATTAGGGAAATCTCACCAGCGACATCGAAGAACTTCTCTAAGAATACTAGCCACTCAAAAGACACCCGAGAAGCGGGCAAAGGCTTCTCAGCACCCACGAAAACTCTGTGTATCTCGTGATATCTCTCCTCGTACGTCTTGCTAAACTCATAAACCTCCATTTGGAAGCAGAAAATACCCTTCTTGTTACACAAAAACACCTAGTTTTGAGGAGACAATTCCCACGATTCACACAAGCAATGTTTGAATGGTGTTTTCCGAAAGTTTTCAGCCGTCCGGAAGTTGCTATAAAATTGTAACCGTCACCGTCGCGGGCTGTGATCTGTCAATTTCAGAGCGTATTCAAAACAAAAGCGCAGAGAGGAAAGAAAATTCCGTGTTTTGCAGTGAGAAATGCCACGAGAAGTGTAGCAAAGATGAATTTCCCACCTACTCTCATCAATCTTCCCAGTGATGAAAAGTTTGTAGCCATAACACAGAGAATTTGGGCACAAAACTAAAGATTTTCTCTTCTTGCAGCTATGAAGGTTTATTGAGAGTGAAAATGTCAACGTTGAATCTCAGCAAAACGAGCTCTGATGGCCAGAACGTCGACTGTACAGACTCTGGCCCTTCCACGTCCGTGAGGCGCTCCACTAGGTTCGGCATTAGCAATGCCGGCAGTGCCAAAGACTCCTTGCACAGGGTCAACCGAAGGACGATACAAAAGCCCAAGAGATGCGTTCAACCGACCACCGAGAAGCAAATCGAAGCGTACTATCTCAACAAGAAGGTGGTGAAGAAGTGCACGCCGCTGGAGACGATATTCGAGGAACCGAAGGTGGTGAAGGAGAAAGAAACCTTCCTGGGCAACCGAAAGTTGAACAGGAGCATAAAGTTCTCGGACGGGAAGAACGTGAGCAAGGTTACCGTGCAGAATCGGAGGAAGAAGATCAAGGAGATATTTGGGAGGATCCCAAAGTACAAGAAGATCCCGATGGATTTCTTCCTGGAGTACTTCACGGGCGCCAAGCCCACGACGGAAACGACTGGAGGACAAGACTTGCCGCAAGCGCCTGACGCGTAAGCTGAATCTCCTCTCTTTGGGGATTTCCACCACTGCCTGGCGAGACGACGCCCACCCTAAAAGTCTGAGATGTGAGCGAAGGAGAGTTTACTTTTTAAAAGACGGTTGCAGTTCAATCACCTCAATGGAGGCGCGCGAGAGGATGTTTCAGGTAAGCGACCCACTCGAGGGCAGGAAGTGAATTGAGACGGGCGAATAAAGGGGAATGAGAAGAGAGGGAATTTGAGGAGAAAAAATGCGCGATTTTCCTTAAAATTTAAGTAATTATTACAGACACTTATCATGTAAATTAATTGTAGTGAATTTTAGTCCGTAATTATATACAAATTAGTGGTTAAATAAATCCTTTCCCGCGTGATACACGTGAATATTGAAAATGCGGAGAAGAAATTGAAGGTTTTCTAGGTCAACCCTTTCATTCACTCTTCCTCTTTCGGCTTCTTTTCCTTCTATCGCAATATCTTGCTCGCCTTTGTGCACGGTTGTCTTTCCCATCTTCAACTTGAAATTCACTCAATATTCCGTGAATATATTACGAGTGTCCTTTTGTTGTGAATCTGATACCGGAATCTCTTCTCTCTTTCCACCAAATTCCTTTGGATTCTCGAAGGCGGGCAGAGGATTTAAATGACAATTTCCAGGATGTGAAGTCACCAACTGATTTTAACAGACTTTTCCCATGGCGGAAAATCCTTTTCCACCTCAAAAACCGTCGGTTATAGAGGTGAAAAGCGAGTCAATTTGGCTTTTGCAAGAGTGATTTTGGACTTTGAAGTGAAGAGTGTGAGAAATTGGGCGGAGAAGGGCGCAGAAACGGAGATTGCGGCAGGAGAAGGGATCATTTCCGGCGAATAAAAGACATCAACAGGCTCTTGAGTTGCTCATTTCGCGGTGAACATCAGGAGTTTAAGCATCCTTTAGTGCATATCTCTTACCTGTTGATTCCGATGGACATTCGCAAGATCCGGAAACCTCTGATGGAGAAGAAAAGAAGGGCACGGATAAATGACTCGCTGGAGATCCTCAAGGAGATCATCATAAGGAATTCTGCGCTGTTTCCCACACAAAACAATCGCCCTGCGAAGCTGGAGAAGGCGGATATTCTGGAGTTGACAGTGCAATATGTGCGAATTCTGCATAGGAAGTTGGCCGCTTCGGAGAACGTGAGTGACGGAGTGACTTCAACAACGTCTGACGGTGCGGAAAATTCATGCAAACGGGGAAAATCGTCTGAGGAGAAGGAAAACCTGCCGTGCGCCTTCAGAAGAATCCACTGCAATACGTTATCAAAGCACTGGCGACCGTGGAGATGATGAGAGAGTGTTTTCTTGTTGAGATATTACGTTTATTTTATGCTTCTTGATCATGGTTTTAGCATTTAAATAAAAGATAAGTTACTTTCCCAGTCGTTTTCTTCCTAAGATAACAGATCAATCAGAGTTGAAAGATGTGTAGATGAAATTTAAAATAATAGCCCGAAATACGTTCTTAAAGTCAAATGAAATTCAATGAAAGAAAATCTATAACGAAGATTTTACTCAATTTGTACAATGAAAGAGAGTGTGAGATTCTTTACCTAATTGTTAAATAGTCCTTAATGAGGAGGAATTAAATTAACCATAACTATATCTAGTCTTTTGAGTGTGTCTATTGCAAGGACTTGTCCTCCTTCTGGAGTCTCTAGATCAGCTTGAAATATCTCGCAAGTCCCAAGAGTCCCAGACCGAAGCTGTTCTTCTTCTTGTTGGCGGGCTTTTTGCTGGGAATGGCTTTGGCTGTTGTGGCTTTCTTCTTATCATTCTCCTCCTCTTCTTCCTCCTCGTCCTCCTCTTGCTCAGTTTCCTCCGACTCCTCATCCTCGTCAGCCTCTGCCTCCGTCTCGTAATCCTCCTCATTCTCCTCCGGCTCGTCTTCCTTGTCTTCATCCGTATCGTCAATTTCCTCAGCCGTGTCATCGTCATCATCGCCACCAACTATGGCGCCAACGACGTCCAGCAGCGAGGATTCCTGCGGCTTCTTGTTCTTCTTCGTTGACGTCTCCACTGGCGCCTGACCATTTGACGAGGTGTCGATCTCATTTTGAGTGATTTGAGCCGAACTGAGAATTCCTGGTGAATTGAGAATTACCACTTTCCGGTTGGGCTGCTTCTTCGTCTTCTCCACCTTCTCGGTCGCCACAGGAGCCGCTGTGGTGGCTTTCTTGGTCGGCTGGGACTCCACAGCGTTCAGTTTCTTGCGATTCGCATCGACAGAATCGGCAGGAGAAGGCTTCTTCTTCCTCGTTCCGGTTTCAGCGCCAAAAAGTCCATCCAGAAGATCCCCGCCCAGTAAACTGAATCCCGAGTAATCCGTGTCATCGCTGCTCGCCTCCGGTGTATCATCGTCCTCATAATCATCATCATCATCATCGTCGTCATCGTCATCTGTTCCCTCTTCATCGTCATCTGGAAAAGATCGATTTTAGTAAAAAAAAATCATTGTAATGAATTGTAACTCTCACCATCAAATCCGCCTCCAGTGTCATCGTCATCCCCACCAATCAGTCCACCCAGGATATCGTCATCGTCATCATCATCTTCAGCTTCCGCCTCAGCGGGTGGCGGAAGTGGTTCAGCATTGCTCAGTGACAAGCCTTTAGGGCCAAAATTGAAGCAGGACACTCTCAGAGCGGCTTCTACTTCATCTTGAGCGCGCAATTCCAGTCCCAGGCATGCCTTAAAGTCCTCCTTCTGCCTCGTGATTCCGTACACGCGTCCGCAGAAGCGTGAGTAGCCGCCAGGCAGTGGCATGCAGATTGGTGTCGCCTTTCTGCCAGAGATCGTGCGCTGAGTCAGCGTGATGTCGCCGTACTTGATCGCCACGGTGAGCTTGTTCTTCTCCAGGTATCGCACAGTGGCGCATCCGGGACCGCGAATGGACACGAGCGGGAGTTTGAATTCGCGACAACAATTGCACTCGTCTGCGTTGCAAGTGCAGTAACGATTGATGGGATGGACATCGTCAATGTTGACTGGTACTGGAGTTTCTCCATCTTCACTGGCGATGGGAACTTCTGGAGCCTCCGGAGCTGCGATTACTTGCTCAGCAACTGTGTCCACTTCGTTGATGGCGATGTCATCTCCGGCTGCGTGCTCCTCGGCGAAGTCATCGTCGCTCACAATTATCTCCTCCTGGCGATTTGTGGCTTCAGGAACGGGCTTCTCATCTAAAAAGAGACAAAATAAGAGAGAAGTTTAAACCCGATTCGAAGCTGAACTTGAGAAGAGATAAATCGACTTTATTCATAACTTTCTTATGTTTTCCGTTTCAACACTTCATTCTGGAAATATTCAAGGAAATCTATCGAAAAAGTTATTCATGATACAATTTTAAATTTGGTGCCTCTAGCGGTGTTCGTATGAATCTCTGATGTTTAGAAAGGCGTTGGGAAAACTATTCAAGATCTTATAATCAGCAAAGAACTTATGTTTATTCATATTTAAAGGTTGGTAAAAAAAATTAAAAGGTGTATTTTTAGCTCAACTGTAATGAATTAGAAAAAATTTCTATTAATTTATCTTTATCTCTCATCTATAAATCTTTATGCTATCACTTTTAATCGAAGTTTAGTAAATTTCTTTTCAAACCCAGAGGCTTTATCAATTTTATGCACCATTAAAACTGGCTAGAGATGCTTATTCGTCACACTCTAAACACACACTCTTCTCATTAATTCACTTTTCAATCTTGAATTCCTTCAGCAGAAGCGACTGAAGAACACAGAGAAGATTAATCCACGGGCGTCTAACCCATTTTTGGTCTCTTTTGCAATTCCTATCAAGATGAACAAGAAGAATCTTTTGAAGGCACTATAAATTACACTGACCTCGAATTTTTTCACTTCTTTATCACCTCTTTAAAATGCAAAATTGCAGTCATTCGAAGCAAATTGCTTTTATAAGATGATTCTAAAAGCTTTTTTACATCTCTTGTGCGTTCAACCCAATCACGGAACATCACTGTGTTTCCCCAGTGCCACACATTGCTAACTCACCTGTCGCCTCGATTACTCTGGATGAGGCGAAAGCTACGACAGCCAAGATCACGAGCGCCTCCAGAATCACTGAAATCCTCATTGTCTGTCGCACAATTGCAATAAAAAGAAGATAATGATTAGTTATGAGATTAAAAAGACAAGAAGGGGAATTGAGAGAATGGTTTGTTGGGGAAAAATTTGCTTAAACCAAACAACAGTTGCAATTTGCTCAAAGTGCGCATATTAAGTACGAGAGTAACGGTCGGTCAAAGCGGAAGAGCGTTCTTTAATCGCGAATAATGCTGAAGACGTGCCTAATTGGAGGTGCATGGGATGAAGATGGGCGGGTTTTGGGTGATAATCTTTACCGTTTAGTGCTCGTCTTTGGGAAGTTCAATCGAGAATTGGGCGCGAAAAGAGGGTCAGAGTGTGAATTGGCGAGAGATGTTCTGCCGCTGCAGCACTCAAGGTGATCGGTAATCCACTTAAGAGTCACTGTGGGAGCGAAGGTGCCTCAATGACTTCCTCCGATGGCGGTTGGCGAGAGACTGAAGCTCTGAGTGGGTTCCGGACACTGGCCAACAGTCTCGGGAAGATGTTGAAGAACCGCTGTGATTGCTAATGAAGTGATCGCTCTCTGTGTTAATCCGGCGCGGAGAGAAGGAGAGAAGGCGAGGCCCGCGAGGAATGCACACAATGCCCAACAGATTTCCAGCCTTGTGCGACTCGCAGAATCGCGATGATGCATCCAAAGTGAAATTTTTCACACATCCAAGAAGCGGACAATCTCTCGAGGGAGTCGCACGATCTCGCATAAGGCACGAGAGTGTCTTTTCTGGGCATTACTTATGCATAACTCCGTGTTGACTCGTCCGCCAGATTCTTTGCAGAGCGTTGAACGAAAAGTAGGGCACCAGGTTTGAAGTCGATTGACCTCAAAAACCGGTTACGTGTCCACGGAGCGCCTTTTGGGCATCTCCGCTGGATCTCTCGCTTCAGCCACCTGAAGAGCCACGACCTCGGTGCACGCGCAGAGTCAAGGACTCGGGTGTGATTGATGAAGATATTCCGGGTTCAGTGAAATTGACTCTCCGACAAAATTCAGTTTCATCGCCCAATCCAGCTTCTCTCACGGAGATTAGAGATGATGCAATGACGAGATCGTTAACTTTCCCACAGATTTCACCTCTATTCTCCGATCGGATTTATGGAAATCACAAGCATAATTCTTGAACTTGATGTAATTTCCCTCCAAAATTTATTCTTGAAGCATCTCGATTTGCTCTTGCAAATCTTAACAACTCTTTTTCGGGGCAAGAATGTAACGGCTTGCAATAAATTAATTCCACATTTAATTATTTAGAATCTCTTGGGTGTCTTTAAGGGAGATTGAAGGTAATTAATTTTCATTAACCCAGTTTTGAGATTTAGACGCGAGAACTGTTCACCGAAGGCACTTCATTTGTATGAATATCAATTGAGCATCGAAAATTAATTGGGCGAAATGATTGACAATTTGAGGCAGACACATAAAAATGCCTTCACGTTTCGCTCTCAACAAGGAATTTCCGAAGACAATATGTGAGTTAGTGGAATTTGAGGAGAAGTTCAAATAAAGCTCTCTCGGCACACTTTTTTCTCATTTGGCGATTGGTTTATTTTCAATTTCTTCTCTTCGGGGGGAAAAATTTTCTTTTCTAAATTATCAACTTTCTTCTCAATTGCAATTCTTCCCAGCAAACTGGCACACCTCGTGCCTCAGATTCTACGCCCATCTGTCGCACACGCTCTTCATATTTACACTTTCTTCCGACTTTGCATTAATTTCTGCCTTTTATTGCGAGAACACGACGTCGAAGCTTCATCGATTGGAGGCTGAAAAGGGGGAAGTTTCCGAGTGGAAATGAGGACAGAATTGATTTTGAATATTTTGATGGTATTTTGGACTTACCAGGTCATGTTGGAGAATCTTAGGCAGAGAGATAATCATTGATTTTTCCAAGATTCTGACCATTGATTGACTGTTGGAAAATCAATAGTTTGAAGATTACAAGTGAATTTTTGTGCCAGAATATTTAATCATTTAATAAATGCTTCATCCAGACTTAAAGTTGATTTCCCCACATTTCTTTTACTATTTTCCTCTGTTGATTCTCTTCAATAATATTTTTCTGGAAAATCTGTTTTCCTTGGTTTGCAACGGCCAAATTGAAATTCGCCGCTTGGATCGCTGGCGTCGCTGCGGGGCGGTTGCCATAATTATGGCATGCTTGCAAGTGGCCCCATGACAGCATCAAGCCGGCCATTATTTTTACTGTGTGCGCTTTACACGTGGAAAAGTGATCCGAGTTTTTTGGAAAATTCTCCGCGAATATCACAGAGAGCAGCAGTAAGGACTACAGAAAAGATTCCCCACGCCACAAGGATACATTTGGCGACATTTTTTACCAACAGCAATGTAAGTAGACACCCAAAAAGCCACCTCAAACGCCAAGACAATGTGGGATCATGAAGCCATTGGGGGAATTTCGCAGCATTGCAACATTTCGGGGCGCCTCTGGTCGCAGCATTTCTCACGAAATCCACCTGAAAATTGCCTCAGGTGAACCTCAAAGTGACCACGACGGGGCGAGTGGGTGATTGCGGTGGGGAAAAGTCCTCTTTGTCTGCTCGAAGTGCTGCGTAATTGGGTCACAAATGCCTGTCTCGCGTTTTATTTTTACAAATGTGACGAGAGAGAAAGGTTAGAAATTTTTTCGCTCAGCCGTTTTTGCTCACCCACACCTTTCGGGGGGAGGCGCAACTTGGCGGCCGGCGACAGTCTGGGCGAAAGAACTGGGAAATTCTCTGGGTAGTGCGTCAAAATAGCGTTGACCGCGAAGAAAGTCTTTTGTCCAAGATCGGTCATCAAATATCATCGAGCATCACTGCTTAGGATTTGAGCCATTTGAGCAGCAATTTGTGATGAAAAAGTGGTTTTCGCAAGGACACCCAACTGTCTCAAGCCATTAGTTTTCCAAGAAGCACAGCTACAAGATTGATGAAGGCCTTTATCAGTTTCACGCCACACTTGAGGCAATTGTTTTATCACTTCAGTGCGGTTTAACAAACAGTTCCTGTGAACTGTTGAGCTGCAATTGCCCTTGACTTAGAGACTCCCCTCGAGGAATGGGTTGTAAAAGTGCCGTAAAAAGGAGCTCTACTGACCTCCGTGATAACACCATTGGTCATTTCTTGTGCTGACGCATCACGAGCAGAACGCCCACGTGCGTGAGAAAGAGAAGAAGTACGGAAAAAGTCATTGATAAATTTTCTCTCTCTTTCTATTTATAATGTGCTTGAGAAAATGCGATCTTTTACTGTCGATTTACGGCTAATAATCTCATTTCTGGGAAGTTTGTTGTTTTGGCAAATTCGTGATGCTTCCCATTATTTTCTGTGCTGCTTTTCGCACTACACTTGGTCAATAATCTGGTAAATTTTCCCCAATGACGATCAGTGTTGCCAAAGACTCATTGCCAAGTTGGTGTGTGAGTTAATATTTCCAAGAACTCTGCCGGAATTTCTCCACGACTATGCAAGACGCATTTAAATTAGAGTTGAGGAACACTGGAGTGGACAGTCTGCATTCCACAAGCGCCGATGGCCAGAGATTTTCCCAATGTAATGAATTGTTGTCTCTTAAATTAAAAGGCAAATCTTGCATGTCAAATCAATGAATTTGTAGAGATGAAGAATGCAAGAACTGCTGAATTCGGTCTAATATACAAATATGAACGATCAAATAAACAAATATAGGGGAAAGTGGGCCATGTTTGAACCATTTTCTCATATTATTAAATTGGTCGCTAGTTTGCTTTAATGCAAAAATATGCAAAAGGTTTCTTTTCTATATTATGTCACTAAGCTATTCTATTGATTCAATATAATTAATTAATAAGAGACATTTAATTTTTCCTTTATATACGTCTTTGTTGATGTGTATGAAATCCTTGGGTTTTCTACGAATTTAATAAACTATGGAGTAGAAAATAGGATTTTCTGCTATTCTTAGCTCTTGTTTGCACTTTATTTTTATTTTGAGCGTAAAAATATCGGGAAAAATGCTATTTTTGGCAATGTGTCATGAAATGTTGAACGCATTTTGTTGGAAATCAGATTTTTCTTACTGTATATCTTAGGGGAATATGAAATAAAAGGCGAATCTGTTAATCTGAGTTTGAAACGGACCAACTTTCCCCTAAATAAAGCAATAAATAAATAAATATGCATTGAATGATAGGGAAAAATACAGCATCCCGTGATAAATTTTGAAGTAAAACATGATCCAAAATACTCAGAAGTTTGCTGTTTTACTGTTTTGTTTGGAAGCAAAACAACTCATAATTGATGAGTCATTTGCAAAGTTGTCACTTCTTTTCCTCACTCAGTGAGTGAAAGGAGAAACGATGATAGAAATAGGCAGTTAATTGCATCAGTTTGGAAAGACTCTGACTGAACCAATTGTTGCTCATTTGTTCAAATATTTGGTCAACGTGTGCACAAAATCTATGCCTAATGAATGAGGAGTTGAGAGTATAAAATAAACATTAATTCGCTCTCTGAATGTGTGCAGAGAATGCAGTGAAGAATTCTCTGGATTCAGGGCTCAGTGATTACCGTGTGGAGAAGAGGAAAATGGTCAGCAGCGACTGGGTATTTTATCATAACACACTTCTTCTCTTTCTCTTGGGTGAATATTGGAGTTTGTTGTGTGTAATATATTAGGAGAGGTGGATGAAAAAGAGTTCTTATTTAATTCCGCCTCTCGTACAAGTTCATTCTTATAAAATATATATTTTCGTGTGGCCAAGCGTGAAGTTGGGAAGCATAAAAAGGCGGAGGCAAGAGAGAAAAGAACATTAGCGAGTTTTAAAACTATTCCTGGGTCAGTATATTATTGCTACATATATATTTTTTCTGTTTCAAATATACACAGTCGATTTACCAAGGTTTTTTCTCTGCAATTACCGCCACACACGATCGTGTGTCTTCCTTTTGGGCTCAAGGATGAGGTGGACATGAATTAGGCAGGCTCTTAAATTTAAGAGACGGCCAAAGAGAGAGAGAGAGAGAAAAATCAGCCAATAAATTAATTATCCTGCACTCGAAGAGTCTCGCTGGCACTTGTGATGGGCAATCAGAGATTACTTAACAAGTGTTGTGAATGAATAATGCTGCTGATGATGAGAGGGACGGATAACGTGTCTGAATGAGAGAAAAAAATAACAACGCTGAGGCGGGAAAAAACGTGCAACGTGGATACTTTTTCAGTGAGCGCGCGTTCTGTGCCTCCACAAAATCTATGTATCAACAATGAATACACAAATACACTGGCGCACAGTGAGAAATTCTCTCGTCATGGGTGAAAAGAGTATGTTCGATGGCAACATTATCGGTGTGACTTTTAAACCTTTAAAATGCTGCCTTAATCTTTTCCCAACAGGCGCGCGAAAATGTGACAAACGTGTCAGAGGAAATTCCCTCGAAATGTGTGTGTTGTGTGAACGAAGCGAAATTATCGCCAAGGAAGCCTATCTTGGGAATTAATTTACAATTGGCATCAGCACGAGAAAAGAGGGAGAGAGAGATTAATGCCTCTTCGCTCAAGTGATCAATATTGTGGTGTTACAGTTGCATAAATTTTTCATGCCAATTCCTCTGGTTGTGGTTTTTCGACAATAAAAGTCAATCAATGAAGGTGAAAACCGGTTAAAATTTCCGGCTCTTTAAATGCTCTTTATAAAACTCTTTTCTTGGGGGCACATTTTAAAGATCACAATTAATTTCACGTGTGGACGCAGTGGTATCTCTTCCCCGAGTGTATCGAGAATTATGGTTGCAGAGAATTGAGGTGCAAAATATTAAGTAAGATGTTCCATTTGGTGTCTTGTGAAATTGTGTATCCATATTTAGCGATATATATACTTACGATATGTACATTTCTGATGGTTAAGAGAGAATGAGCTTGAAAAAAAGAGAAGAAGAGAGTTCAATAATAATTTCTTGTCAATTTTTTCTCTATCTTCAACAATCAAGTTGAGAAGAAAATCATACAATTCTCTTCTGAGTTGTGCGATCTTCTTCATTTTCTCCGATTGTCTGTTATTATCTTATACGAATGTGATTTATGTGGGCAAGGTGACCTGAAGAGGTTGAAAGAAGAGAGATGATTAAGAGTGGGAAATGTATGGGAGAAAATTAGAGGAAAGTCTGTGCAAATCAGGTATATTTGTTGCTTAATCTTGCAGAGGATTTTTTTTTTACTCATGACGAGATTGTCTTATGATAATTTCTGCCAAAATGGACAAAAGAGCAGCACTGAAGTGTGTGTATGTGTGTGGCCTCCACGAAAGCTGATTCGCGAAAAAATGGTCCAGTGAAAGGTGTTTGAGAATAATGAAAAAGAGATGACTCGAATTCTTCTCCTCTGGTCGATTCGCTGTTGGGCGATTATTTTTTGTGTGACATTTGACTCAAGAGAAATACCGCATTCGTTTCACTATATTGGCAGTGAGATAAGGAGGAAATTTCCTTCTAATATCTAATCACAAGAATATTGGAGAGCGCGCGCGATATTGAGGGGAAAAAAAAGTTGTGTGTTCTTGAGTGAGGTGACTTTTGTCTGGCACATTTGTGTGAGTTGAAAAATGATCGCGAAATATTTTGTGGTTGTTGATAAAGACGACAAATTGACGTATTTCCCTTTTGATTGTTGGCTTTTTTCTATATTTATTTTCAAGTACACACTTTTTTCCTGATGATTGTTGGACTTTTTGTCCCCTTTCGCTGAGTTTGAAATATTTATGGAATGTTTGTGTGTGGCTTTTTTTCCACTCGTGGCAAAAAGAGATGATGAAAAATGATTGAATTTCATTGTCGAAGACTTTGTGAAATTGTGAAATGAAATAAAACAAGCTGAAATTGAAGGCAGGTTATGATGAATAATATAATGTTTGGAATTAATTGGCGTTTTAAGTGCAATTTATTGCAAAATTGTGTTTTCTTTGATCAGCAGAGCGAGAGAGATTAGTTTTTAAGTTTTGTTGGAGAGACAAATATATCCATCGTTGCTGGTTTCTCATGATAAATGATACACTTATCATGTCAATTCATCACTTATTTCAAGACTATTTCAATGGATTTTTCACATACATACATTTGGAGCCTTGACAAGTCTCGATTGGAGGCTTTGATGATGAAATCAGAAGCGCTTATCAATATATATTGATAAAATTGTGTGCTCATCTTGTTAGAATTATGCTCTGTCTTTAATGTCAACGTAGAAGTATTAGCATCTCTGCTTGCATGTTGGGGGAGGGGAGGAAAAGAGTCGTCAAAGTGCATAGAAATTGGAGTGTTTAGGTAGGTACAAAAGAAGTGTGTGCGGGAAAAAGTGGTTCATGTTGTGCGATGACCAACGAAAAATGATACGAGAGCCTCTTCCATTCGTGAGCGTGTGCGAAGAGGTTGAAGACTATCTCCCGGATGAAGATCATGTGGAATGCCAGAAAATGTCTTGGCAAAGAGAGTGAGAGATTGTGTCTTGCCTGCGGTGAAGAGCGAGAGTGTGTGGCGTGAGTGTAAGGAGAAACAGAGAGACATGAGAGAAGGACGAGAAATGTATGAGAATGTTTCGTCAAAATGAAGAATTTGCACTTGGACTTTATATAGGGAAAATTTCTCTTGTTACTCTTCGTGAAACAACCTCTCTTTTTCCCCAGAGGCCAAAGGAGAAGTTAAATTCAATGTTGTGTGTGGAGGAGATAGTTTTTTTTTGCTCGACGGTGTGGTTTCGTGTGTGAGAATGTATTGGGAAAATGTGAGCGAAAGAGAGAAGAGATCATTTGTATGAAGAGAATCACACTTCGCACACAACACTTCTAGGAAATACAGAGTGAGAAAAGAAGTGTGTGGAAAAAGTTTACCAACTGCCACTTTTTTTTTAGGCAAATAAGATGGGAATTTGTTGGGAAAATGTTGAAAAGTGAGTTAATAAGAACCAATCCATGCTCATTCGAGGTTGAGAGTGTTTTTGTTGTTTGTTTAAACTGCCAAGCAAAAGCGATTTAAGGGATTTTAGTGATGAAGAAGGTTTAATTTAAGGAGTGATTTATAGGATTATCACTCACTAAAGAGTCCTTTGAGTTTGCATAGTGAATAAATGCGGATGTGAAGCGTGAAAAAGGCAAGCTTGCAGATTTTGCGGTGCCCCTCGTGAGTTGAGGAGCAACTCCAAAGTGAGGCTATGGTTGTGTGCGGAGTGTAGTCACACTGAATTGGTGGTGTAATTCATTGAGCCGGTCGGAGCCGGTAGAGTTGGCAGAGAGTGAGCAAGAGTCTCGCCGTGTGGACGCATTTTCCTGCTTAATATCACTTATTAATTTATGTTAATCCGGTGAAGGAAAAAAATCCTTCAATTGCCACAATATTTTCTGAAGAACATTTGGTGCTATTTCAAGTGGCATTTCGAATTGGGTGTTGAGGAATTGTGACAATATTTTTGTGAGAGAATTGCATTGGAAAAATTTCTCAAAGTGAAAGGAGGGAGCAAAAGCGTGTTGTACTTTTCCACCCAAAATTCCTAATGAGACAGTTGGAATTTGTGAAAAATTTCATAGTTAAGTGACTGTATTGAACTTGTTTGGTGATTTGTGAAGGATTTTGGGGCACTTTGGCTGGATTTTCAGCGTGAATTTCAACTGAGAACAGCAATTTTCTGTACACGTGGTCAATATTGAACAGGCACATCGAGTCATCATGGCAGCTGGGGCTGTAAGTCGTGTTCTCGTGAGCTTCCAACCAGCTCTCGAAGTGTTGGCTCTTTCTTGAGTGTTGGTGGCGCTGAATTTGGGTGATTGTATGAATTGTGAGCAGGAGAGTAAGAGACAGAGAGAGAGAGATTAAGTTGTTGGGGAGGAAATTCCATCGTTAATTAATATTTAATTTAATGTTAATTTATGATTTCTTTTCTTCCACTCCACATTTGTGAAGTGTATTATTATTTTCGGTAAATTAATTACACCTTTCGTCTGTTGATGTGACGATACTGTAAGATTGGAAATTGTTGATTTAATTGCATAGAGTGGAAAACGTGTTAAATGGCCCTGTTTTACAGTCTCTCTCTGTGGAGTGCGTCAAAAAACGGAGGCATTTCTCGAGTGTGTGCTTGAGAGGGTAAAGGAAAAAAAAGGAGGAAGAGAAGGAAAGAGAAGGAGAGAAGAGCGTGTGAAGGAAATGGTGAAAAAATATAGAGCTTATCAGAAAATTATTCGTTGATTTCATTATCGCTCTCGCGCGCGCAACTTTGTCATCATTATTGACATTAAATATAACATTGAAAAAGTGTGTGTTATGTGTGTATTTGGGAAGAATTCTCCCGGGACTTTCTGTACTTTTCCAATCGCACACTGGGCATTGAGAAATGCATTTCATCTGGATTTCCTTCTCTTGCAGAATCATCAATCTGGCACGATATGGTAGCTATTCGACCGATCGTTGTACTGTCAACACTGACACTGTTGCTGGGCTTAACGTGGTTCCGGCGCAAAAAACGACAACACTCTGACACAGGTGAAAAGTCATCTGATTCCGCGGTGACTTCAGATGAGGCAAAGCGTGAGGATTTGGCCACATTGAGAAATTTAAACTCGAGACCGGCACAGAGCGCTTCGGTGGACATCACATCGGGAGGTGCGGCGCAGAATATCACGCCGTCGAAATTGGCCAAATCGGCGCCCATTGACATTGTGCCGAACGGACGTAGTCCGCCGCAAGCGAGTGGCAGAAAGAGTGCCACAGATAATCCAAATAAGATTGATGCGGATGTGCTGAATGCCAAGATACGCGACAGCGAGTTGAAGACATTAGCATCGATTGAGGAGCAAGAGGATCTGGATTTGGGATCGCCAATTGATTTGCCGGGCTCTTTCGAGAGGCGGCCCTTCAACTTCCGCAAGACGGTGAATGTGGCTGACGAGGAGCCAGTTGTTATAAAGGCTACGTCAATTGCTAAGGTGTCGCCGAAGGACGACTTCCTGGAACCGCCGAAGTACGTGAATACAGAAGAGATGACGATGAGGAGTCAGGTGGTGGAGAAGGACGTGGTGCCGGCGATGCCGCCGTGCGAGGAGAATGGGCAGGAGGAGGCGCAGCAGCCGCCAACTGTCTCCAGTCCGCCGCTGAGTCTGTGTAGCAATCACTCGCTGGATTCCGGCAAGGGATCCAGTCCGCCGTACTCAGAAGGTGCGCCGGCGAATTGCTGTGAGTTTCTGCTGCCGAACACACTGACTGGGCAGGTGATTGGGCGCAAGGGCGTGATGATTCAGCGCCTGAAGGAGCTGACGGGCGCCACGATGGTGATCAGACGTCATCCTGACACGATGAAGTATAAGATTTGCACGGTGGAAGGCACAGAGGCGGAGATTGACAAGGCGCTGGCGGAAATTAGGCGAAGATTCCCGTTGGATAGGTTTCCCAAGTTCACAATGGAGAGGATTCAGTACTCTTTGCCGCCAATGCTGCAGTCAATGGATCCGGCTTTTATAAATGTAAGTTGAGGCGAGGGAAAATTCAGTGTCAGCGTGAAATATTGGATTTTTGCGTCATATTTAAATGCCCGGCGGAATTCTGAGGAAAAGCAAACGCGTAGTATTTCGCAATAATGTGATCTGCTATTTTCACACATGCTTTATTGGGTGGGCAAATAATGTGTGGAGTTTGGAATTCTATCATTGGCTTCAGTAGTTCGGTGGAAAAAGAGCATTGGAGGACAGATTTTATCAGCTTTTTGTGAGTGCTCATGAAGAGCGCAATTCTTTCCTACCGTTAATGAATATTTAAGACACCTTAATGCTAGAGTAGATTTTGGGAATTTGAGTTATGCACCTTATCTAGTCGGTTGCGTAATTGAAATTTCCAGTTTAATTGTCAATAAGCGGATTTCACGTTTTCAGTAAGACATTATCGCTTTGCATTCTTCATATTCCTTCATTTCTTCTTATCACTCAGCAACAGTTTTGCATGTGATTCTCTGTCAAACCTTGATTGTGAACCTGAACATTTTCTCTTTTTTGTGTGACAAAGGAAATATAATGTATCGGAAAAAAGTCACTTAATTGTCAGGTTATTGTTTATGGACTTTGCGAAAAGAGTATGCAATTAGTGGCACTGATTACGTTGAGTTGTTGATTGGACGCGTGACAATTCCGTTGGAAAAATCACTCCCACTAAATTGTTGAAGTGGAAAATTAACGCTCTTTTGGCCTCTCTCTCTCTCTCTCTTTGAGCAGCTGAATCTGATCGAGGGCATCAACAATGACGTGGTGGTGAGCTCCATCCTGTCTGGTGGACACATCTTTGTGCAGCAGCCGCTGCATCCTTCGTATCCGTCGCTCAACAACCTCAACCAAATCATGTACCAGAACTACGCCACGAATCAGTCGCCGCAGCTGGACAATCCGACGGAGAACTCGGTGTGTGTGGCGTGCGTGCAGGACATGTGGTATCGCGTGGTCGTGCTATCGCACAGTTCTGAGACCAAAACGACGCTAGTGAAGTACTTGGATTATGGCGGCTTCGGCCACCACGAGGTGTCGGACTTGAGGCAGATTCGGCAAGACTTCATGACCGTGCCCTTCCAGGCCATCGAGTGCACGCTGTCGAACATCAAGCCGACGGGTAAGTTGGCAAAAGCATGACGACTGAGAGTGAGATATTAGAGATCGGCCAAAGTACAGCTCTTTCATAGCTCACAGAAGCTACATACATGATTCGTGTTTGTGACTTTAATGTCACATCGAATTAGCACTCTCAAACATTTATATCTGGATAATCACACGTGAATTGACCATAGAAATATCATTTTAGCATAAGCTGAGCGCGCGCATTGCTCATCCGGCGTTCTATTGTGTTTTCAGGTGAAGAATGGGCCCCAATGGCGGCTGAAGTGCTGCAGAGTCTCACGCATGGGATGGTTCTGCAAGCTCAAGTGGCTGGATACACACCTGAGGGCCTTCCGGAAGTCTTTCTCTACGCCAATTACGGCCCAGACGTGAGTGAAGAGCGCTTATCCACGGCGACGCTGTCTCAGAAGCTAATTGATCGCTTTCTCTCTCCACAGAACATTGTCTTTCTGAACAGGGAGCTCGTGGCTCGCGGCCTGGCGGAGTGGGTGGAGGAGGAGACGGTGTAAATTAAACCCTTAGCAATGACTGCCCGTAGAGAATCGCTAGCGTGGGAGGGAAAGAGAGAGAGAGAGAAGATGTATTAGAAGAATGGCGAGATGGGGTCAAAGAAAGTGGGGAAATATGGAAAAATGAAAACATTTATGATGTTAATCATAATTGAGTGATATATGACATAATATTCATCCTAAAGAGAGAGAAAAAAATTACACGTATTTAAGAGAAGATGCATAAATCGCGAGAGAGAATTGATCTATAATTATTTTGCATATTTGATTGAATGATTGACTCACTCACTTATTTATCATTTTTTGTTCTACTTTAATTGAGAGGATTTTAGAGAGACTTTAGAAGGAGAAAGAAGTACTGAGCAATTAGAATTTTCTTTTAACAATCAATGACTTTGCATAAAAGGAGGAGTTATTTTAATTTTGTTCTCTTGTGGAGAAAATTGCAATTCACTCGACGTTCAAAAGCCCTGATTTTTTTTTCTTTTAACTGTTGAAATGTGGAATTTTTTGTTCACTATTTGTTGTACATATACTCAAATTAATTGAAATGAATTCTATAATAGACATTTTGTTGTAATTCGGCGTGAATGTGCGAAGCTAAATAGAAGAAGAAGATGATCCAGAAGAGAGGCAGGATTATTTAGGATACAATGAGAAGGAGAAGAAGAAATAATGAATTATAATCTTATACATATTACAATGAATTTTATAATGAAATAGTGAATTTATTATGCTAAAAGGAAATCATTTTGAATCAATTTTATATTATGAGTGTCTCATTATTACTTATCTCATTACTTCTGTAGCAATTTATTATCATTAATTAATTTACCTTATGAGAAAAGGAATTATTAATCGAATGGTTGAAGCGTAATATAAAGAAATCATTCTGTTTAGTAGTGTATCATATATAGAAAGATAAAAAAAGGAATGAAAAATAGATAGAACAGTACAAATCCTGACTTTATGTTAAGAAGCGATTGATAAAAAAAAGCGTTGAAAAATAGGAGAAAAACATGTGAAGGTTTAATTTTTGGACTTGATTTTCCTTAAACTAATATTTTATATGTAAAATATGGTTTTCTATAAATGTGAATTCTAAAAGGAATTTATAGCAACTAGTTAGCGATCGCCAGTGTTGGACAGCAAGCATTGAATTTGCATTTCGATTCAAAATCGATGTCAAAAGAACAATTTTCACAAATGCATGTGGATTTTTTGCATGTGTAAATTATCAAATAATTTCCTTAGAAGCAAAAACTCATTCAATGAAATAAATCTCAGTATTTTGTAAAGGCAAATGAAATGTTATGTAAAAGAGAAAGGTTTCACAAGTGGCAAAATGCATCTACAATTGTTGTCCTGCGAGCGTTGGCGATTTTCAAGCAGGAGGATTTCTAGCAATGTGGTTGAAAAGTAATGGAAGAAGAGAATATATTAATTGAGTAGCAAACGCTTAACTATTCACCATGTATAGTTACGGATATATTTTTGATATGATAAGTAAAAAAAAAAAAGATGAATAGAAAGATTTGATAGAAGTTGAGAATGATAGATTTTGTACATTTTATAAATTCAAATGTTGAGGTGGGTTTTTAATCAATTTGTCACACACTATTCGGACACTTTGCGTGGGATCTGCGAGCATCCTCCTGACTTTCTTTTCAACTGTATTCATCCTGGCAAAATATTCATAGGTTTTCTTTCTCTACCATTTTGAATTGTATATAATTATGCGAAATGTCCCTTAGTTTATTCGTTTTCTCAGCAAAAGTCCTAACTATATTACTTTGTACATAGTGAAAAGCTACAATGAACAAGTAAATAAAGAAATTTAAAATATTACTCAAGTTGTATTTTCTCTTGCATTCCTTGGTCAATGTTTCTGCGATGTTTCATCATTGCGAGGCCACAAAAGTGCACAATTGATTGCCTTCCGCCCTGAGGTAGGCAAAATGCGGCAACTCCCCGAAAGTTGGCAAAACGAAAAGGATCAATTCTCATTACTCTTTATTATTACTATGTCACTATACAATTTGTATGATATAATCTTAAATAAGAGGAAGGACTTTACACAAAGATCCGCACTCAGTACGAGTAGATGCCGAAGAAGTTGCGCAGCGCCACCAGTCGCTTCGAGTAGTTCTTCTGCGAGTTGATCTGCGCATTTCGGCCCTTCAAGTCCGCCTTGAACTGCTTCCACTCGAGGTATATTTTGGGATTCTTGGGGCCCCACTCGTCTGTCGGCCGCAAGCTCTGGCGCAGACTGTCGTACACGGGCGTCTTGCAGCCCACCGCGTAAACTGCCCACAACGGCAGCTGCACCATGCCGATGGCGAACAGAATCCAGCCGGCAACGTGTGCCTCGTCCGGGTAGTCGCTGGAGCCGAACGTGAGCGGCTTGAGTGAGGCCATGTGGTACACGAAGATGATCAGCATGAAGACGGGCGTGACCAGAGCCCAGCAATAGCGCCAGTACGGACCCACGTAGCGCTTACACATGAACTGCGTGTCCATGACGAAGTCCCCGAGGCCGTAGACCCAGAAGATCGCCACCAGCTCCACGATGGCCAGCGCGAAGATGAGGAAGGTGCCGCCGTAGTGATCCACCAGATCCAGCATCCACTGTCCGCCCTGCAAAGTAAGAGAAAATGAGCGCATTAGTAAATTTAGTTTAGACACACTGTTGTGTCCTAGTTGTGTCTCTAAAATAATCCATTCTTGTTTCAGAAATATGCAATTTAAAGTTCTTAAATTTGGGAATCATTAAGAAAATCGTTGCAGAACGATACAAGTATGACAAATATTTGGAAAACATTGAAAACGTGATCAGACACGGTTAAAAATCATTAACTTTTTAACTATCAAATTAAACACGATTTATTTCGTCTGTCCCATTGAACATTTGTCTTCATTCTCTGAAAAACAGATCATAAAAATAAGTAGAAATTGCGTCTTTTCTATGCGGTTTTAGAACAATAATTTATCTTTACACCAAAGAATAAAACTGAAACTGTGGGCGTTAATCTTCTTCGCAGTAGAAAAGCACTGATATTCCGGATATTTCTATAAATTCTCTTATAAGAATACAGGAAGGCGATAGTTATTCTCCCCTTGAGCGTGTGGTTCTTTTTTCAACAAATTTTGGTTTAGGAAAACCATACACTTAAGCACAATTAAAATAAGCTCTTTTGTCTGGGTTTTTTTGCACGACTAAATTGAATGTTCTTTTGCACTGGGTTTTTCGCACAAATCACACAATTGGCAAAATTACAATCCAGTTCAGTCCAGTCTTGTGGTTGCGGTTAAGATTTGCCTTTCAAGAAGTCATCTGATTGTGTTTTCCAAATGCTAATTTTACTCACCGGCGTCGTGTAAATCAGTCCAACCAGGAAGAGAGTCGAAGAGACAATCAGAGCCATCTTCCAGTACACGACTTTTGGGAATTGATCCCTCAAGACCGTCACGACGGCGCTCACGAGCGCCACAACGGAGCCCAATCCCAGCACGAGCAGCATGAAGAAGAACAGCACGGCGAAGAGCTGAAAGGATGTTTTGAATGAGTTCAGCGCTTTGCGGCCAATTAAGGGCGGAAAAACTCACTTGCGGCACCCAGTCGAACTTGGAGATGGCGTCCGGATAGGAGATGAAGGCCAGTCCCGAGCCCACCTTCACCACTTCCGTGATGTGGGCGTTGAGATTGTGCGCCAGATTACCGAGGATGGCGAACATCGTGATGCCGCCCAGAAGACTAGTGAAAGTGTCCAACGTAGTCACGATCATTGCATCCCTTAACATTGCGAGAAAGAACACGTGTTAAAATGATTTTCTCCCATGCAAGAGAAGACGAAAAAAAATTCCGCGCACTTTCAAGTGAGTTAATTTGCAGAGGATTATTGCAAAATTAGCACTGTTTTGCTCTTTTAAACTTTAATAATCCCACAAATTGCCATAATTACACGCTCCTCTGCCAAAGACACTTTATTTTTTAGCGTCCATCGCATTGCGTAACATTTCCAAGAGTGTTCTTTTTAACATTCTGCACGGATACTCAAAATGTTCTGTGCAAATATAAACAATGCCATAAATTGAGCAAATAATTAATTGTTTCTAAGACTATATCATCATTTTATTAACTCTAAATTACACTACAAACTGATATCGTAGTGCTCTTTCACTCATAGTACAATTATCTTGCTATTGACAAAAGCAACTGGAATAAATACATTATTTCCGGCATTTGTATGTAATTTTCGAAAATCACTCAAATCTCAATTGCATCGTTTTTTTTCTCTTATTTGAAAGTGTGCAGAAAACTGAATTAATTTGTGAGATATCTTTTGTGGATCTGAAGGTTAATTACTATCTTGCAGCGCCTCAATGAGATTCATTGTTGGCAAATGATATAATTTTGGTGCACAATTAAGAAAATATAGAGAAGAACCAAAGTCAAAATTTGATTAGATTTCTTTTAGATTACTGTCTCGCCAATTGAGCGCAATCGAAAATTCTGAAGTGGGAAAGCGTGGATAAAAGATATAGAGAGGCTCTTATATTAATATACCTGCTTGTGGTTTTAGTGTTTACCTATAAATGTTATGATCGAATCGATTATATGATGAGAACATTACTATTGTCCCAATGCCGACAGACAGAGAAAAAAACACTTGTGTCGTGGCCGCGTACCAGACCTGTGTGTGTAATTTGTTCAATTTTTTAAGAAAATTATTTCACTTTATACTGACGACAATTGATCTGAACGGAAAATAAAAGAGAAAATTCATCAAAGAAAACATCTTGATAAGTGCGTCTTAGCCATGCTAAATGATCCAAAACCCAGGATTAATTAGAGGGTTAATTGAAGGATAAAACTCCAGCCAAATGAACATAAAACAGTCAGCAAGCTAACAAGCTGTTAGAGAAGCTCTTAAAACAATAATGAGATTGCCTTAAAAACTACAACTTGTGCACAATTATTCCAATCTTACATCGTCAGATCCATCAATGGTGGATTTTCTTGAGCGTTAATCTCGATCGTCCAATTAGTTAACACATAAAAAAAGAGACTTAAGATGTTCACACTAACCTATAAACATTATGACTGAACTGATTATACGATGAAAACATTATTATTGGACCCATTCCGGTGGCTAAAGAAAAGAAACACTGCACGACAGCTTCCTTCCAGACCTAAAAATTTGGCTTATGCTTTAGAAAGGCTTATGTTAAGGTACATGTGAAACTTAATGTCTAAACACGTAACAAAATATCACTCAAAAACTCTCAGTTAATGCAATATTTACAAAAACGTTAATAAAATTACAAGTGAGCTAAAAATTTACAAATTTGCATCTCTTTACAAATTATCACTAAGATTATCATCACTTCATTACGTCTACAGTTATTTTTAGAGCCTATTGTGAGAAAGCAAAGAACTAGACAGAATGTTCGTTGTTTGTACATTGAGAGTGACATAGAAAACAGTAAAACATGAGTTTTCCACGTCGATCCTGAACTTGAGTGAATCCCCTTGAGAGAGAGAGAAAGAGTAGATAATTAAGAGTCTCGCACGACCTGAAAAATTCTGTCATTGCTGAACAATCTGAATAACTATTTACACACTGAACATTCTCTAGTTGTGGGTGCAAAAAAGCATATAAACACGGTCAGAATTCAAAGGAAACACTGTGGTTACTAGTATAGAGATGCTCTACAACACTTGACTAAATAATCTTTCAAAACACCGCAAAAACACTAAAGAAGAGAAGATACAATAAAATATGGGGAAAATTTCCTCCTCTTGTTTTTCTCTCTTGTGCATAAAATGGAAAATTTTTACCTTGGGATTGAGCAATTCGGAGAATTGTGGGCGGATGAAGAAGAGAATTCCCTCGCCAGAACCTTCGAGTGTGCACGCACGAATGAGCAGCGTGATCATCACGACGTACGGGAAGATGGCGAGGAAGTAAGCCACCTTCCCACTGCTCTTCACGCCGCGACAAATCACGACGAACACCATCACCCAGGCCAGCAAGAGCCAGAGAGTCAATTTCCAATCAGGAACACCTTTAAAAAGCACAATCAAGATTACATTTGGCGCCACATTTTCCCCGCCTTTACACACGCCGTTGTCATTCACGTTGAGCCAAACAACGAAAGGAAAAATTTCCATTGAGAAAATTGAAGGCATTCCAGCAATTCATGCCATCATCTCAGTGATAACAGGTGTGAGTGAGGCAGAAAAAAGTTGCCAATAAAGATGAGTGTTTGCCGTTCATATCAGACTTTTTTAGTGTATGTCTCATGATTTTAGAGGGGCCAATGAACAACTTAATGTCTTTACAATTGTCCGCAATCCTTTAATCCCTCCGACATGGCTTTTTTTTTGTCTTACTCAATCACTGTTTATCGCTGCCCCGAAAATATTTCGCATTTCTCTGTTCCTCTAATTGCATTGACAAAAATTAGGCGAGCGGAACAGTTTCCAGATTCAAATTTCAACCACGCCTTTTATCTATACACAATATCTTAATCCGAGGGATTTCCTATCGAAAGAGGCCCAATCAAGACTACAATTTGGCACACTTGAGTGATAAGATGGCATTATGTTCTTGAACTTGGTCAATAAGTGTCACATCACAGGCTTTACCTATTCCATCATCAATTTGGTCTTTAGCTTTGAGCACCTCCTTCCTGAAAAAAACACCGCAAAACGCCGGCATTTCGGCGTGATTTTAGCACAGTGCGGATATTTGGGTCAGTCTTCGTATCAATCTTACATGAAGTACAGTTCGGAGCTGCTGATGCCTTGCGTGAAGTTGTTCGTCTGGTTGGGATTCGGCTTGGAATCCACACAATTGTCGCCCCATTCTTCGCGGCAGCGCGACCACGGAAGCTCCGCTTGGAAGGACGAGAAGAAGTACTGGAAAAGAGAGTCGAATCCCTCACAACTCTAAAAACTAGGAATTCAAGGAGCGCCACGAGGAAAGTCCACAAAATTGCGTTATCAATGAGGATTTAATTCACAATTTGGGTTGGTTTTCAACGGTTTCTGCCAGTTTGAACCGAAAAAACCCATAATTCTGGTTGGGTTGAGTGGAAAATGAGTCAGACTGGTAATATTGGTTAAGATGATGGCAAATATTGGATTTTCAGGTAATTTTTCAGGTCAATTTTTATCAACTAACAACTCTCAATTGTAGACGAAGAAAAATATAGGTGAAATATAGAATTCGCTAAACTCATGCATTTCTGCACGTCAGACAGATATAAAATAAATTACTTTGACTTAAATATTCAAATGCATTGTGAATCCCCTTGGCGAGCTCCTTGAAAAGTCGATTGCAAAGTGTGGAATCTTTCTTACATTGAGCGTCAGGCCGATCATTGAGCAATAGTATGAAATCACAGAGCAGGTGCCCACCATCTGTCCAATGCCGATGCCTGCAATTTCACCAAAACATTAGCAGCCGCACACTTGCTAAATTCCCACCCCATTCATTCATACCTCTGAAGAATGGCGACACGGACCAGATCTTCACGGAACTTCGACTCGTGAATTGTCCCAAAATCATCTCGAGAAAGTACATCGGTTTGCCCACAATCACGAGGACAATGATGTAGGGAATGAGAAAGGCTCCGCCGCCGTTTTCATACGCCACAAACGGGAATCGCCAGATATTTCCCAAGCCCACGGACATCGAGATGCAGGACATGAGGAACTCAATTCCGTGTCCCCACGTGTCGCGATTCTCCCCATCCGGCGGTGTTTCTCCTTCCGCAGGAGTCGGTTCGCCGATTTCAATCCCATTCTGCTTCGCTTTGAGATCCTGCCCGGGAAAGATTCACCGCGATAAGGATGGCGAAAAAAGGGATGAGAAAGAGAGGAGTAACTCACGTCTGTTGATGCCACAAAACCCCCATTTGACACTCCATAGCTCTTCTTCATGGTTCCGCGATGGTAAATCCAAAGTCGTTGCGTGAAAAATTCCCACAAATATATCACAAACACTCCACAAATTTCTCACAAAAGAGTCTCGTTCAAGTTTTTAAAAGAACAAAATGAAAAACAGCACAGAAAGATGATAAAAGGCTTCTCAATTCCGATAGAATTAACTGTTCATCACGTACAGAATATTCCCATAAAAATGCCACATTTGTCGTCACTTGTCAGAATCACAATTATCACTGTCTTTGCAATCTGAAGCAGCTGTAAAATTCAATCTTCTTATTATTAAAATCTTCTCTAGTCCAGGAAACACACTCAATCTGCCGAAAATTTTCCAACCGTTCTGGACGACAATTCAAGTGGAACTGAAGCCTTTTGAGCCAGAGCCTCAGACATTAGTCGCTCTGAGAATGCCCATGTTAAATTAATCGGCACTCAATTTCCAACAGCACACATTGGCAGAAAAGAGTGGAGGTGAAAATTTGCCAAGAGTGTGTGTTGAACAGAGGTAAAAAATGTTTGTATACAAATAATAATAAAATTATATTACTTCAATGCTGACAATAAAGCAATTTCACACGTCTGTGGTGGAATATAGAGCTGTGTCATTTGATAAAAATTGTCGTTCTGGTCTCTCATTAACCGTAAAATATTTGCTAATTGCAATCCGACAAGAACACATGATTGAGAAATTGCCTCTTTAAATCACTCACGCGCTTTTCCGTACGTATTTTTCCACGCACACGCACTTTGTCTGATAAGAGAGAGAAATTTCACTTGTTGCCCACGCAATGAGAAGATCCAGAATGAAAAGGATGATTCAAATTGGATTTTCTCAACCACACGATAAGATGGATTTTCCCCTTCTGGCGGAAAATTTACTTCAGGTGGGGAGAAAAAGACTGTAATTTGGCAGAGAGAATCAGACAAAAATCTCTGAGTGCAGCACAATTTAGTCACGACAAGTTCATTTGCCACTTAATTAGAGCTGAAAACTGAAAAATTGTCGGTAAAATTCATTGGAAATCATTAAGAAAGACTTTCTTCTCCACCGGAATTTCCCCATATGCTCACAAATACATGATTTTACCATTAATTTTGCCCTATATTTGCACACACTCTTGTCGAAATTATATATACAATGTCTTTTTAATCACTAAGAATTGCTGTGTACTTTTGCCAACGCATTGTTGTACTGTAGCTTCTTTTATACGCAATGCAAAGTGAGTCAATTCTTATCTTGTCTGCCATTCCCTTTCTTGTGATTGCAAAAACCTGCGCGCAGACACGCATTTTCGGTCAAAGTTTTGTGGCAAAAGCGATTCTTCAAAGCAGGTATAGAGGTCACAAGATTAGTGCTATCGCCTCTGGATCTTCGCCTTAATGCAGAAGAGAGGAAAAAGCCCGGCAAGGGGAAAATCCTCAGCACTTCCTGCGCACAATCACATTCATCGGTGTCTAGTTGTTAATTAACGTGGCCTGACGAAACGATAGTGTTGCAAAATACGATTGTATAGAGCGTATTATTCTCCATATAACTTAATGCGTACCACGCGCTCTCCCATGCTGACCTCCTTGAAGATGATAATGACTTTGAAATATTTTCATTACCTTCCTGTTTCACCTGAAAGAGGCGTCTTTGTCGCGCGCCTCATTTTCCACTCAATATTTACCTAACAGCGCTCAATTTTTCATCCCTCCCATTTTCCCACATGAACAGTTCTTCTGTTGCCTTCATTTTCTGCTCTTGAAAAGTCTCTCATTTTTTTGCTCTTTAAATATATCAATTAAGAACACAACATTTATTGTGACTTTATAATTGCTCTACAACTGTATGGATGAAGATTGACTTCCTTGTGAGGAAGAACAGTGTTTTTTTCGGTGGGAATTTACTCTCAATGACTCAAAACATTGCGAGCAGTCGCCAATCAATTCATGTTTCAACGATTGATGATTACCTGTACACAACTGATAACTGTTGAAAAGTCTTCCCTCTTTTTCCCATATGTCATAGGCAGAGTCTTACAAGGAAATTCCCATAAAGCACATCGATAGCAAACTCATTGATATTGCCATTTTCTATAGTCAGCGCGTATAATTGCCATGTTCTCACTCACGCTAATTACTACCATAAAATAACGTGATTTCCCCGCTTAATATCAATTCTGAGAACAAATTCTCTTGCGCCCAATAAAGAATTGTTCTCAATATGATCAAATAAATAACCTGCGAAAGGTAATCAAGGCGGTTAAAGCTGTATTGCTTATCAATACCAGAGATAAGTTGAAGATTCCACATGGATTGCATTCAATTATTGCTCTCCGCAGAAGAGGTCAAGAGCACTATTAAACACTTCTCTTTCTCTCTCTTTCTCCAGCTTTTTTAATTACAGCACGCACTCACAATTACAATTTGAACAACAACAGTATGCGAGTGGGTGAAGAAAGCTCTTCTGCGTCACACTGAGAACTTTGGCTGAATTGATCCCATCAGTTGTCCTTTGATCAGCCGCATGAAGAATTGCCCGATTGTGTACGCATTGTCGCCACTCTGGGAATCAATCATCGCGCTGGTCGGCCAAGAGGGCAGCGGCTTGATAAGCAGCATTGTTACGCTCCCGCCAAAACCGTCAACATTTCCACGATCAGCATTCATGATCTTCACCTCAACATTATCTGCAGCACACACAAGCATTTCCGTCAGTGTCCATCAAGTTGCGCCCGCCGCACGGAGGATGAGAGGCGGCAAGAGAAGAGGATTTTATTACCAACACAGGTAGGACATTAGAAATTTTCTCAAAAGCCTTAATCTCCTATTGAGTTGATTGCACTTCGCCAAATGACTATCAACAACCTCTTGTCATGAGACAGAGTGTAATTATGCCGGAGAGGGAGTGAGAGGAATCTGCGACGAAAGGACACTTGAAGTCCTTAAAGCTAATTGAGAGTCCCTTAAGAATTAATAGTTTGCCAAAGAAGGATTGCAAAATGCCTCCCTTCACAAGTCTTATACACACACAGATTGATAAATCTATGATTTCATGCGCTATATATACATTAGATGTGATTAGGAGGCAATTACCTGGCGAGATGTAGACACCCAAGAGCCATCGCATGATTGTGTCCACCGGCAAATGGAGGATTCGTCTTCGTATAATGAGCAGAAGGTATGTGATGCAGTACGTGCCAAATCGCAACTAGAAGTGAGCAATTAATTAATTAATTAGCCGAGACGAGGCTGGATTTAACTCACTGTCGCAAAGACCACGTAGTACACTAACACAGTGGGCAGGAGAAACAATAGACTGGCGAAGAAGAGCGTTGCCAGGTAGAGTTGTGAGTTTTTGTACTCAAACGCCTCAACACGATCTGCAAATAGAGATTAATTCCACCGCGTTTGTATCAATTGCTTATGGTTGTGGCACAAAGAGAGATATGTATACTTTTCAGGACATTCTTCCTCCTGCCCAGAACGACTCTCCACAGTGCACCAATGCCCACGATCTCCAAGCGGTACAGCCTGTGCGGAAATGCAGAAAATCATCTGAGAAAAATCTCCATAAGTAGACATGAAAAGTTGCAATAAAATTCGTATCATTGACCTTATCTCAAAACCAGTGCGACCTTGCACAATCGCAACTCGCAAAAGCTCTCCTAGTCAGTGTTGGGCAAATTGTTAACATTTTAGCTTTTTAAATCATTTGTTACATGGTAAAAAAAGCTTTTCTTTCCACATGATATTGTTAGAATGTAAATTTTTGGCGTAAAAATAGTCAAATCGGTGTAATTTAAGTTTAGTTTGTGCCTTTTTCCATGAAATCTAAAATAATTAATATTCATTTCACAGTTGAACAATAATAAATACTTTATTTTAGTTTCAATTGCCATCGACACTCTCTAGAACACATAATTTCTATCAAATGACATCTTTGCTTGTTTTCAAAAGGTTCTTTGTGAAATTCGTAAACTTATTCTTTACATGTGAAACGTTAAATAGAATCTTTACCACGTAAAAGCACAACACAGCTCCTAGCATGAATAATGCCTATATTTGAACGGTATTAGACTTACACAGCCGCATAGATGTAGAAACAATGCGCGTGCAGCGTAATGAGCACCAGTAAGTCCGATAGAAGGGCCAATTGGAATGATAAGCCGCACAGCCCAAGAATCGACAGTGGCAGGAAAAGGTAGTGAATCGCAGGTGACACGATTTCTGTGCAAAAAGAGGGAAAAACCATTGCATTTCCCCGCGCAGTTAATTGCCATCTCGCGCCAATTTACCCAGAAACGTGGCCCACAGATCCACATGATAGATGAAGCACTTCAGGAGGAAATGGTTGAGCTGGACGTTGAGCTTCAGGCCGGCTGGACTTCCCCGGAGACTCGTGAGAAGGCCACGCAAGTAGTAAACGATAGTCTGCGGTGCAAAAAATTCATTAGACGTGTTCCTGAAGCCACACGACAGCCAAAAGAATTAATTAATTAATGAAACTATCGCGAAATGTATGGAAAAAATATAATGTTTGAGAATGCATGGAAGAATACTGGAGTAAAATGAGTGAGTTGCTCTTCAAGGAGACGCGAATATTGACCCAAATTCAGTGAGAATAAAATATGCAGCTATTTTTCTATAACATCCAAAGCAAATCCAATCTTTTTAGCGCAAGGAAATATCCTTGTGGAAATATTTTGGAATGATAAGAAGTGAGAGCAACGCTTTCAAAGCACTTTTAGACGATAAAGTAAAGATAGCACAATAGAACAAATTAGAACTTATGGATTCTTACGTAGGCAAATTCCAGGAGATATTCCGCAGGATTTCCAATATAATGCAGCCAAATGAGGATCGATAATCCGGCCGCAACATCAAAGGCAATTGTCCAAGTGTGACCTCTGAAATTTAAATAAACACATTGATAATTACTATGCAAATCTTTCAAATGCCTCTCAAATACTTACTTCTTTAAGCCCTTTTTCTTCAGGTTATCATACCACTCCTCAGCGTGATAAGCCACCGCACTCTTGTGAAAGATGGGCTTGAAGATCATCCCGAAGAGTGCCAGAAGCTTCAGAACCAAGCTAAAACACTTGTTCTCTGATACTTTTGACCCGTGATTTTTGTGGATCCTCAAATAATAAGCTAATCTAACAATTTCATTCCTAGAATCAGCTTCAATTGACTCGTTCTTTGAGAGGTAAATAAAGTTTTTGGCATGATAGAGAATCAATTGTACTTGAAGACTTTCCTCGGGAATTCCTGCCAATTCCACTGACCGGATTTGTATATTTTGGCACGCTGTACTCGAGGTGAACTCACAGAATGGCTTGTGATGAGATCTTTCTCCAGATTTTGGGGATTTCTTGTCGGAATTGGTAGAAACACTGCCGATAATTGAAGCTTCACTGTTTCCTGGCTGTCCTGTGTTTTGCTTGTCAACTATGTAAAATGTGGTGAATTCCTTGGTCTCCTCGCAGAATCCATAAAGCGATGTGTCTTCATGGCTTGCGTAGTACTCGTGGGGGATGTAAATTTTGCAAATATACATAATTTCACTGGATTTTTCAGTCCCGAAAACTCTTTGTTGACAAACAAATGTCTTTCACGTGGTTTGACGTCACCAAACAGAAGAAATCTGCCATAATGGTGTCTGTGCGTCTCCGCTAAGACATGCTATAATGTCAAAAAATTGTCAAAATCATCAAAAATTTGCTCGCGGAAGACTGAAAGAGTGGCGAAAATTTCCATTTTTCTCGGCCAATTCCTGAGACAGTGATCGACTTTAGAGCTGCACAGCGTCGCGCACGTGAAAGATGATTAAGCTATTTACGCTGAAACAGCAGAAGAAGGACGGCGAGGCGACGCCAAAGGCCAATACACAGAAAAAGAGTGCAGCCCATCTCAGAATCCAGAAAGACATCAATGAGCTGAACTTGCCAAAAACATGCAACACGGAATTCCCCGACACGGACGATCTGCTGAACTTCAAGCTGGTCATCTGTCCGGACGAGGGCTTCTACAAAGGCGGATGCTTCGTGTTCAACTTCAAGGTTGGCCCCAACTATCCACACGAACCGCCAAAGGTGAAGTGCGAGACGCAGGTTTACCACCCCAACATTGACCTCGAGGGCAACGTCTGCCTCAACATCCTGCGCGAGGACTGGAAGCCAGTGCTCACCATCAATTCCATCGTGTACGGGCTGCAGTACCTCTTCCTGGAGCCCAACCCAGAGGATCCACTCAACAAGGAGGCCGCCGAGATTCTGCAGACCAATCGGCGGCTCTTCGAGCACAATGTGGCCAAGGCGATGCGCGGCAACTACATTGGGGACACCTACTTCGAGCGCTGTCTCAAGTGATACCTAAACATTAGGTGTTGCGTCTACTTGCTCCTCATCACGATCGGCTGGACGCACCTCTATAAATTTTAGCCCCAATCTGAACATTGTGCACAGATTGAGGAGGGCAGGAATTATTGAAATTTGACTTGGATATTATAGGTTCTTTCTCCGCTTCAAATAAACCCTCTAGTTCTAGTTTGACTTCCCATCTTGGTCCCACTCAGAACTGTTTATCTTGAGCTTCCTTCTATTATTCTCGTCATTTTGTGTGTTTACACAAAAGGTCAGAGCAAAAGAAATAAAGTGTCTCAAGAAAAGTGTCCATGATAAGTCATGCACGCCCTCTGGCGCAGATCCCACTGACGGCTGACAATCATCGTCATTAAAAATCGCTTAGCATAGTGAAAAAGACACACTTTTTGTGAGTTTTTACGGCCGAAAAACATAAATAATTGAGGAAAGCTAACAAATTGTCTGTCTTTCTTGCAGGACGCACCCAATCTTGTGCGGTTCTCATGTGAAGAGCACTCAAGGACGCGACGCGGGAATCTCCAGGAAGACCCTAAAGCCGGACAAGTAAGAGTCACATTTATCGCTGAAGAGAGTGTCAGAGGATGACGAGCCTGACGGAGGACAAGGCGGACATGAATGAGGACGAGCTGTTCTACCTGATGAAGTGGCACAACTTCCAGAAGAATGTGAGCATCCAGTTCGAGAGGCTGCGCGAGGAAGAGGACCTTGTGGACATCACATTTGCGTGCGAGGGACGTCAGATCCGGGCGCACAAGTTGGTGCTGTTCGCGTGCAGTCCGTACTTCAAGCAGCTCCTTAAGTCCAATCCCTGCAAGCACCCGGTTTTCTTCATGAACGACGTGAAGTTCGAGGTGCTGAAGGCGATCCTGGAGTATATGTACCTGGGCGAGGTGCACGTGAGCAATGACAACCTGAAGGAATTCATGAGAGTGGCGGAGAGCCTGAAGATCCGGGGGCTGTCCAAGGACAAGCAAGATCGCCTCATGAGTACCTCCTTGGCGTCACACATTGAACAGCACATGGATTTCGAGTCGGACATCAGCGAGGAGCACTTGGCCACGCAGAACGCCGTCGGCAGGAAGCACAAGCTGCTGGAGGAGCAGCCCAGCGCCATGGAGGAGCTGCAGAGGGCGAAGTGTGCCAAGCCGGAGAAGGGCGCGAATGACGGAATGGTGCCCAAAGTGGAGATGGTGGAGCTGTTCCACGAGCCACACGCCAGCGCGCCCACGTACTGCAACATCCAGACACTGCTGATCGGGACACCGGCGCCCGAGAAGACCCTCACCACCATCACTGTCCCACCGAGCGCCACAATGAGCGGTCAGGCGCCGCCGATTGTGCCGGAGATGACACTGGAGGAGCACAAAGTGCAAATGCCCACCGAAGCAGCCTGGATTGAGAAGCAGCAGCAACAGCCCGTGGAGCAGTCGCCGGGCGTGCAGGCGGACAAGAACCGCGGCAAAGGTACGAAGGCCAACTGCCTGTCGCCGCATCCGTGTCCAGTGTGCTCCCGCCTGTACAGCAACGTGTCCAACCTGCGCCAGCATATGCGCCTCATCCACAATCCCACGGCCGTCGTCTGCACCATGTGCCAGAAGACCTTCAACTCACAGCTCTACCTCAAGCGCCACATCTCCTCCGTGCACGGCTACGCGGCCGCCGGCCAGACTAGCGCCACCGGCGACAGGGAAGAAGTCAAGACCACAGCGACGCATCCTCAGGCTCACACTCAGCCCGCGGCGGCGAATTGGAACATCTACGAGACCATGGAGAATCCCAACTCAATCATCACGCAGTGAGCCTCGTCCGCGATTCAGTCTGACAACAATGATCATTGCGTATTCCTGAGAAGCCACCTAATCTGATTCCACAGAAATCCCCCCATTTTACACCTCTGACTCTTGTAAATAGGATTTAAGCCAGTAGAAATGTGTAGAGTTGATTGAATCAAATGCAATATTTCTATTAGAATATTGACGAAATCATTGAAATTACTTAAGTATTAGTTCAACTATGCGTGCTTACTGAAATCACTGAAGTAATCATAGATTAAAGAAGAGATTTTTATTTAGATTTATAAACTCAGTGGAGTTTTATTTATTGGAGACAATGCGCTATTTTTTTTTGATGATTTCTGAATTGATTACAGTGTTATCATTACAATTAAACTCTCCTTCTTATATCTCAATTTTTTCTGAGACACTTTGATTTAAGAATCGCAAAAGAGGATTATAAGTTTATAAAATATATATCCTAATCATTTTTTTCTTTCATCAAATCTTCATCTCTAATTTATCTCCTATATTGTAGCGACTTAAGATTAAACTCTATTAGCGCTAAAATTAATAAAAGTGTAAAATTATTCCATTCTTTTGTATCTTTCTGTCCACTTTAAATGCCGCCGCCGCCTCAATAAGGTCTGTGTCTCTCTCTGCCGTGATCTCTGCAAGAAGAGCAAGTTTCATTGTCTGCCTGATGACTTATCAATCATTCCCAACTCACCCGCCGCGCATTGCTCCGCCACCGCGTCCTCCGCCTCGGCCGCCGAAGCCTCCGCCACCCATATTGTTACCGCCGCCAAAGCCACGATCGCCTCTGTCCCTCGGCGGTCCACGGAATCCACCGCCTCCGCCGCCGTCACCGCCCGACGCACCGTTGCCGCCGTCCGCCTTTGGCGCTTTGCACCTGTTGCAGAGATTCCTCCAGGCGAAGTTCTTGTTGCTACAGCCGCTGCAGATCCAGTCGCCCTCGCGCTCTTGCATGGCGTTCGCGCCACTGCCGCCGCCACCTCCGCCTCCGCCGCCGCGCGGCCCGCCACGGCTGTCCTGATCGCCTCCGGGACCGCCACCTCTGCCGCCAAAGTCCCTGCCGCCACCTCGGCCTCCGCGATCGCCGCCAAAGCCACCTCGGCCGCCGCGCCCTCCGCCGCGTCCGCCCTGCCAGTTGTTCTGTCGCTGCGCCAGCGACACTTTGATCGTGGCGCCGTTGAAGTCGCGGCCATCGAACCAACTGATGGCCGACTTGGCGGCGTCCGGATCGTCGTAAGTCACCGTGGCCTCGCCCTTGGACTTGCCCGTCTCCTTGTCCTTGTACACCCAGATCTTGGGCTTCATCGTCTTCTTGTCTTTCTGCAAAGGCAAACACAGAAATTCAATCACTTTCTGCCATCAAAAGACCAACAATTCCTAATTTGTTTTTCATCTAATCAACTCCAATGCAATGCATTTAAGTACATTCGAATAATGCCAATCAAAAGACTCACTTTAATGATGCCGATGGCTCCGAAGTGGCTGTGAATCTCCTGCTCAGTCACAGACGGATCCATTCCGGACACGAAGATGGTGTCTTCCTGAGTGATCATGTTGGAATCACCGCGCGAATCTCCGCCTGTTGAATAACACCATTTTAGTCTTACATCTGGAATTTCGCCTCCACAAAATCTCTCATAATGTCAATTAAAAGCTATCGTCTATATTTTATTCTATTGCAACCCTTAAAATTACTCTCTTTGACAACCCTTTTTTCCACTTGACCATTACGATTTTCCTTCCAGAATCAATAACCATTGCTTTTCATTCGTTTTGCAAACTGATAAAATACCCTTAAGCTCTAAAATTGTCTTTCTTTTGAGGAACACCTGGAAAATCCTTCTTTGAGTACATAAATATTGGAGAAACTTCGGTAGAATAGAAAACCCAGTTTTTTTTATGCATACAAACTCACACTCTCACAAGGCAAAATCAAGCACACTTTTCACTCTCATTTCTGCAGTGAAATTTCTCTCTTTTGAGAATGATACCAAATAAAAAAGGAAAAATTGAAGATTTTCTTTCCCCTCTGACTTGATGGAGAACTTTTCCGTTGTGTAAGAATTTTGACCACTCTTTTCATACATTTTATCATCAAAATTACCTGTTATGATAGATATTTTTTCTTCTAAAATTATCCTCTGAAGATTACAGAATATACTTTAAAACACTTGTCAAAAAAGTTTTCTTTCTTCTGGCATAAATTTTTGTTTATGTTCTTTTTGTAATCTTCAGAGAATTTTTTATTTCATTGCCTAAAATACCACTCAAAGCACATTTTAAAGTACACTAAAAAATACATTTCTTTTTCTCTTAGGTACTTAAAGTTAACAGAATCGATCATTTGGATAAACATTGTTACTCTCATTGACACTCAGGGGAAAATATTGTCATTTGCTTGACATGAAGAAGGGATATGAAATTGGATAAATTTCGATTGTGTACTCTTTTTTCGCTCTCTCAAAGTGTGGTTAACCAAAATAACATTAAGATAAGGTTGGCAGAGAAACTAAAGGACAATATTATAAAATAGTAAACTCTTATAAACCATTTATTATTAAATTGATCACCGAACAATTTTCTGTCCAGTGTTTACCTTTATTGAAACCAGGTTTGTTGACACCACTGCTGCTAATGAAACCATATGTTACTATCATTGTGATTCGGGGTGTGCGCGCAAATCTTTTCCGTCTCTTTTCAAATTCGCTATTATTCCGTCTTTCTCTCTCTCTCTTTCTATTCCGTTTCCTTGCTTGATTCCACATCATCAAGTCTCATCTTCAAAGCTTCCGCAATTGTCGACACTTTTGGGCAGCGCAAGAAATAAGGCCGATTCCTCTCAAAGCGCCAAGCATCGGCTTTGAGGAAAAATCAGCCTCAACAATTGTAGCCAAAGTGTAATGAATTGCTGAATTTTGACGAAGAGATCATAATCTGCAGATGGAAACTGTTCATGTCCGCACACCCAATGATAGAGAGACGTGCGAAATACCTTCTTTAACCACTCTTAAAACGCTGAAGTTCATATAAATTATCACGTTAGAGTAGGACACATATAATAAATGATAAATAATAAATTTTAAATAGTCTTTTTGGTGAAGTAGAATTAGAACACGAATACTATCAACAATGTATAAATTTTTCTGCTATGATTTTCATCCATAAAATTACATTTGATACCAACGCTGATGAATTTCAGACAAAACGCTTCATTGTGAACCTTTTTTTCTTCTTCTTAACACTTATAGTTAAAATATACAGTAACTTTTTTATTGTTCTCTTTGGCCATTCAAGTAAAACAACAGATAAACGCTTCAACCTTTTTTTTTGGCGCTAAATGGCGAAGTCTTCATTGCCGAAACTTACCACAATTGGAAGAACAATCAAATCCAATATGTTTGCCAAAATATCGAGACTCTCGCAAGAATACCAAGTCATCAAACCATGGAGCAAGAAATCGTTGATAGTATTGAATGTAATCCAGAAATCAATTGCACGAATGGCCTGGATTTATCAAATTTTACCATTTTTTTTTTCATCTGATCGTTAGCAAGAAGACACTCTTTGCGCTTTACCATTTCTTTTTATACCATTTAAATGGACTCTTTTCAATTTGACTGAATAATCTTGTGTTCTTTATCCGTTTTACCAAAATGTACTCAATTCTTTTTCAAATGCAACAAGGACGAAAGAGACTTGGGAATTATTCTGGAAGTCTTACCTAAAATTGCCGCCTCCTCCGCTTCCACCCCGGCGCCGATCGCCTCCAAAGTCGCCTGAAACACACAACAAAATCAGAATCAATCATTTGACAATGAGTGGAACGAATGCGTTTCATTGAAAAAAGAGATTATTATCCGAAATTGGTAAAAATAAGGGAATTTCAAAATTTTCAACCCAATAGCAAGACGTGAAATTCAAAATGGAAAATTAAAACACATCAAAATCTCTCTTTTGTTGGCGCTTTGAACTCAAAAGATGCATTTTGCGGTCTTGAAAGTGTGAAATAAAAAATGCAGAAAATCTATGCCACACTTGAGTAGGCCAATAATGTAAACATATTCAAAGTATACAAAGCACAGTCGGCCTTGACCTTAACTAGAAGTCACTTTTCCCAAGCCTGATCGAGAGCAGATTTGCTACTCTAAATGCGATACTCACGATTACTCCCAAAATCACGACCGCCGCCTCGGCTCTGGTATCCGCCGCTGCCGCCGTCCTTTCCTCCTGAAAAATTACCTTCACCCTCGTAATAGTCACCCCCACCGTAGTGATTGCCTGCAAGACAGGGAGAAAGCATTCTGGATCAGTGAGACTGATCTTGAGGCGCACTCGAGATGCATTACTTTGACTGCCGCCGCCGTAGCCGCTTTGCTGCGACCCGCCGCCCCAGCCGCCAGAGCTCGGCGGAGCGGAGTTGTTGCCGCCGCTCGGCGGATAGCCAGGTGGAGGGACAGAGAACTGCCCCGGAGCAAAATTACCGTAGTTTCCGTACTCTGGAAAATAGCGGAGGAAAATGTGACACTGACGCCGCATTGCCTCGGGAGACCTTCAGAAATGCACTCGATTTTCTACACTAAATTCACTTACGATCTGACATCTTCGATGCTCTGCCTATTCACGATGCACTATTCCACAGATGGATGGTGTTTTAGAGCAGTAAATAGTGGTATTACTGCGGATATTTACAATTTTCTCAAGCGACACGCACTTCACTAAAGGAGAAATGCAAAGATGGCTAACTTGACGAAGAGATGTGAAGTGGCATAACTTGACGAATGCACTGCGAAAAAGTTTTGCGGGATTTCCAGATGCAGATATGCGAATAATGTAATAAAGAGAGTCCTTTGGGTTTCGTTTCTATGATTTTAACATAAATTTCACATCAATGAAAATAAAATGTGTGCTTTGTTCAAAAAAATCTCTTGAAATTGTTTGGACACGGAGTGAGTTGAGCGGAGCTGATTGTGTAATAACGGCGTGTTTGAACATTTCGCCGCACTTCGACGCTGGACTTCGCGTTCCATCGATTTCCCGACGGAATTTTGTTTTGGAAAATTGAGACGCCAAAATCTCACTTCTTGGCCAAAAGTGCTGGACCGCGGTCTCGCGAATCGAGTCTCTCGCTGCTGTGGAAGCTCCGATGGCGTCATCGCGTTATACTCACGCTATAGTTTGTCGGTGAGTATTTGGTCATTTTCAGTTGTAATTTGCATAATGAGATGATTCGCGGCGCCCCTTGGCATTGACGGTCCGGCAAATTGGGACCAATTGATAGCGAGTGAAAAAATGGGAGTGGCATAATTAGTGGTCTCTCTATTCGCAGAATCCCACTGAGTCTGAGGACGCGTGGAGAAATCGATCTGGAGGAGGCGAAGAGGCAGCACGAGGCCTACGTGAAGTGCGAGCAACTGACCACCCGCTTTTCGCTGCCCTAACTAATTTCCCTCTCTTTTTTGCAGCCTGCTGCGAGAGCAGGGACTGGACGTGATCGAGCTGCCGCCGGACGAGAACCTGCCGGAGTGCGCCTTCGTAGAGGACACGGCGGTCGTCTGCAATGGGATTGCCCTGATCACCAAACCGGGAGATCCCCGGCGAGCGCAGGAAGTGAGTGAACTGTGGAAATCCCACAATTCTTAGTAATCAATTCGATCAATTGCCATCAAATGTGCCAGAGGATGTGAGTAATTCTGGCTTCTCTTGCGATGTTCTCCAAATGGGAATGAAGATTTGGCAAGCTTTCAACTCAAATATTGATGCGGAAACAACATATTCAAAAGTTCTACTTTCCTGGATTTGCTGCCAAAGCAATTTTACAGTTGCTCCAAATTGAATTTCACTCGCTGACGAGCATTGAGAAATTGGCAAAATTGAGCGACTTAATCAATTTTTGGGAACAAGAATGGATTGAACTAACTAATCTGTAGATTTACACTTTTCGAAGCTTTTTCAGTGGCAAACACAGAAATTTTGGTAAATTTCAAGCGAATTGTTACCTAGTTACGGAATGAACGAGACTTTAGAGCAGTCCGAATAGTATTCAAGGATTTTCCAGCTGCTATCAGGACAGATATTCAATCCAAGGGATAATTTCATGATTATGATGATCTTTAGATTTTGATGAATAATTGTAAAAAAATAGTCAGAATTCTGGTTTGGTGCTATTTAATTTGTGGTCACTGTATTGACGTGTTTGCAAAGATATCCAGAAAGTAGTGCTGTTTGGAAGAAAGTTTTGTATGCCTTTTTTCGGCCAGTGCATCAGGTCAAGGTTGGACGTATTGTGATAATAATTCATCAAGTGTCTTTCGACTGTATAATGTTCATTGTAGTAATTTATCAGTGTTCTGCAATCTCACACTCCTATCTAATCTAAGAAACGCCGGCAATTGAGTGATTTCAACTCTAAAACGTCTCTTTTATGCTGCTCGTGAATTCCTTTCACTCAACAATGCAATCTATAAATTTTATGACAATTGAGAATTATGAGAGAAGTTTAAAGTTGTAAAAAGTGTGTTAGATCACCATTGTATTTTATTAATTTGACTTGCAATTGACTCTCCCATAAAGGTCGAAAGTATTAGAGCGGTGATAAAGAAAGAGCTGGATTTGCCATTAGTGGAGATCGCAGATGAAAATGCGAAGCTCGACGGTGGAGATGTTCTGTTCACTGGTAAAATTTCATCTAAATTACTTTCAACAGTGTGAAAATTGATGGTTTTCTTGTGATTTTGCAGGCAAAGAGTTCTTTGTCGGCCTCTCGCAGTGGACAAACGAAGCGGGGGCGAAAGCAGTTGCAGCCGCTTTTCCTGAATATCCATGTGTTCCCATAAAAGTAAGTAATATTCATTGAATATTTTAAAAGACATTCAACCACAAAGTCTTATTGTTTACTCAACATTTTACTCCGTTTTTCTTTTTTAAATGAAACACATTAGAAGATTATATAAAAGAAATATAACGTTCGATAATGACACAATTTTTAACACAACTTATTACACTTGTATTTGATAATCTTTAGGTAGAAGACATAAGTAGTCCTTCAAAAGTATTAACTTTGGACTTAGTCGAAGGAAATATTCAGGTTTATAAAATGATCTTGTTGAAGTTCAATGAAACTTATATTCAATTCATATTTTAGTGCGAAAAAAAGGCAAAATTATTGTGAAGGAAGACTATTAGAAACAACAATCTTTATTTCATCACTTTCTCTTAGTTTGGCTTTCAGTAAAATATAGGCTTTGTAACACTTCTTTAATCACGCTTAGATAGCACAACAAATCGGCAAGATCCGCACAGTGATCGAAAAAGCGTGTAGCATATTATCAATAACTTCTCATGCAACAATTTCTCATGCAAAGGTGTGAATAGGGTTTGATCGACATGTGAATATATAGCATTTTTTGAATAGTCGACGCACACCCTAAACATACCGTATTTCCTTTTTTTATCTTTAAACTTACACTTTAGCTGGCTATCAACATATTTGTGTATGCAAAAGTGCGCAAACTTCTGTGAGTTGTACTAAAGATCATTTCGCATGCTTTCTAGGTAACTGAACATCATCATCTCAAGTATTATATATCAATGGGTGCTCCAGATTTGTTGGTTGTTTGCAATACGAAGGAATCTCAGGAGATTCTCAAGAGAATTGAGCGCGAAGCGAGCTTTACCTACCAAACACTGACGCTGTCTGAGGAGAAAGCGGCCAATGTTCTGCACATCAACGGAACACTGATTCACAGATCAATTGAGGAAATTCCAGTATCTTTTCAGGTGAGAAATCATTGATTTTCCCCATGAGAATATCTCGCTGACTAAAGAGAATCTTTTTTGCTGTGTTTTATTTAGATTTTTTCTGAGAAAATCGACATTCCGCGGCAGGTGTTGAACATTTCGGAATTAGGGAAGTTTTCAACTGGCCTCACATCGTGTTGTCTCCTCGTGAGGCGGACAAAGTATATTCGCAATTTATAAGGATAAGCAATTAGGCAGGAAGGGGAATTCATTCCATTGCACAAAGTCAATGCTAAATGGGTGAAAAGTCCACTTTTCCTCTTTCATCTCATTCACTCTTCTTAATTTTCACGTGAAAATGACTAATCATAAAATTAACTTCAATGTGTGCTAAAATGAGAACTTCCTTGCTTGATTTTTTACACTATCAAATAAAAAATGTTTGACAAAATAATCTCTCTAGACAAAAGCAAAAGGAAGTTGAAAATGAATAGAAAGAAAATCGTACAAATTTTTATTGGAAACACTCCTAGCTGAGTTTCTTGTTCAAAATTATGTGTTTTTCCATGTTGATGCAAAAAATTTAGAAGAAGATTATGAATAAGGAAAAAAAAATTATATTAGAAATTATTCAGGTTCCAATTCAAGTCATTTGAATCTTAATATGAATATTTATGTTAGAGAAGATGAAATAAGCATTGATATTTATATATATATTTTGTGAGAAATATTTATGACGGATTTTTAATTTATTTTTGACCATCCTTTTTCCTCTTTGCGTAAAATATTGAGCTCTGTCTCTGTTTATGTGAGCATTTTGTGAACAGGTTCTAAAAGCAGATAATTAAAGCAATTGAATTCCAGTGACAATTAAACAGACTTTTATTTCAATATTTTTAGTGAAATTGTGACAATCAATATTGTGTCTTTGAAGTGTAGCACGAGCGACCATATCTTTGCTGCAAAGGACGATAATTTCCAGCCATTGAATCTCCGCTGGCGCCAAACTTCTGCAGTTCGCGAAGTTTTTCTATGTCTCTATGACTGATCTTGTGAATATTTGAGCCGATTAGCCATTGCACAGCTTCAGAACACGGCGGCGAAGTCAAGCTGCCATGGTAGCGAATATAGGACTTTGACCTTTTGAAGAAGTTAGTAAGCTTGAAGCCAGGATATCGCACTCGGATTCTCTTTCCAGCTTCCCTTACGTAATCAATGTATTCCACAAATGGTAAGCTTTCGGCTTTCTCGGCAATTTCGAAGAGAACAGCAATAACAAGCAAACCGTTGCGATCTAGAGCGGCTTGTTCGATACTTTTGTAATAACTCTTGATGAAGATCAAGTGCAATTCCATGGAATATGATTTGGATTTGATTGTGTGTTCGGATCCAACACTGCAAAGAGATGAGGTAAAGGTAGATTTTCTTTAAATATTTGAAAAGTTCCAACACTTACTCGTTTGTCTTCCCAAAGTGATAATGCAGTTGAGCAAATTTGTACTTTGTTCCATAATAGTAATGGTGATTTTGATAGGAACCTAATCCCGAAGTTATCATTGGCGTTGTGCCTTTGAAAGCGAACGTGATTTGGATGGAATGTCCATTATTTTCAATGAAAGCCTCAGTTATGAATGAGTGGAAGTAATGAAATCTGAATGGGTAGCGGCTGTAGTCTGATTTGCAGTCCGATGGCTTAATATCTATTGGACTTTGTTCATAACCTCCGCAAGCTGGCCACTTTTGGTACCATTTGTAGGGCGCTGAGGGGAAGAAAACACCAGGATAAAATTAAATGGATCGATAAAATCACAGGAAATCAAATAACTCACGGTACTCGCTGGTGTTATCATAGCCATAGTCGTCATGACTCTAGGGCGAAAGATATTAAAGTTTCTATTTAAATTCACTGAGCGTGGAAAATCAACATTCACTTACAGCTGTGTAATCCATGTAGTTTCTTATTTGCAGAGGAAAATCGTCATTGAGTGGAAGAATTTTTAGCATTCCATCAAATTTCGTACCTTCCACTTGAATGGTTTCGTTTGTGGACAAATCGTTTGCGGAATCTTCCAAAGACGAATCGTCCTGAGCTTTTCCTTCATCCATTGTCACGATTAACAAAGTTACCGAGATGATTATCCCTATTTTCTCGTACATCTGACGAATAGTGATTTTTCTGTACACACTAAAATATAGTTTATCACGGTCTAGACGAGTCACAGACGACTATACACGCGACTGCGAATCATCAGAACAATGCATGTTATTTTAAACCGAAATAAATGTAAAATTGATGATTCCTTACTATGTACATATCTTTCCCAATGTGCAGTTGAACAATAAATTAAACTAGTCATCTTTTATTCATATTCACATACCTGCATAACTTATTTATACTTGGAACGAGCGAATTGTTATCGGAACTGCAATTTGCACACCTATTTATTATATTATTTCACTGTGAATCTGTTATGCACGAAATTTTGTTGCACGGCAAAGCCTTCGAATTGATTTATACTGAGCAAATTTAGGGAAACCACCCGCCTCTTATTGTCTTTATCACTGCGAATTCACTTTCAAAATGCTTAATTCACTTAGGGCAAGATTGGGCTACGCGAACACTTTATCCTGTAATTTTTCACTATACAAAGTAACGAAGAATTTAAATAGTAGTCAGAATAACTCACCTACCTTTTAATTTGATATTAATACTCGTGCCGAAAAGCCCGACGGAATTTGATAAGGTTCTCTACTAGAGTGACGTTTTGAATAAATTGCCATTATAAGGAATGATTAATTTGCTAGAGATTTCACTTGATATTTCGAGACAGTCACACAATGTACAGTTGATATTTGGGAAACATAAATCCAATGGAAAGTGAAATCAAAACTGGCAAAAAATCGAAAAATCAAAAGTAATTCAAAGATAATGTGGTTTTTTTACATTGCTTTTTACTGAACAAAAAATGCTTGAATTCTTTTACAAAGGATCCTTTTCAAGGTAGAAAAAATATGGCACCGGTGACAAGATAAGGTAATAAAAGTCGTAGGGTTGTTTAGCGAACGTAACAATCGCGTCCGTTGAGGTCCTGAGTTGGTCGGTGATTTCCAGCCATTTGGCCCTCATCTCCGTTCACACCTCTGAAGCCCTCCAGTGTCGCACGGCTGACTTTCAAGATTGTGGATGACACGTACCACGTAACGGCCTCAGAACATGGCGGAGTGGTCAAGCTGCCTTCGTAGCGGACATATTTGAAGCTGAGGGATCCGATGAAGTCAAGCAGACGGTGTGATTTTGCATTATCCACAGTCACGCTCTCGCCGGAGTTCTTAATTTGGGACAAAAAGTCCGTCAAATAGCCACTGAGTGAGTTGTTAGTCTCGTCATCGTCGGCGTCTGAGACTTGGAAGAGGAAGCCAAGAACGAGCAAACCGTCAGAGTGCTGAGAAGCTTCGCTAACGTCGGCATAAGTAGATTTGGAGTGGACCAAATGGAGTTCCAGAGGATAATGCTTGGAACTGAGAGTATGTTCTGATCCCACACTGGAAGACAAAGTAATTTCAGTTAGATTTTGTGGTCAGAATTCACCCAAAATATCGATCGTCTCACCTATCAGTCTTCCCGAAGTGGAAGTGGAACTGCTGGAAGTTGTATCTCTTCAAATTCAGGATTCCACGAGTGACATAAGGAGCGTTCTTGCCGTAGGTGAAAGAGACCTGCACTGCGTGTCCCACGTTGGTCACGGTTGAAGTCACTGGATTGACGTCGTAATTGTTGAGTTTGATGGGGAAGAGCGCAAGATCCCTTTTGCAGGACGATGGGTCAACGTTGATCGGACTCTGCTTAAGTCCACCGCAGGTTGGCCACTTTTCAACCCAACGCTCAGGAGCTTTATAGAGATGATCCAGGATTTAGAAATGCACAAATACCCTTTTTTACAAAATCAACTTACGATATTCGCTGTGTTCCTCATAACCATAATGATCGCCGCTCTGAAATTAGGATTCAGATCAAAAATTTATTTTGGGACTGATTTGAGTCTGTTAAACTTACGCGAGGCGCGAAATCCAGTTCCTCCAATTCTCCCAATCGCTGAAGCAGGACAGCATATTCCTGCTCCTCGGTGAGCTCGCTCACGGAGTTCTTGGCGGATTCCCAGGAAAAGTCCCTCGCCTGAAGCCTCTCGACGGAGGCGATCAGCAAGACTGCGATGAGGATTTTCATGCTTTCCGCTCCCGTAGGATTTTCACACTGAATTTGATCACAGCGAACGAGATACTTGTGACTTCATCAATACACTTTCCCCCTTATATATTGCGGGAAATTGCAAAATTCCCACTATTATCTTTCATTATCTGGGGAAATTAGAGCTGCAAATTGGTGAATAAACTAATTATTTTACACACCTCTTGCTGATTAAGCTTTTGAAGATCCCACTGGCTGTGATAGCTCATGTATATTACATATATAATATTGGTAAACGAGAGTTGTCTCGTCTGTTCCTTCCTTATCTATTGATCGAATTGATCGTTACCAGGTGAGGTTCTGACTTTGGTAACGTGCAATTGAACAGACGATGGAAAAATACAATGATGCAATGAGCAAATTTTGAACGCTAAAGAACTGGTGAAGATTTGAGCAGAATTTTTGTGTCCAAACTTATAAATCGATATTACTTTTATTCTATTTTCAATTAAAATGTTTTTTTTTAATCCCTCTACTTATTAAATTCGTCATAATTATTATCCTAATATTCAATTATATAATACATAATAATTATAATTATTATTCTATTCTCCAAACGAATGCGACATTTTAAGAATTATTGAAGCTTTAATATGAATTTACGCATCGTCTTTCCAAAAGCATATATTTTCATTGCTCAATTACTAAGCAAGAAATTCTAGACGCAGATGACATCAGTCGTTGATCTATTGTTATTGTATATTCGCAATATTCGCCATAAAAGCTAACAACTGCAGACATATCTTCACTCCAAATACGCCTTAGAGATTAGTAACACTGGAGAGAGAGTGAGTGTTGACCCCTTCCTGCGCCAAAGACCTCGTCTGGGAGAGAGTGATAAGAGTTTACGGGGAAAAATTCCCACGATAAGTCGCGTGCTTATATCACAACACAGCGAAGATCATAAAGCTGTAAATGAAATTGATTGCTGTTTCAAGTTGATCATACGTTTATTTTCAGTCAGATACAAAAAGTTTTGAGATGTACTCAGGTGGGGGGACTTCTTAAGCTAGACCTTAACTAGTGGTAGGCGCATGAGCGGCCGTTGATGCTCTGGATCGGCCGGAAGTTGTCCATCATGGGCCCCTCGTAGCCCTGCAGCGCCCTGAACGTATCCAGGTCCTGGCGGCTGATCTCCCGCGGGCGCGTCGAGAGGATCCACGTGACGGCCTCAGAGCAGGGCGGCGTGGTCAGGCTACCCTCGTATGTGGCATAGTGGAAGTCCATGGAGCCCACAAAGTCGAAGAGTCGATGACTGCGCGGATTCTCGATCCTAATCTCAGTTCCGTCTGTGGGCACGTCGCTCAGGTAGAGCGCGAATCTTTGGTTGGGTGTCTTTTCCAGCACTTGGAAAAAGAGTCCAAGCACAAGGAGTCCGTCTGCGTGCTGGCTGGCCTCTTGTGTGTCGTTATAAATTGCGTTATAGAACACCAAGTGCATTTCCATTGGGTAAGTCACTGAGTTGAGTGAGTGTTCGGAGCCCGAACTGGAAGATAAGAGTTAAGAGAAATCGTTTAGTCTCTTAAGCCGATAAGGATTTTACCAAGCAGTGAAAGCTCAAGTGCTCTAGGCTAGAGTGTGCGCGGAAGCACAAGAAACCGCTCGAGGCGCTCAAAGTCACGTCCGTGAGTGAAGGACAAGGTTTGGCGCATGCATTGCAAATGCCTTGAGCTCTCGAGTTTCCATTCTTGCATAGTCTGGCGGTGAGAACGCCAATAAATCATGCGGAACTCCCACAAGAACAATTCCGGTTCTCACAGTTGTTGGCATAAATTCAACACTTACTAGTCACTCGAGCCGAAGTGGAAGTGCAGCTGGGCGAAAAGGTACTCGGCGTCCAGGAAGCCGCCGGTCAGGATTGGTGGCGTGCCAATGTAAGAGAAGGAGTACTGCACAGTGTGCCCCAGATTCCTGATTGTCGTCGTGTGCGGGTGTTTCTTGAAGAACACCGATTGCAGAGGCGGTCCGTAGTCCTTCTCGCACGCCGGCAGGGCCAGATTGATGGGACTCTGGCGCGTTCCACCGCATTCGGGCCACTTTTCCACCCATGCTTCAGGAGCTGCAGATGAAAATTAGTCAATTTAGCAGAAATTCATTTGTTTTATCAAATGAAACACTTACGATATTCGCTATCTGGCCGATATCCGTAGTTGTTATCGTCTCCGCTCTGCAAAATTTGAGCAACAATAGCATTTAACAACTAGTTTTACCATAAGAATAGTCCGTAAAATTAAATACCGAGGCATGATTTTAATTAGGCTTCTCAATATATCGTCAAGTTATTGCTTATTTTGCTTGTGTAACCTTTATTAAAAAGCACACCTCGCGTTCAGTCTTTCAGTTCTGTATTAGTCAATTTGTTAGTCAATAATAGTCTCTAGAAACGTGTCTTTAGTTTATATTAATGAGTCAAACACACACAAAATTACCAAGAAAATTACTACAATCTATTATAATAATGGATACTCACTCGTGGAGTGTAAGATTTTGTCGTCACTTCAGGATCATCCCTCAGAGATTGTTTGGCAGTGATCTCTTTAGCTTCTGTGGGAATTATATTGGCTCCCGTGCCGGATTTATAGCTGTAGGCTGGACTCTGGATATCTTTCGGCTTCTTGCCAAACAGATGTTCAAAGTACTTCTCATTATCAGCATGATTGTCTCCCCACGAGTGATAAGGCTTTCCAAAGCCTTTTCTGTGAATGCTCTCTTCCTGGCTCATATCCTCGTCTTCCTCCGGAGGACCGAAGTCGCCCTCCTCCTCATGATGATCCGCGGGCTCTCGCACTTCCTCCGGAGACGCCTCGTGGTCGTCATAATGATCATAATCATGGTATTCCTCAGCCGCTATGCTCGCCACACAAGCGATGACTATGAAGACTATCAACTTCATCGTGCGTTGCGTTCTGAAGGGAACAGATACAAATCTCGTGTGAATTTTTCGCTCTATTGCTTCCAATGCTATAAATTAATCATCCACTAAAACATTTATGGCCGTTGTCATATCAAATACCAATAATCTATCAGTTTTTAATCCCCGATAATTGAGGCGATAAATTTGCTACTCATTCAAAATGCCCACGCGAATAATTATTAGTTATTTTAGATGGAATTCCTGTTAGCGAATATTACATTGTATATAAAAATATAGCGCAATAAAAGTTATATTTGATAAACACTACACAATGCACGTGTAATAGACTGTTTCCCTCAATTAATAGATTATTGAAATAGTTTTACAGCCACGCGAATCTAAATCACGATTTTTCTTATCAAAATTGAAAGTGAATAGCCAATGAATAGCAATTACTATCGGCTTACATATTAATTGATGTGAGTACTTAGCATAAAATCCTTCTGCGAGAGAAGTTGAATGATCTTCCCAAGTGAGATTCGAGATCTTGAACTTAATAAATCAGAAGGAATAAATTATGCACTGCTCTTTATGAGCTGTTGATGAGTAAATTGGAAAAACCTTCTGATCTGAGTGTATGAATAACGTTTTGTCAGTTGAGCGAGCATAATGCAAAAGACTCACTGCACAATACTATCAAATTGTAAAATCACCTCATTATAGAAACATATAAATAGCAAAACACGCTTGTTTGATTACAAGAATTCAATATTAAATACTGCAAAATGGGAATTCTGAGTTTTTTTGTATTGATTATTATTATTATAAGAATTGTGTATAAAATACTTGTTTATGCAATTTATTCACCACTATAATATTTTCACTTTTAATTGAGTTCGCAAGAAACACTGTTTGGCTGTTCCAATTTGCCTTTTTCGTGTGTCTTCCACGACTGTTAGTGAGCAAATGACCACTGAAAGTTGTCTTCGGGAGCTTTATTTGGCGAATTTCTCAGAGATAAAGTGACGATTGCTCCCACTTTTTGATCCAAAGATGAAATATCACTTTTGATTGATGGTCTTTCTGGTCAATATAGACAATTGTTGTCTGAGTTTTTCCCCTTGTAGTCCGAGAAAATTTATTAATTGTAAATAACTCAAAATTCCTCTGACAATTTTGAAAACTTGATATGACTAAACGACACACAAACACATTGCTATAATTTATGGGAGCGGAAATACTATTTTTCCACTAATTTCGCACTTCCTAAAGATCACTTACATTCTTATTTGGTCACAATAGATCCTCCAGAACCACCCTGAGTGGTCAAAGAACCACTGAGAATTGAGTTTTCTGCTTGCTTGTGAAGCACTTTATTCACTTTATTTAACCTGGCTATTCTTATTGTGAGTTTTTCCCCCCACCAAACGCCAGCGAAAACCCATATTGTTCTACGTCTGAACTGCGGCGAGGCGCGCTGTGGTAACCCAAGAAGATCACTGGGAAAAACAATGATGCGTTAAGACACGCGAATGGTAATTTTGATGGCAAATTGCTGGATGATATCCATAATGTGCCCATCTCAGCAATCTCAGCATGTTTCTTTTTTTTATCATAATCTCACCGAAAGATGATTCATGTTCCTCATTTGGGGTTTTTCATAGGAATTCAGCATAAATCCTACCTTGATTCACAACTAAATGATCCCAAGTGGATGAATGGAAGTTAGAGAGTCGCCGGAAGATATACAAATGACCTCAGAAACCGGTCTCTTGTCGCTTTTCTTTAGTGGTTTAGGAAAAATCACCGGAAATTTGACTGATAATTATCTTCTTGTCTTACGCAGCTTATGAAATTGCAAAATTTTTATGACTCTGACTGGTCATGGGATTTCTATAATCGCCAACGACATCTTCGAAAGTATCTTCTCACCCGCAAGGCGATAAGAGTGGGCTGCCTTTGAATTGACGATAATAAGACAGTATTTTTCGCTTTTTGCTATTGTACTTTTAATCCTATCTCAGGTGGATTATAAAAATTTCGCGTGTCGATAAGTGGCGTCGTACGCGAAATTTAAAGTGGCATTCATAGAAATCACGAGACTCGCGCTGTTATCGTCAAAAGACAGAGATACCATACAATATGGTATGATAAATAATTATTTTAATATTCATGGCGTGGGAAAATATCGTTTGACTGTGTTTAAATCTTTTGTACTAACGTGTTTTATTTGATAGAGTTTATGTGAAAATGGAGCAATTAAAACTAATTTCAAGACGTGGTAAAATAAATCTTACTTGGCTGAGCACATAAAAATTTCGCAAATATAAATTGGTAGAATGATTTTCAGCTGAATTACTGCTGTATGTCTCAGCCAATGCTATTTACTAAAGAGTATAAATTGGCCGTATAAAATACGAAGCAACAGGAAGTATGAAGATCGATTCTATATTCATACATTCTGCTTAACACTTTAAGTTCAAGGACTGCTATTACTCGAAATTGAGCTAAATTTAAGCTAAAATTGTGCTCCTTATCTTTAGTTTTTTTGTTGGCAGTCGTTTGCTTGGGTTTTCAGTTGCCACTTTTGAATTTTCTTACTTCCACACTGGAAAGCTGGAAGGTTAACGAATATCCGTTTGCGTAAATATTGTGCATTTTATGATCGCAACAATTCAGCAAGAATTGTGAACAAGGTTTGTAAGATGTTTATTGATCCAAAACAGGGCCAATTGAGTTGTCTGTACACAATAGTAAAAGCACTGAAATCTGGAATAATCTAGCGATTATGATGCTTGTGATTCAAATTTCTTCAAAGATGACGCCAAGTAGTCCAAGTGAGTAAATTTACTATTGCTTATTTCAGTCTTTTTGCGCTTACATAAGATATTTTGCAAATTTTCAACGAGAATAATTTTCTACTCCGACAGCCATTTTTTACACTTCCAGCCGACACGCCGTTTCGGAGTACGAGAATCCGAGCACGGGAAGTGTCAGCAAAAATGCGCGCTGTCACTTTTGCGAGTTGGCTTTCCAGAAACGCACCGCATTTTCCCGGAGATTGCACGCCTAGTTTTCACTGAATTTCCACTCCCCACAACTTGCCCGAGTGATTCCGCCGTGTCCTGGCCAGTCGCCGAACAGATAGGAAGGTGTGTTCAGAGCGGTTATCGCGAGAAAGTCGTAAGAAAAGCACGGTGCGCGTGGTTCAGTAAGACCAACGCTACAAGCTTGCAGGAAATCTCGGACATTTTACTTTTGGTGAGCTCTTGTTTGCAGGATTTTACATGATTTGCCGTCGAAAAGGGACAACGGGGATTCTTGGGGGCTGTTCTGACGGTGCTGTGGGGTGCTCTGCGGTGTATTTCTAGTGGGGAATGCGTTGGTTTTGGGAAGGCGTTAGCTTGGTGACGCTTTCCGGCAAAGTGTCCGGAAAGCTCTAGCGTGGCTCCCAGTGTCCTAAGAGTGCTTTTGTGTTCTTTCTTTGAAGACCCTGATCGACTAATCGCCCAGATGCCGCCGAAGAAGAGCGCGAAGAAGCCGGAAGCGACGGAGGCCGCGACCGAGGCGCCGGTGGAGCAGAAGAAGCGCGGGAAACGCGCCGCCGACGACGGCGCGGCGAAGAAAGCCAGTCCGGCAAAGAAGGCGCGCACCAAGAAGACTGATGACGTTGCCGAGCCCCAGAAGAAGGGCCGCGGTAAGAAGGCGGCCCCGCCACCCGCTCCGGAGGACGTGAGTCCGGCCAAGAAGGCAAAGAAGGACGAGGAGCCGGCCAATGACGCTGCATCGCCTGCCAAGTCGCCGAAGAGGCCCGCGGCCAAGGCCAAAGCGTCGCCCAAGAAGAAGGCGACGAAGAAAACGTCTAAGTCACCGGTGGCAAACGGATCAGGCCGAAAGAAGGAGGAGGGCGTCACCAAAGCATCCGGACGCGCCAAGAAGGCCGCTCCGTCTGACGACGCACCAGATTCGACCGCTGCCGTCGCCGCCTCGCCCAAAGCCAAGAAGGGCCGCGCAACTAAAGGTAATTCGCACGCTTGCACGTGAAAACTTTGCAGACAACTAAACTTACTGCTCCTCTATTTTCTTTCCAGCCGCAAAGAGTCCCACCAAGAGCCCCGCAAAGTCGCCAGCCAAGGCGAAGGCAAAGCGCGGAAGGAAGCCGAAAGCGGCCGTCGAGACGAGCGGTAAATAGTTTTAGTTTTGGGGTCAGGATTACTTTCATTTGTCCATTTTGAATTCTGAAGTTATAATAATGCCGAAGGACTTTATTTTTTCAAGTGTAACTGCCCTCAAATTCTTTTCTCGTTTTTTTTATCCTCAATTTTGGATAGTTAATATCTGAATAAATTCAAGATTTGTGAAGTTTTGTAGAATTGGCTGACGAAAAATGTTGTTTTTATTATGCGGTTCGATTTGTCTAAGAAATACCTCTATGAATTCACTTATTACTAACTTACACTTAATATTTTATTCTACGACTATTAAGTCATCCGTATTTGACGGCCCTATGCAAGATTACAAGTCTTATCTTATAGAAAAAAGTTGTCAAATATTACATTGTAAATTGTAATGAAGTATGAAAGATTGATAATTCTTGAAGACAAAGAAAATCTCTGAGGAGAGCAAGAAAATGATGTACAATTCGATTATCTCTTATGATTATAAGACGAGATCCGTAAAGTTGCATAGGTAATAAGATTGATTTGGATTCCGATTGACTTTGCAAATAATTTCTCTGGATATATTTTTTTTTGTTTGAAACACCACAAATTGAGAGAAGAGAGATAAGTTTAAGTGGTTTATTTCTTTTAGTTGTACGGTATTCATGTAGCAGAAAACATTGAATTATATGAGATTCACGTAATCAAGAAAATTCATTGACATTTTGTATCATTTTACTCAATTTTACTTTGGTCAAATTCACTGAAAAACTGAAAAATCAAGCAGTTTTTTCCTGGTTGTAAAATCTCTCGCGCGCGCAATTCGTGAGCGGATCTCTTTGTCCGATGGAGATTCACTCGCATTTCGTTGCTTTTATGCATGCTCGGCTTTTTCTCTCTTTCTGTCCCGAAAGAAAGGCATCATGAAGGAACGATCGTCGCCCGAAGGGTAAATAATTGATGAAAAATCACATTTATTAGTTCATTTAATCTCTGCTTGAACGAGAAAAAGTATAGCAAACGTTTTATTATTTCTTTCAGACGCTTTTTCTGGGTGACCGAATTGTGTGAAAAATCTCTCTCACAAGCATTCAAATGCAAAAAAAAGATCAATTATTTACTCTCTGAGCGGCGCGCGAATTGGGTAATGAACAATTATGTGTGGTTTGTCTGTGCTTTTGCATACTCTCAATTGCCTGTCTCTGTCTGGCTTTTTGGGAGTGGTTTTGTTTTGCTGTTGGCCAAGAAAAGAACAAGCTCGCAACTTTCTTCGCAGGCGAGGAGAACGGCGCCGCGGCGGAGGTGCCGAAGAAGGGCGGCAAGGTGCGCGCCAACGCCACAGTGACGAACTACAGTGAGATCGACTTCACGCACGAGAAGCCGTATAAGCTCAAGATCGCCAGTTGGAATGTTTCGGGGATGCGGGCGTGGATCGCGAAGGGTGGCCTGGAGTATGTGAAGCACGAGCAGCCGGACGTGTTCTGTCTGCAGGAGATCAAATGCAAGAGCGACGACATGCCGCCGGAGGCGCGCGTGAAGGGCTACCATCCGTACTGGCTGTGCCACAGCGGCTACGCGGGCGTGGCCATCTATGCCAAGGCGATGCCCATGAACGTCACGTATGGCATTGGCGACGCCGAGCTGGACGAGGAGGGCCGCGTCTGCACGGCGGAGTTCGAGAAGTTCTATCTGGTGTGCGTGTATGTACCGAACGCCGGCCGCGGGCTTGTGACGCTGCCCAAGCGGCTGCGCTTCGACGAGAAGTTCCACGCTTTTGTCAGCAAGCTGGATCAAAACAAGCCGGTCATCATCTGCGGCGACATGAACGTGGCTCACCAGGAAATTGGTGAGGACTTGAGCTTTCACTATACTTACTCTTTAGGCTGAAGACCTAAAATAGATTGTTGTTTCCTTCTTCATCAATTCTGTCGATTCACAGTGAATTTCTCATGAATATTGCTTTCAATTCCACCTTTCAGATCTTGCAAATCCCAAGACGAACAAGAAGAATGCCGGCTTCACTCAAGAGGAGCGCGACAGCTTGACAAAACTCTTCTGCCTCGGCTTTGTGGACACATTCCGGCATTTGTACCCGAAGCAGGCCAAAGCCTACACCTTCTGGACGTACATGATGAACGCCAGGAGCAAGAATGTGGGCTGGCGTCTTGACTACTTCATCGTGTCGGAGCGCCTGGCCAGCGCCGTGGTGGACAACATTATCCGCTCGCCAGTGATGGGCAGCGATCACTGTCCCATCGTTGCGCTCTTTGACTTCTGAACACAAAGATCTCGCTTCGTCAAGCATCTTTTGTAAGTTTGTTTTTATCAATGTTTGTACAATGGTTTAATATTATCGATGCTTTTCCCCTTTTTGTACGATCAAGAGAATAAAATGTAATCAATTCCTTCCACGAGGTTCAAACTCTTAATGTTGTTCTCCAAGGCGCCGTTCGTGAGATCCTGAAAGGATGGAAAATTAATGACAATTTCAAGGATTTCGAATAAGAATCTCACCATTTTCATGCACACAATGATCGGTGGTTGTGCTTCTCTGAAGTCTACTATAGAAATTTCTGAGCCACACTTCCTCGTCGCGGGATCAAAGGGCTGAAAAGAGCGTCGGATCTTCCGGGGATCGACGTCACAGAAACATCTGACCAACTTCTGCAGAGGCACAGGAAGATCTCTGTAGAAGCGCTTTCCCTGCTTTCCAGCATTCCATATTGTGAATCCACTCGTCCAGGGATCTTTGCAGAAGACGCGTTCTATCAAGTGATCCATTCGGAGTCTCCAGATAGTTTTCCTGACATGATAAGATCATTGAAAGTTTCAAAATCAAATTCCAGGAGGAAGATTTTCCCTTTAGACTCACCAATGAATGGAAAACGTTGTGGCTTCTTCGTGATATCTGTACTTTAGAACAGTGTCTTCAACCCTGAAGAGTTCACCGCCGAGATTTAAGTGACTGTAGAAGAAGATCAGGTCTTCAGGAGTTCCTTTTCCATCCTCGGAAAATCCTCCAACAGAAAGAAAAACATTTCTGTGAAAGAACCACGTCGGCATTACGACTGTGGGTCCATGGGATGTGTATATTTGTACTTTGAGCTTGTCCTGGGGTATCTCATTGGCCCACTTTGTGAATCTGTGCGTAGAATCCGGAGGATCCCTGACAAACTTTCCTCCGACGATCTGAAAGTGAACAAATCATGACTTAATACATCTAAAATTCACGAGGAAAATGAGGAAAACTGACTGCCTGAGTATTCTTCTTGGCTACTTCTAATTGCTTAGAACATCTGCATGGTGTCATCTCATCGTCAATGTCCAGGAAGCAGAGAAACTCTTCCGAAGAAGATTGTATAGCTCTGTTCCTTCCAAAACCCACTCCTCTCGGGCGTCCTGGAGAGTTCTCAGTGAGTACAAGTCGCACATTCACCTCAAGGAGCCTAGAAGTCCAGCTAAGGAGCTTCTGGACAGTTCCATCTGTGCTGCAATCATCGAAAACACACACTTCCCGGACGCAATCACCTTCTTGCCGAAGAATCGATTCCATACACGAATCCACCCATTTTTCACCATTCAGAACAGTAATTATAATACTCTGAAAGGGGCAGATTATCGTGAATTTGAGTATAAGCGGAATCCTGAAGAGAACTCACCACAAATCCGCTCAAAACTTTGGCTTCTTCCTGCACTTCATCTTCACAGCGACAAGACATGATTTTGTGAGGTTAGGGAGGGATTGTCATCAATCAATGTGTGTTTGTTTTGGTTGTAAAATTCCCAGTTTTACTTGATTTTTCCCTACTTCCTGGCCGCGAAATTGTGTGAATCGGGTGAAAATGGATTACCCAAGACCATGTGGATGCAAAGGACGTCGAACTTGTTTACTATGCGAAGAGGAATACGGAATATTGAAGGAAGATTTCATGGAAAAGTATCAGGTAAAGAGACACAGTTTTTTCTTGCAATTCTTCGTGTAATTATTGTATTTTCACTAGTAATTGGATAGCTGAGCACATTTTCAATGTTTTGCAGGACTTAGCGCATTATGTGTTTTGCTACAAGTGTGAAAAACTTGTTCCCGGATGGGATGTCGATGAAGTATTGCAGAATCACGAGAACCACAGCGGCTGTTTGGATTTTCCTGGCATATTTGTTCTTCCGGACTTCATATCCGAGACGGAGGAGACTGAGCTGATGCGTGGCATTGACGGAATGACGTGGGATGTGTCTCAGAGTGGCCGAAGGAAGCAAAACTTCGGACCGAAGACAAATTTCAAGAAGATGAAGCTTCAGGCAGGACGATTCCGTGGCTTTCCGGCCTTCTCGCGCTTCATCCAGGAGCGATTCAACTCGGTGGCGTTGCTAAAGAACTACCAGACCATCGAGCAGTGCTCGCTGGAGTACGATCCCGCGAGGGGAGCTTCAATTGATCCGCATATCGACGATTGCTGGATCTGGGGAGAGCGAGTTGTGACGGTGAATTGCCTCTCGGACTCCGTTCTCACCTTGGCACCGTATCACGGGGACACCAAGAAGTACAACGTGGCCCTGGTGAACGACTACAGGCAGCACTTAATCTCTCCGCTGGCGGAAGATCATTCAGGGGATGTTCTTGTGCGAGTTCCCATGCCCAGAAGATCACTGATCATCATGTTCGGGTCGCCGCGGTATCAGTGGGAGCACAGCGTTCTCCGGGAGGACATCAGGCAGCGACGAGTGTGCATCGCTTATCGGGAATTCACGCCACCTTATCTGGACGGTGACAATGCAGTGGCGCAGGAAGTGCTCAGCAAAGCCAAGGAGTTCTTCAGGTGAGTACAAATACACTTGATTACGTGATTAGGAAATATCGTTTATTTCATACACTTTGCAAAAATGTTATGTCAATAAATACTACAAAAGGTTTCTATTATAAAAAAATCCATATTTCTCACTCGTAATGATAATTTTTAATAATATTTCCAATGTGGAAAATTGTGTGGGTTTCACATTGACTATAAATAAGTATCTTGGGAAATACAACAATATCGCTAAGGAATTCCTAAGAAGAACTTATCCAATTCTACTTGACAAGTGGTGGAGAGAGACTGAGGCGTTATCTCGAGTTGTGAGAGACTGGGAAACTAGGTATTTCCCTGTATGACGCGATGAGATCATCCTCTTGTCCCCGGGCAGTCTCTCTCTAGAGCTTCCCGACAGCAGGTAAATTAAGTAACAGATTCGAGGGCTTCTCCGGAATACTTGGAGCTCAGTCAGTCTCGTTGGGGATCAGTCAGTCTACTTGGAATCCTCGTAGATCCCTTCGCACACCCTGATGAGCTCATCCATGCCGTGCAATAGGCCCTCCTCGCAATTTCCGGGGATCCAGGGCTTCCGGTGGTCCACGCTGACGCCCTCGGGCAGCACCTTGTTCTTCGCGAAGTCAATCATCCAGGCGCCCACATGGTGATCATCGTACACGATGAAGACACTGCTGCCGACCACCTCGTGACTCTTGAAGTATTCGCTCTTCTCGATCAGCGATCGCATCTGCTTCAGTCTCTTGATCAGCTCCTTCGTCACGCCGCGTCGCTTCTGCAGGAAATTTCCCACCAGCTGACGCACGTCCGTGTCACTCTTGACCGTCTTCAGATCCGTGATGGGTGTGGAGCCCTTGATCTTCATCGCCTCGATGCGGAAGCCCTTCGTCTGGCTGCTGGACATCTGCTCGCGAAACAGCATGTAGCGCAGCTTCGTCACGGCTTGCGCCTTGTGTTCCTCCTCGGTGGGCGCCTCGGGATCCACGAGGATCATCTTCTTGTACAGATCCGGCCGCAGCGTGGTGTTGGTCACCTCGGACTCCAGGAATGTTCGGCAGCCCATCTTGATGTCCATCACGTTGGGCTCCTTGAAGCCGTGCAACAAGTCCTGCAGCTCGATGTGCGACTCGCCGCCGATTTCCCGGTAGCCGATGTACTTGGGCACGATCTTGGAGGCGCAGGGATCAGTGGACAGGGCTTTGTAAGCCACGATTTCGCCGTCTGTGGGTCCGGTCACGCGCTTGCGCACGACACCGTTCGCCGTTGGGGCGATGCTCTCGGGATGACCGGACAACTGGAGCCATCCTGGCGGCACAACATTGGCAGTGTTGCTCTGCTGCAAGAGGACAGGCGAAGCAGGAGCGCTCAATTCCAGGGCGTTCTGAAGAGAGAAGAGAAAGACAAAATGTTTAGTCTTCGATCTCTATAATTTGTGTGATGATTTGCAATTGCTATAAGTCTCTCTGAACCCGGATAAAAGTTGTATCAAACCGTGCGTGGAAAATCGTTTAATTAAGCGCAAAAAGCAATTTATTGCCTCAAACTCACAAAACTAGTTGTTTTGGGACAAGAATTGAGCTCTTTCTCAAAAGATCTGCACAATTATCGGCAGATCTGCGCTCAAGTGAAACAGTAAGTTGACGTAATATCATTCATTTTCAGGAATCTCTTATAAATCACGTTTCACACGCGATTAATTGGTGATCATAAAGTGATGATCAGGCTGAGAAGTGCGATCGCGAATGCAGTTTCATGGGCTTTTGTGTTAAATGATCGCGCCATTTGCACTTAATCGGCCAATTATTCAATTAAATCAGCGGCAAGAGCAACTGCTCGAGTACATATTCGATGAGTTCAGCGATCGAGAGGGTCGGAAAAGGTTGAAAATGGGGCGAAAAGTGAATGGCTGGAGGTTCGTTATATTGGACATAAATTTTCTCACTCTGGATCCCACCATAAAAATGTATAATTAACAAATTTGTGTGCGTCAATCGCATATTTAATTAATATTTCAACTTCTTCTCCGCTCATATTAGATCTTCGCGCATCACTTTTAACTCGCTGTTAATTTATTTACAAGGAGTAGCCAAGCACTCAAAACATTTATTCAAATGGCTCACATATTCATTATGATATGCAGAGCTGAAGAAATATTGGATGGCTTATCCAATTTCCATTTCTGACGATAAAATTCTGTTTCTTGTCTTTAGGGGCGAAAGATGAGAGATCACTTCCAATGCACGAAATGGGTGGAATTGGAGGAGGAAATTGTGCGCTGGAACAGATATTATTCTTTTATGAATTGACGTCACGTTTCATTGTTCACACAACTCAATTCTATTTAATGAGTGTGTGAAATACACATTTTCTTAATGATCCTTTTTTTCGTGGCGACAGAAAACATCCACAGCAATTTGTGTGGCGCGCATTCACGATACTTTTTAATCACGCATGGCATTTTGTGCGCCCAGAAGACAGAGTATGGGGGCCTCTATTTCGACTCTGTTGCCGCACAATTAACCACAAAAGACGCTTTTTTTCGCCTTCGTTTTGTCTCATTCGCGAAGACAACCATTTAAAATGCTCTGACGTCAATTGGATTGAATGAAAATGTAAAATAAATCGAATTGCCACAAGATGAAATACAAACCCAATAAAAGTGTGTGCGAGAAGTGAATAAAATACCGCGAATGATCGCACACAACTCGTTTCTTGATCTCCGCAGAGAGTTGACTCCTTTTCCTCTTAGTTGTGTGCCATTCACAGAAATCGCACAACGAGATTTGCCGGAAATCTGCCATACTCTCATTCAGCTTTTTTTCTGCCTCGCGGCATCGCAAGAAGGTGGATGATCAAGCGATGATGCCTTTGGTCAAGCACCATTAACAGTTATTGCTGTGAGCTTTGAGTGTTTTCACGGATGAGGGGTTTTATTGTCGCCAAATTTGTCAAGATGACAGCGATTGTGGGCGCGATCATTTGCAATAGCTTAGGATTAGCGTGAAGATCAAGTGATCTCAGAGCATGATTGCTCTTTCTGAGTATAGAAGAAAGCTTGAGTGATCATCTGGCAGAAGAATGAGACAGAATCTGATGTGACACGATTCTCAAGATCAGTCAATTGCAATGAGCGTGACATGTTGAATAAAAATGCACACTAATTGCACGCGTTCTTGTGACTCTGAATTGTGTTCCTCCGGAAGCACAATTGATGAGAGGTGGTTTGAAAGTGTTTCACGGAAATGAATGACGTCCGAGAGTCAACTTGTGAAATTTGTTGATTTAATTTTAACCTTTTTCGAGACATCGCGCGCAGGTTTAATTGGCAAACGGGGATTCAGAGATGCGTCATCAAGTTTTGTCACATGGAAGTTCATGAGTGTGCTTCAAGAGTGGACAAAAGAGGGATTTCACCGAAATTTCTCTTTGACCGCACTCAACTTATAACAGCGAATGCAAATTTTTAAACACTCAACACTGTGGAAAATATATACTTACAATTGCGAAGAATTTGAGCAGTGACATGTTGTCATGTGTCGGCAAATTGCGATTTGTAAGGAAGTCACCGTTGATGTTCTGCAAAGAAAGAGAGGAGAATTGATCATTTCAGTGAATCACTGGAGTCATTCGAGGAATTCTTGCAGTCTGTGTATGATTATTCATGTGAAATATAGGCAATCGTGAGTCAAGAGCTTGAGGGATTTGCGCAATAACAGTGAATTCTTTGACAATTTCCGTATCTGGATTTTGATATCGTATTATCTTTTGATTGAGTGACGAACGCTCGGTGTAACAATACAACTGCAGATGTGGGACTTTAAAAGGTCTTTTCTTATCCACTTTGTCTATGCAAAAGACCTACATTTTAGTCTATTTTTACGGTACTCTATAAATTCCTTGTGAAATTGTTTACCTAACATCTCTAGACCGCGGGAGTCAACAATTGTGTAAACAAGTGTTAAATGTCCAACCTTGTTGGCGCGCACAAATCCTATATATTTTTCCTGTCTGTCACAGCACTGTTTTATGATAAATATTACTACAGATCGCAGAATAATTCATTCTTGCCACTTGTGATGCAACCACACGCGAGAAAATATTGTCTGAAGCGCGAGAGATACAAGGGAATGTCTGATAAGATTTCAATTCATGTTTAACATGTCTTTCTACTAATTCGCATGACTACAGAGATTAGGTGATCTGTCGATCCTCCGCTACGTTTTCAACCACACTCATACAAGCCTCTCTAATTGCGGTTTTTTCTGTCATCCCAAACTGATAAAAGCACAGGCAACGATCACTTGAGCTCATGTTTCCTGGCCTGTTCGCTATTTACCCACAAATTATATGGCTATCAGAGACATATTTACCGTCACCAGACCCCAGATAAAGTGGTGTGTGGTTTTTTTCGCGCGTTGACACAAGAAGAGGATTGTGTATTTTGCTGTGTATTTCTGAACCCCAAAAGGAGACTCGCGACAACACCCACTCTTTGCCGAGGACTATCTATCACTGTTGTCAACGCACAGTGTGACGTTTATCATGCCAGGAGAGGTGATCTTGCAGCCAGATGGCACTGGAGATCACTGGTCCGTTCTCAGAGCGGAAAAACGATCACGAAGGAATGTAATTATATTTCATGCTGATGTTCAATTATCATTAATTTGAAGGAAATGACACGCTGAATTTATTTGAACAATGATATAAAAATTTATCAGGTGACGCGTGACAATGCCTAGGTTTTTTTATCGCTCCTGTGAGCTCATTTGCTCTGGAAAAGACTGGCTATTGAAGGAACGTTCTATTGTAATACACGTTGTTTTGTGGGGAGAAACCATGTCATTTAAGGTAACTTTTATGGGGCTTTTGGATGAATGTTTCACTGGAAGTTCTGGTTTTCTTTTTTGATATTTCACAGTGAAATCGTGACAATGAATAAATTTTAGGGCTTATCTGAAGCACTGGAACATGTCACGAAGTGAATACACCAGCCGAAGTGTGAATAGGACACATTTTTGGGGGGATTTCTAGTAGGTGGTATTTTCTAAATTCCAAAAGAAGGCAATATGTTCACGGTTATCAAAATACGAGGTAAATTGATAAAAAGAGTGTCACAATTCATCGTCACACCACAAATGTCGTATGTACGTGCAGAACAGAAGCTAAACAGTGGGTTTTCTGATGTGAATTTCATTGAGTTGTTTAATGGAATGCAATTTATATAAAGCACACTCTATTAGTGTTGTAAATTGGCATGGCGAGAATCGCAACATTGTTGGGGAAAAACAAAGTGTATAATTGTGGAAAATACACATCGGACTCAACAATATGTATTCGAAAATGATCTTGTACTTGTTCACAACTTCAAATGCATGCGAGTCACTTCGTGACGTCGCTTTTAGCGGTGTGATTAATTTAGCAGTGCCTTTCGAAAAAAGTCATGCGGAGATACTTGAGAAATTGATTAATGACATTTCGCGAAATCGCAGTGTTAATTGACTCAATTTCAACCAAAAGAGAGACAATTTGACTTCAAGGCTTTTAACTTACAATGCTTACAATGTGTCACAGTGTGACAGAAATGTAAAAGAGCGCGCTTTCGAGAAAGGAAGAAAATTCATGTGATCGCGTTTAATTGTTTTTCGTTCATTGACTTGCAAACAATGTGGAGAATATCATTAAAGAGAAATAAATTATTCTTGTCTCTGATTTTATAAATAAACACCATTATTGAGCACTCAAAGTAATGCTCATCAATAACCCACTTTTATTGCTTTTGCCTCCCCTTTTCGGTGGGCGAAGAGAAGAATTTTCTATTTTTAAAATCCTTCCTGTGAAAATATGTCTTCAGCAATTTGCGTCGCGATCGATTGATCGTGAGTAGCATTGTCAAATTTGTAATTGTCTCTTTGCGCACAAAACCATAACGATTCGCTTTAGTTCGCGGTATTGAGAGAGATAAAATTTAACAGTGTGGGAAATAAGCATTGAAATATAAATCGCGAGAATATTTCTGACCGCGCTGAGGCATAATTTCTACAGGAAGTGGATTTACTGGAGGCTTTTTGTGCAGAAGCCACTAAAATTTGAGCGCAACTGAAACTTTTCTGTCGCAACATTTGACGTCATTTCACACTTTTTTCCATGTCATCGTTTGGAGTTTCTTTTTCATGTACTGTGCTCTTTTTCTGTTCGCCGAAGCCACTCTTGCGCATTAAGTTTGCCCGCGCAAATTGCATCAATTAATAAACTTCAGACGTCGACGACTTTCACCGTGTTCGCTTTCCGCACGATGTTATGCAAAAGAAATACGTTAGATTTCGCGGTGGCGAAGATCGCAAACCTTTTGGGGGTCTTTTTTTTGCTGGAGTTTTCTTCACTTAATTTGCGCGAGTTTTGTGTAGTGTGAAAAACGCCAGTTCAATTTTGAGAAATTAGCGAAATTCTTGTGCAGTTTTGCGTCACTCTTAACTCGATCGTACCAGTTTCTTGGCCTTCACATTGGCTGAATTTTGGGAATTAGATCACATTTCAGTGTGAAAACCAAAGGTTTTCCACTGTCACCGGATATCATTGGGACTGTGCGCGCGCGCTGGAGGACAGCGTGAACTTTCGCAATGCGATAATGTTTCCAACTGATCATCAAGCACTTCGATCCAGCAATCAAAAGACGTCATCTGTCGATCACGCGTGATCGCGCTCTTTCCCAAGCACACGGTGAAACTCTCTGGAGGCGCCGAAAGCATGGGAAAGATTCTGGCATTTGCGTGGATTTGCTCCCAAACTCCTCCACGTGTGTTTGAAAAGTGATCATTAAAGGCGCGCTCAAGACTGTTGATCTTTGGCTGAGATGAGAAACGTGTGCGTACTATGAGCGAACATCTGTTTGATACTTACATTACTCTTGGCCGAGTTGCCGTTCTCCACGACGATCATCTTGAGGAGTGCCTTCTTTAATCCCGTGTTCTCGCTCAGGCACAGTCTCTCGTTGGTCCAAGCCATGGGATGCAGTATCGTGGAAGTCATACTCTGACGTTCTTCGCACAGTCTCGCATTGACTCTTTTTGCACTAGAGAACTTTTTATCCCTCTATCGTTCGATGTAATGCCTCAATCATGCAAATTCACTTGCGAGTTATTTAAGACACGATAATAAAACAAGTCACAATCGAGAAACGAGTTTCTCATAGCATTCAAATCGAGATGTTTAGCACACAATACAATGTAAACTAAAATCCAGCATTTGCTCAAAGTATTTTCTTCACTTAAAAACTGTTGTCTTCGCTGCGATTTTTTTCACTTGATATAACCAGGAGAAAATCGCACACACTCTCTGGGATGATTTAATTCCAACAACTGTTGTGTGTGACGAATAGAAATTCTCTTACTTCGGAGTCGAGCTGAAAAGTGTGTCGCTTCGGCTCAAAGTCTCAAGAGAAACTAAAGTACGTTCTGTGGGCGCGAACGAACTATACATGAGGCCTCGCTGCTGTCTGGCCTCTCGATCGCTGGGGAGTCACTGTGTGTTGCCTCGAAGTGGGGAACGGCAGTCGAAGTGGCACGATAAATAGATTGTACACTGTACAAGACACACTTTTTCCTCTCCTCAGCTCTAAGCCTCGCCGATAAGATACAAAAGTTGTTCCAAGAGAAACACACTCCTCGCAAATAGTCTCGGCAAAGAGGCGAAGCAAAAAAGAGCGATTGTTCAGTGTAAATACTCCTCAGACATGCCCAAAACACTGTCCAGAATTTAACTGTGAACGTACATATTTTCATCTATTTGGAGAGTCTTTGGCGAATCTCTCGTGAGGAATTTACAAGCGATCATGTGCTTCATCTCATCTCTTTTGCTTATAAATCAGTCATTGGCTATGTATCTTTCGGCTATTGCATCACTTTGTAGTAAAGCAGAGTGCTGAAGAAGACCGAAAATAATTGTTTACCATTGCCTAAAAAATTCACTCATCGATCAAATCTATTTGTCTGATTTTTCTAGAACGATCAGCACTAAAGTGGAGAAGATGATCACACTTTTTGAACTCATTCCTAGAAATAAATGAGGAAAACAGCAGGTATTAAAATTTTTGCTTAGGGGATTTAGAGCTGAAAGCGAATATTTGTATATTAATCCTCCTTTCTTATCCCCTCGATTCTGGTGTGTTCTATAAATACAAGATTTCAACACTTAAATTGCAGGTAATTAAGCAAATTCATGAGGAGTTTCTGGAATTTTTAGAAAGCAATTCCCACAACGGAATTGTACTTAGAATTTTGATTTCTCTAATCACATTGTTACAAGCATTTTTGTTATATACTTTACGTAATTATGGAGAATTGAGTTTTTTTTTCCACCATGCAAACTCGTGCCAAAAGAGATAATAGTATTATTTCCCTTTCCTCCGTGTTGTCTATTTAATTAAAAATAATCGGTGGCGTTCACGAACCAGTGATTTTTATGACCATCGCGACTGTCTCAAATATTGCATGCACTCTAAGCGGAATACAGAGATCGATAACTTCGTGCGGTATTAATTTCTGGGGTGACATTTGATCCGCAGAAGATCACAGAGAGATTGAATTTTTGTGGCGACTCGGAGCCAGTGAGCTGCTATAATTCCATCTGGCGGTTTGTGGATTTGATTAATTGCCCTGGTAATTGATCGTGACAGTTTAATTGGCGCAATCACTTGAACACTATATGCAGTTGCAACATTATGTTTAATGACAGCGATCACTCTGCGGCGAAGAAAGGCCTCGACAGAGAGAAAGAGAGAGAAAGAGCGAAATTTTGCTATTCTTCACTCAGATTCTTATTTGAACAGATAACAGAGACAGAATGAAGAAAAAATGACGAAAAATGAGACGTTTTCTGTGTGTCTTCTAAATAGAGATTACACTTTGTGTTGAAAGGCAAAATGTGAATATTAATGAAATGTTTTAATTAATTCATTAACACCATAATTAGCTGAATCGAGAGAGTCCATAAGCTATTTGTTTTTCCAATACAGAAACTCCATTTCACCCACGTAAGAGTCGACGCGCAAATTGGCTGAAAACCTTGCAGAAAAGAGTTGAATTTACGCATTGATTCTTTCAAAGAAACACGTAAAGCAATTAATACGACACTCTCTCAAGATCATCTCGGATCTTCGTTGACCTTCTTTGGACACTACAACTGCCAATGTGCAAATTTTGTGTTGGAAAAGAGAGCCGATTTTCCTCGTTTTGTCTGCAAATATGAGCATGTTCGAATTGACTCTTTGCTCAGAGAGTATAGGATCACCAGTGGATTACATTGCCTTGAAAGTATGTTAAATCAACTTTACTAAATTGCCACAAAAACATGCAAAAATACCTAGACGCTGCTTTCTTATGCTTTAAGGTATTGACATGGATTACAATACTCTGCTTTTATGTTTGTTATGTTTATTGTTGTGCAAAAATTTTGGTTTTATTTGCACTCAGATTAGTATCTAATATCTGAAGGTTTTTCTGTATTTTGGATTCATGCATATTGTTCTCATTCTGTTGCAAATAAGCTGGAAAATGTTTCAGTTCAACTCCAGAATTTCAATAAGCCATTATAGTTTAATAAAACTGGCGTGTAGTAATGAAATAAACCTATGAAACTTTAATTATATTTGTATACACAGCATTCTGCACGTGCGTTTTTTTAGGTTCACTTTTCAGTCTATTGCAGGCAATAAAAAATTACATAAGAATCGTTTTTTCCTTGAATTATGTCTATGAGTACATAGAGTTAATATACACAGATGGTGACTATTATCAGACGTTCTGTATTTTGATAAATCAATGAATACTGTGTCCGCATAGAAAATGTGAGATATCGAAGTGTGTTGATTAAAAGTGAAACTGAATGAATAAAATTAAACTCCATTTTAAATAGTCGATAATTAGCTGTGATTCACGGATGGTTTGTAATATCTTTCCAATGACGTGCCTCTATGAATTAAGTCAGAAAAGTATAGATTCTGATCTCAAATGCACGGCTGATCGTTGTGCAATATAATTGTAACTTATCACCTCTTAGCAAATCGTCGTTGAAGCTGCACGGCGATTAGATCAGTTTGTTGCCACTCCAGTGAACTTTCTACAATTCGAAATCGATCCGCACTGTGACGTCCGCGGAAGATTCCCAAAAGGGCACCTCCTGAATGCCTGCAGGTTTGGAGATCCGTTTCACTCCAGAGAAATCCACTTTGGCGAGAGTGCGCCGAGGAGTGGATGGAATATTTTGGTGTTTTTCTGTGTGGTCTTCCAAAGTTCGTTAAGTTTCCATTGCCCCTCGGGCGATGGGTGGAAAGTTTTCTCACGGCACGCCTGGTCACTCTGCGGCGTTCACGTGCTCGCCACCCCGGCTGTTCTGGGTGAATGTCACCACCGCGCGGAGTGGAAAACTTCCAGAAATAAAACCAGTCGATCTATTGTTATCGCGAGAGACTTTTGTTGGGCCGCTCTTGTTCTCGCCGTGCATCCGCACGTTGTGCTGAAGGCGGTGAATTAGAGCGGGAGAGGGAGAGCTGATTTATGTGCAAATCGAACTAGTTGGAAGAGGAGGTGCGAAGAGAGAAAAGAGTTTAATGAATTTCCAATGCCTGGATTGACGTCAATACGCGCTCAAAGGCAGCAAGAACACGTTTACCGGGTCATTGAAATAATTTTCGCACGACTGCTGGCAATTTTAGCGGTTTCACTTCTGCTGTCGATTGTCCAGAGATGCGCTCCCAATTCAGCTCTCATATTGCTCCAGGGCTCATTAGCTGGCAATCTCAGCTGCATCGCGTAAAAGAACGCACAGCCGGTGTGTGCTGGCCCAAGGTAAATGGCTTCTTACAGTGCGTGTCTGGCGAGATAATGATCCCAATAGAAGTGGATTTGAAAGTAAAATTCACTCACCACTGATAAAGTCACATTGCATATGACGTCTGTTCCTTTCTGCAAATAATTTCAATGCAAATAAATAACACTTTGCAACGTAAATTACTTACCAAACAAATCACGCGAACACGTCTCATATTTGCAATCTTCCCGTGATAACCGTTGACTGTGATCTAAATTTAGGATCATCAACTTGTTAACGAGATTTTCGATTGCCAAATTTGTAATGTGTGAGAAAAATCGGGTAGAAATTTGCGGATTTTCTATTTGCAGAGATGCCAAAGTGAACGCGTATTTATCCAAAGTGTTGTGACTCTGTTGAGAAACTCATTGACAAATACAGTTGGAGTCAAAAAAGATGGACTTTTGAAACGCGCAAAATAATATTTGTCAAATGCTTGGCACACAAACAAACTATTGGAAAAATCTTGTGGAAAATATTGTTCGCACAATGAAATTTACAATGTTTAAATAGGTAATATTGCGAAATAAGGAAAAATCTGTGGGAAAATCGATTTGATTTCTGGTTATTTGCCTTTTTGGCATTGAAATTTTCAATAATAATTACTCAAAGTAACAATATGACATATGCAATATGCTGAATATGTTCTTTGAGATCCAAGCAATTAGAGCTAAAGTTTTCGCTTGAATTTATGGCATAACCGGCAGAACAATAATATAAATTGCAGAGCAGAGACGTGAGATTTGCGTCTGTGGTCATCAAGGGCATAAATTTCCATGCAAGAAAAAATAAACATCCACTCTTAATTACAATTCCACATGTGAATTGCCGTGACGCACGGCGTGAGTGGGATTACTCTCTGGTGGCACTGTTTTTTTGCTGATGGCCAAAAAAGTAAAAATCTTCCATCCAATTTACATACAAGTGGAAACAATAAAAGAACTTTGACGTGTCTCGAGATGAGTTTTCCTTTCTTCTTCCAAATATAATTTTCCGTTCGACAGGGTGAATTTTGGATAAACAAACAAATTCATGGCGTTCGCCTTCCGGAAATTTATGTCTTGGAGAGGATCGCGCGAGAGTTTATTATTGATTTCTTATTCATGTGACTTTGACTCATTGCCACAAATGATGTGACTTTTCATGGAATTGTGCGAAATTTTCGCAGAATTTTCAGTGCGTAAGTCGCGCGTAATCTTCAGAATTGAGGAACATTCCCAATTTGCGGAACGAGAGAATTCCATCAACTAATCATACGCAATCACGAGGGAAGCGCGTGAAAAGTGTCACTCTGGACTTTTGGTGGCGCCAATGTGAGAATCCTTAGTGCAGTTTCATTGAGAAATGGCTTCAATCTCAGATCTGGGAAACCGTCAAAAGTTTTTTCCCCGCTCGTGGTGGAGATTTTTTTCTCCAATTGGCTGATTAAAGGCATCAAAAGTTCAGATTCAATCTGTCTCTCTCTCTTGCACTCCACATTGACGTCATGGCGCTCAATGCAATCTCCGAAGATGATTGCCTGTCGCTCAGTGGCTGATGTAAGTAAATATATAGTGGGAAAATAATGGGGCTGGGCAAGTGTGTTGATGAAAATACCGTCAATTTTTTTATCTGTGCACTAAATAAAAAAGGTTTTCGCGATTATCCAATAAATAAAGATTGGTCTATTTTTAGGTTAAACACGCGCGCAAATATTTTGATTTAAATTTAGCGTTGTCAGCACAAATGAGGACGCGTGATAAAGGGAGAGGATTTTAGAACTTTCCGCAACCGGAAGGATTGTTATCGCATTTGCCACTTGGCAGCCTCTTCACCCAATTCTGCACGAGATTTATTGTGATGTCGTCAATGCATGTTGCTCAAGAAATCAATTTTTCTGTTCTCAAGCTGCGGAAATTTATTCAATTTTATAAAATTATCATTTCACAGCATCTTCGAATTATAACCACTATGAATCTCGTGACGTCAAGTCTTTCTGAATTGCTAATCGCGTCGATGTGTGAAAGTGAAAAAATATGGTCTTTTGCGATGGAAGAACAGGAAAATTCCGCCACAAAACATTCAAAACTTGATGTCTTGATCAAAATATTGTCTATAGCATTTCTCTTGATAACAGCTTTTCAATGATACGTCTATGAATGTGACTCTCTGTGGCGCTCTTGAATGTTCTCCTCACCTCATGGAAATTTCGATAAGTTCAACATTTGCCAATGAAGCCGGTGGAAAAGGTGTTTCACTGTTGAATAATTCCATAGTTGAATATTAGCAAATATTTTTTCTTCACCACTTCAATTTATCTTCTTGCGTGAGTCAGTGAAGACGGAAGTTGGAGGAAGAGTCTCATTATAGATTTTTATTTGACACATTCGAAGATCATGATCACTGTTTTTCCTTGGGATGCTGAAAGCTTATCGCCTCGAATTTTGCATTAATTACAATCTCAGAAGCTTTTGCTCTTGAGCCTTCTCAAATCGACTGCAATTTGTCAAAAAGTGAACTGATAAGGAGAGTCTGTGAAATGTAGAAGTTGCGAATTTATGCAAATGACTGTTGTCTCTCCATGTTATTCCCATCGAATTGACTCTCCCCGTTTTACTACCCATCGATTCAGCTTTAGTGAATAATTTTTCAAATATTTCTTCATCAATATGTTTTTTTTCGGCGTGAATCACTGTGTCCAACAGCCTTTTTTGCGGCATCTCCGCCAGCGAGTGTGCAGAAGAGTTCACACTTGAGGTGAATTTATCCACACTGTTTCCCTAGTAATTAAGAAATCATTACAGCAGCGCGAATGGAATGTGTGGACAAATAGAGTCTATTTGCATTGGTGGCACTGTAAAACAATTCTAACTCAATATTTGACCAGGCTTTCGAAAATGTGTGAGAAATATTCAGCAGATGCGACAAATGCGCACTCTGGCATTTTTACCTACTCGTGTGCACATGGCAAATGGATCTTTACGACCCAAGCAGATCTGTTTTGCTGCCCATTGTGCTGGAAATTAAGCTCCCCATGCGCAGGAAGTGCAGTAGAGATAGTGATTTTTCTGGCCGCAAGCGGCTTTCTTCGCTTGGCAATTGCTTGCGAAATGCAATTGATATCAAGTGAAAATCTATCTGCCACTTGTCGCTCAATGGACGTCAGAGCGCAGAAAGTGGAGCAGAAGCGCTAAGGTGACTTCCATCCGGAGAGCAACGACTCCGGGAGGCGAACAACTACGGAAATCACCGCATAATCGACAATATTGCCGTGCATTTTGATTATGCGAAACGTTTTTACCCTCTAACAGGGGCGCTGAGTAATGAAAAAATGTAAATAATTGTTGAACTAGTTGGAAAGATTGTTCTGTGCTGCAGATCTTAGGATCTGATCGCCTCTTGGATCTTTGCAACTGACGCGAATGCTGTGACCCCAAAAAAATGGACAACACACAAAGTAGTATGATTGCACCAGAAAACTTGCCTACGTCAGTTCTAAATCAGTCACCAATATCTCTGTGGGTTTGTCCGCGGTTATCGCACTTTTCCCGGGTGAATTTTGTAAACATTTTTCCCCAAATAGTCTCAACACGAAGCGAGCTAAGTTCAAAAAATTTGACTGGCAAAAAAAGGCGCTCAATCAAACTTTGATCTTCCGTAATTTCTGCCCAGAAGACGAGTGGCGCTTTTTCGAGAGGAAGTGTGATAGTTGGAATCAGCGAATGAGACCACTTTGGTGCGCAATTTCATCAGAGGCCACTCACAGTGCGTTGACTGTGACCCTAAGCAGAAGACATAAAGAAATCATGCCAGCGAGATTGTTGATAGGACCATCTCTTGCGTCAATGGTCTTTCACAGGAATATCTTCTGATCCCCTCCAGAAAAGCACTAACGCAGCATTTAATTATAGCCACTCGATTGCCCTGATATCAGTCTTTGTTTTTGTTTCTCGCGCTCGCAAAACAATCGCTTAAACTCACATACCTTCAGGCGACACTCATCTTCAAGCTCTTCAAGTGTTGTGCACATTAGATCGCAAGGATCAGAGTATGAAGCAGAAAATTGCACAAAATTGATGCTCAAAGAAGTTCTCTGAAGAGAAGAAATTTTTCCAATAATATTTCTTGACGATATGAAGAATTTGTCGGAAGCAGATTTTTTCCTTCCGCATAAAATCACTTGATTTATTTTCATATGACTGTGCTGAAGAGTTGAACAAGGAAAAAATTGATAATTTTACTGTATGTTTCTATGATGAAATTTCCCTGATAATAATCCCTTTCTATACAGAAACAGACAGACAAAACAGACGATCATAGAAAGTCAATCAGTAAATGAAAATTGACTGACAAATGATCAAAGCTTTAACACGTTATCTCAAGTGGATTGATAAACGAATAATGCTACGTATTTTAGACAAAACAAATGCGCAATCTTCATAATTTATTCGAGATGGAATCAAGATTTGAAGACTTGCAGTAATAACTATTACTTCCTTTCTGATTTTATCATTACATTTAATGCTGAAGATGTGCCCTCCAAGGTGCCCCTTCCTACTCTAAAGCACAAGTGCTCATCCCAAATGCACAATCTCCTGGAGCTCTGCCGCCAATTCCGTAGCAAATTGCGAAAATACGTCGGATGCAATGTTGTTATCTGAGGGCGGAAACATTGTTGCATCCGGTGGTGTTCGCCTCAACCCTCGGAGCGCTTTCGAGGTACATCCTGCTAAATTAAATCGATTGACATGTTTTGCATTGGGAGCAATTTGCGATCCGGCGATGAAAAGTCCCACGAGTGTGTTTGTCGCCATGAAAAATCGATTCTTCCCTCGCAATGAGAATATATTCTGAGGACAATCGCCGTAAACACAGCATTTTGGGACACTCCTGGGAATCCGCCCCAATTTGGCGTCGATTGATGGCCACAAACTCGCCTTTGATGACGTGACAATGAGCCATTTGTGTTCGGTGGTTTCGGTGAGCAGGTGCTTCTGCAGAACAGTCGTAATCCGGGAAAATTGGACTATCGCATAATTATTATTCCTCCCTGGTCGATAAAAAGGCCGAGGCGATGAATTTATTGGAAAATTCTCTCAACAATTTACATTATCTGGCCATGAGGAGAAAAATAGTTGGGAAAATACACCATTTCAGATCAAATCACTTTCGAAAAAAAAACACACTAAATAACTCCCATAAATTGGGCAAACAACAAGGGGTGAAGAACAGTGCTGCTTGTTGTGCATTTTAATTGCCAATTTCCGATAAAAGTGATGATTGCCGTTTGAATTTATCGATCTGATTTCCTGACTCTTATATTTTTGTGAGTGAATTTTTTTGGCGAATTTTGAAGTCAGTTAGATAGATTTCTGGCAATCCTTTCGTCATTTCTGCAGGACTCTTTGCCGTCCAAAGTGTTCCAGCCTTTCCACTGGCGTACCAGAGAAGTTCAACCACAGACAGAAGACTGGCTCCGATTGTGAAGCCCGCCAAACCGCCAAGAGTGGCCAGAAGATCGTACCATGTGGAGATGATTGTTTGCTAAAATGTAAAGAAGATAAAGAAAGGAAGATTTTGGCATTAAACTTGAGTGTCACTCACATGATATTCCACAGCGTAGGGCAAAGCGAAATTAACGTGAATGACACTCAAGTGACTGTCTTCTGTCACGCGAGTTTCGTTCAGGAAGTCTGGTGGAAAGGGGAAATTCACCATTCCGTAGTGCGATCGCACGCCGTACTTTATGTAGTTGCAAGTCGGCATGCAATTGGGACATTGTGTGCTAGTTGACTTGAAATCAATGTTTGACGCGTCTAACAACAGAGGCTCATAATTGTCCCATTTATCTGCCGAATAAGCGAAGAAAATATATTGCATTTTTTCCATAAAATCGCTAGATTTCGCATTACTTTTCCACTTGATCAGGCACGAAATATCGTTCAAGAGGCATTCAGATCCGTTGTAAATATTGGAGTATTGATGGGAATAACATCGGCAAAAATGTATCATATCCATCAGTTTGCATGCCAACTGGCATTCGCTGAATGTGTAGAAGTCCTTGAATATCAGTTGATTCTCATCGCGAAAGAAGCATCCTCGTACTCTTCCAGAAACGTGACGCATAGATTCATCGCCTTTGATGGATTCTGGAAAGAGTTCAATGAACAACTCGCCAGAGAGATAAACCTGACGCTCTATGTAAGCGTTGGTTGACATGTCTGGATAGTCCTGAGGATGAAAGATGAGCACTCTGGATGCCATTGAAGATTGGATGTTGTAGATTTGATCTGATGCATTTTGCTCGATGATTACGCTGAGGCCGTCTTTGAATTCGGAATCTCTGACAAAGAGTGGCTTAACTGGAGGAATTGGAAAACCTTGCTCGGCTATTTTAAACATGTCTTTGCTGGGAATCCTTTGGTAGTTGAATGTGCAGCAAGGACCGAAATCTGTTTTGTTGGTTTTGAAGAGAGTGGAACAGTTTTGTCTCTTGCCATTCCAGAAGCATTCCTTCAGAAGATCGTCACAGGATGTCGAAAGCTAAGGATTGAGACACTCATAACGGATTAGGAAGGAGAGGAGAGCTGTGTTAAATGGTGTCTTACATTGGCAATGATCTCTTGAATTGGATACGGATTTCCGTACAATTCCATGAAGAAACTGTGAAGTCGATCGAAGAGGTAGAAATTGTCCTGATCAATATTGAGGGTGTAGAAAGAGCCCAAGTGTAGAAGATGGTTGTACACCCCTTCGTAGCTGTTGGACACCTTGACTGACGTGAAGTTCTGCATGAAGAAGCTTGAGGGGGCAAAAGAATCATAATTTTTTCCTAATTTAGCGCTTCCTTCCGCTCGAAAAGCACGAGCAAATCCTATGATACGTGAAATGGGCCATTATCAAACAGTCAATGGTAATGCCTCACCTTCGCTTTCACACTAGAGAGATATCAAAATCCAGTGTTATGCTGGCGACAAGTTGAGAATTTTCCAACATAAAAGCCTCGGAAAATCTGAGGAGAATTCATTCTCACTTTGCCAGTCAAGTAGAAAATGTTGTGCCTCAAAGTTCTCATCATTTCTCTCTTATTTGTCATCCGGCGAGTTGAACTCACGGAAGTGACACGTTTTGATAACTACAAAGTGTACAAACTGCACCTGAATTCGTGGGAGGATGTAGAATTTGCTGATGATCTGGAGAAAAATGACTACTCAATTGAAGTGTTGTCGGCAATCCTGAAGAAAGTTCCTCAGCAAACGAACATTCTAGTGCCGCCGCACAGGAGTGTGGACTTCGAGAGTCTCTTGAATGCCAAGAGCATCGAGTACAACTTGATTGAGGACAACTTCCAGGATGTGATCGATCAGGATGCTCGAATTAATCACGAGAGAATCTACAAGGAGGAGTACGGCTGGGAACGTTACTACAAACTGAAGCCCACCTACAAATGGATGAAGGTTCTTGAAGCCAAATATCCGGGAGTTGTGACAACCGTTGTGTCGGGACAGAGCTACGAAGAGCGAGATGTCATGGGCATCAAGATATCCTATGGAGCGGATCATCCAGCGATTTTCATTGAATGTAAGATAGAAACTTTATGCTTAACAGTAAGGTAATTTTGTGTTCTTTTAGCTGGAATGCATGCTCGTGAATGGATTTCCCCGGCAACTGCCACTTACATCGCCAACGAGCTTCTGACTAGTGAAGATCCAGAAGTCAGGAGAATCGCCGAATCATACGACTGGTACATTTTCCCAATCACCAATCCCGATGGCTATGAATACACGTGGCAAGTGAATCGTCTCTGGCGAAAGACGCGAAAACCCTGCGGACTCTGCTATGGAGCTGATCCCAATCGCAACTGGGACTTCCACTGGAGGGAAGCTGGCACTAGCAGCTATCCTTGCTCCGAAGTTTATGCTGGAAAGAAGGCCTTCTCAGAGTCAGAGACCAAGAGTCTGGCAGACTTCATCTCAACCATCTCTGGCCTGAAACTCTACGTCTCCATTCACTCTTATAGTCAACTTCTTCTCTATCCGTTCGGAGTGAAAAGCGTGACTTTGTCCAACACTGAAGACTACGACACGATATCCAACGCCACTGTCGAGGCGATCGCCCAGCGATATGGAACCAAGTACATCTACGGAAACATTGTCGACACGATCTATCCTGCCGCCGGAGCCTCAATTTGTTGGGTCAACGGCGTGTTGAATGTGCCTCTGACTTTCGCCTTTGAGCTTCGTCCTGACAGTGAATCTGAGTACGGCTTCTTGCTGCCTCCGGACCAGATTATCCCAACGGGAGAGGAAACTCTGGACGGATTTGTTGCCATGATTCAGACATCAGAATCTCTTGGCTACATGACGTTGTAAGATGCAGTGCAGATGTGGAGAAAATAAATCTTTGATAAATAAATTCTTTGATACAGGCTTGAAAATGAGTTAGTTTGAATTCTCTAGCGAAGAACATTTTGAGAGTAAGTGAATGGTTAAGAAGAGCAAAGTTTAGTGGATCAATGTGTGGATTTTGCAATGCTATTTAAACTCTCATGTTTCGCAATTGCACTGCGAAATGTGCTGGACGTGGTAAATTATTCTTATCACAACTTTTTTATATTCGCAGCGAATTACAAACTTTTCATTACGTGTGTCTGATTTTAGTGAATATAAAAGCGTTTTTATGACATTCTTTTCAGTTGAATTGTGAAATCAAAGTGAGGCAAAAGGATGAATTTCGCAACCTTTTGGATTTCTCTATCTTGGATTATTGGTCAGAATCTTGCGAACACTGTTCGATATGACAATCATCGAGTTTATGGCTTGTCTTTGAATGCCGAATCAGATTCTGGAGTTATGCGAAATTTGAAAAGAATCGGTGATGGTGTAAATTTCCTATCGCAACCACGGAAGGAATCAAATGAAAGTCATGTTATTGTGTCTCCGGATAAATTGGCGGAATTTAAACACATATTGCAGACGAGTGGGGTGAAATCTTGGACTCTGGAAGGGAACTTGCAAAAGCAAATTGACTTGGAGCGCATTTCTCGCACGAGACAGAGAAAAAAGAGAAGTGTTTTTGAAAATAACGCAATCGATTATGCTTTTGATAGTTATCAAAATCTCTCTACGATCCACGATGCTCTCCATATGTTGGTAAATAAGCATCCTGATGCGTTTACCATGATCGGCGCAGGGAAGAGTTACGAAGGACGAGAGATTCTTGGTGTGAAAGTGACTCGGGGAAAAGACAGACCGATCATCTTCATCGAGGGCGGCATTCATGCTCGCGAATGGATTGCTCCTGCGACGGTGATGCACATTTTGGGATCGCTGGCGTATTTGGACACACCGGAAATCAGACACATGCTCTTGAACTACGAGTGGCACGTCTTTCCTGTTGTGAATCCAGACGGTTACGTGTATTCTCACGACGTTGATCGCATGTGGAGAAAAACCAGGCAGCCTTACAAGAATTGCTTTGGAGCTGATCCCAATCGCAACTGGGACATCAATTGGAAAGGAGATGCAGTCATGGACGATCCCTGTTCGGATGTGTTTCCAGGACCACACGCCGAATCAGAGCCTGAAATTAAGGCTCTTGCCAACTACTTGAAGTACATCAGAAAGATGTTGAACTTGTACGTGTCTTTTCACAGCTACTCGCAACTGTTAATGTTTCCATATGCTTACAAGAAAGAGCATCACAAGGATTATAAGCAGTTTAGCGATATTGCGAATGCAGCAAAGGAAGCTATTATCAAGAAGTCCGGAATTTACTATAAAATTGGTTCAATTAGCGAAGTGATTTATCAAGTTAGCGGAAGTTCACTTGATTGGGTTTCAGATGTTCTCGGAGTTCCTCTGGCATTTGTATACGAATTGAGACCTTTTGAAGCATCATTTGAACTTCCTGAGGATCAAATTGTTCCTGTTGGCGAGGAAATTATGGAATCGCTCAAAGCAATGATTCATCGTGCGGAAGAACTCGGCTATATGAAGAAGATATTGAATTAAATAAAATTACTGAGAGCACGCTTTTCACTTTTTGACGTACTTTGGAATAAGTCTTAGGGAGTTATTCTAGAACAAACATTCTCACACAAGGAGTCGTTGAGATTTGAAGTATGCACTTTAGAGACATTTATCGTAAGCAGACTTTGTGATAAGAAATACTTGAAAGTGCTCAAATCGATATATAAAGACAGACAAGTAAGAATTCCTAGCAGTTTGTTAGCTGATCGCGTAATCATGAGGACGACATCAATCTTGGCAGCGCTTTGTTGTGTCTTCGGACTGGCTCTTGCGGAGGTCGCGAGATACGACAACTATCACGTCTACGACGTAATTGCGTCTTCCTCCGAGGATGTCAAGATTCTGGACGAACTGGAGAGCAGCAGTGACAGTGTGATTTTCCTCGCGAAACCCTCCAAACTGTCCAGTCATGCGAAAATCGTCGTGGCGCCGCACAAGTTGGCAGACTTTGCGGATCTTCTGGAGCGACATGGCATGAAGTCGACGCTGGTGGAGAAGAATCTGCAGCGCCAGATCAATTCTGAGCGCATTGAGATGAGCAAGAGCAAGAAAAGCTCGCAGTTTGATCTGGATAATTATCACAGCCTCAACGAGGTCCACGATTGGCTGCGCTCGCTGGAGAAGGAGTTCCCTGACGTCGTGACTGTCGTGAGTGCTGGAAAGTCCTACGAAGATCGCGAATTGCTTGGCGTGAAATTGTCTCACAAGGCCGGAAATCCTGGAGTCTTCATCGAAGCCGGAATTCACGCTCGTGAGTGGATTTCTCCAGCCACTGTTCTCTTCCTGGTCAACGAACTGCTGACCAGTCAGGATGCTGATGTGCAGAAGCTGGCTCAGGACTTTGATTGGTACGTCTTTCCCAGCGTGAATCCCGATGGTTATGTCTACACTCACGAGAAGGCTCGTCTCTGGAGAAAGACCAGAAAGCCCTTCGGCTCATGCGTTGGTGTCGATGCCAATCGCAACTGGGACTTCCACTGGAATGAGGTCGGAGCCAGCAGTCAACCGTGCGCAGACACTTATGCCGGACCCGAAGCGGCTTCTGAGCCCGAAGTTCAGGCGCTTGTTAGCTTCTTGGAGAGCGTGAAGGGCAAAGTTCACCTCTATCTCTCCTTCCACTCCTTCAGCCAGCTCCTCCTGTTCCCCTACGGACACACTGGACAACATGCCGACAATTACGATGACCTCAAGGATGTCGGCAATGTGGCCGCCAAGGCTCTGGCCAAGAGATACGGAACCAAGTACACTGTCGGCGACACCTACACCACCATCTATCCCGCCGCAGGAACTTCCATTGACTGGGCGAAGGGCGTCATGGATGTGGCTCTGTCCTATTGTTACGAACTCAGGCCCAAGAGCCTGTTCGGTGGCGGATTCGAGCTGCCGGCCAAGGAGATTAGACCAACAGCTCTGGAGACTCTCGATTCTCTGGTCGCTCTGCTGAAGAGGGCTGAAGAGCTGAAGTACTTTGAGCGTGAATGAACTGAATTGCTGAGAACTTTTGTACCGAATAGTAATAAATAATTCATGAGCAAAATTAGACAAACACTTGGAAATTATCCCAGGTTTAGCATTCTGGAAATCTATGTATAATTATGGAATTGAAGGATTCAGAGAAATCCTGTCAAATTCTATGAATTTAAGCCCATTCGAAGTGGTAGAAAATACAGAATTTGCACTTGACTTACATGAAATCTGTGTAATTCGCCAGCGCTTCTCGACTGATTCGAGAGCCACTGCAGATTGCCACCGCTGGGAATGGAATCGTGCTGATAGGCACTCGATACACGGATCTGCTCGTTGTCGTTGGGGCCTTTGAGTAGTTCACGTAAGAGCTGCCAAGCAGCCAAATGGTGGCCGCCATTATTCCCACCAGCATCAGTGTCCAGAGGTATCTTTCCCACCAGGAACGGCCGCTCTCCACAGAATAGCGACAGCCGTGAATGAGTGTCTGGTTGCAATACTCGCGCAGACACACGAGATACTTTCCCCAGCGGGTCCGGCGTGAGTCCATCTCGAAGAGTACGCCTCCGAAGGGTTTTCTCGCCTTTTATTCCCTCGTCGAGTCGGTGGGGGCGAAAAATGATGATAAATGAGTAGAAAGACAGTGGTTGTTATTAAGTGTTTGCTTCTTGAATTTTCTCTTACCATCACCACACTTTTGCCTACTCGAGGGCGATATTTTATTCAAGGCGTGAGCTCATGTTTCATTCATGTTTCAGATAATGAATTCACGTGAGGCGGAAAAGTTATTCATCTTAGTGCGCACAGAGGAATTAAGAGAAATTGCCGCTTTTCCTTTCACATTTCTTGTGGTGTTTTGACTTACACGATGATCACCAATCGAATGATGAACCGCATGTTTAACCAATTAAATCAAATAACGTCAACCTTGATCTATTCACAGCGTAGAGAAGATTGTCAATGTTAAGCTCTCTTCTCGGCAGCTTTCAAAGATAATCGACTTAATTCAATTGTGGCCAATTTCTGTATCTCTGTCTAGTTCAAGAAGAGGGTATTTAAAGTTTATTCTCCAGAAGATCAGTCGTGTAGAAAACTTCTTTCAAGCAGTGTCACGGAAGTTTGTTAGCTTTCAATATGCTGAAGAAGCTCATTTGTGATATAAAGGTTGGCTGAATCAGTTCAAGGGTGAATGACTATATTTTAAAGAGTTCTGTTTTGCAGGATAAGAAGGAACGTTGTCCTGTGAAGCCAGGAGAAGAACTCTATCCGAATTGTGATGCCAGCATTTGGACGCGATCGTGTGAAAAGGAAGTTATCGAACCTATTCAGGGACGAACGACAGGATCAATTCCCAAGTGGATTAATGGGAGTTTACTGAGAAACGGTCCGGGAAATCTAAAGTTTGGCCAAACCTCATTCAAGCATCTCTTTGACGCTTCAGCCTTGCTTCATCGCTTTGCCATTCGTAATGGCGACGTTACGTATCAATGTCGCTTCATCGAAACGAACAGTTATAACAGGAATCGAGCTGCTCAAAGGATAGTTGTGACGGAATTTGGCACTAAAGCAGTTCCTGATCCTTGTCAATCGATTTTCACGCGTGTGGCTTCGATTTTCCATCCTGGAGAAGTTGGATCGGATAATGCTATGATAACTGTTTATCCGTTCGGTGATGACTTGTTTGCCTTCACCGAAACGCCTGTAATGTTCAGATTCGACGCAGAAAGTCTGGCGACACTGGAAAGAGTTAATATGTTCGATAGATTTGGGATTGTTCATCACTCATCACATCCTCATGTCATGTCGGACGGAAGGATTTTCAACCTGGGCATGACTGTGTCAGGAACTGGCCCAAAGTACACAATTCTGGAGTTTTCACCGGGCAGAAGACAGTGGGAAAGCGCCAAAGTGGCTGCCACTCAGGCGACGAGATGGAAATTCCATCCAGGATACATGCACACTTTCGGGATGTCTGAGAACTACTTCGTCCTCGTGGAGCAGCCGCTGAGTGTGTCTGTGAGAAGCATGTTAGTGGCTCATGTGAAGAACGAACCGATGATGGCGTCTTTCAAGTGGTTTCAAGAGCACAACACGCACATTTATCTGTTGGATAGGAAAACAGGCTCTCTCAAGTTCACTTTCCACAGCGATCCTTTCTTCTTCCTTCACGTTATCAACACATTTGAGAAGGAGGATCATTTGATCTTGGATATTTGTTGCTACAATGACCCAAGCATGCTCAATTGCATGTACATTGATAGTCTTCAGCAGATGCAGTCAAATCCAGACTATGCGAAGATGTTCAGAGGACGACCACTGAGGTTTATATTGCCGCTGAATCCAGTGAAAAGTCCTTGTCAGAGTTTTATGACGAAGGCATTTAGAAAGAATGATAGAAATGAACTGAAGTTTGACAAATACAATCTTGTTACTCTTCCAAATACTGCAGCAAAAGCCTTCCTCGCGGAAAACCAGAAGATTTATTGCCTTCCTGAGCTCCTTTGTGATTTAGGGTGCGAAACGCCGAGGATCAACTATGAGAAGTACGGTGGAAAAGAGTACAGATATTTCTATGCCATCAGTTCCGATGTTGATGCTGACAATCCAGGAACGGTAATTAAATAACACAACCATTAGTAGAATATTGTAATGGCATTTTATTCCTTGGCAGATCATTAAAGTGGATGTGATGAGCAAGACACGGATCACTTGGTGTGAGGACAATTGCTATCCGAGTGAACCGATCTTCTTGGAATCCCCAGACGCCAAAAGCGAGGACGATGGCGTCGTGATTGCCAGTCTAGTTTGGGGAAAGGGTGATGAAAATCACGTGGGTTTAATTGTTTTGTGCGCCAAAACACTAGAGGAATTGGGACGCTCTGAGTTCTTCACTCCTAGTCCGGTTCCCAAGTGTCTTCACGGCTGGTTTACACCGCAGAAATGATTGTCATTCCTTAATTACTTTCTTGACACACTAATTGAGTTTCTGCATTTTTGTAGAGCTTAGAAATGCTTGCTATTGGTGTTAATTTTAGGTGCTACGCGTGAGAAAAATAAAATGTTTTCTGTGCTGATTAGATAAGAAAAAATCTGTGTACTCTAAGCAAGGTTACGGCGACGATTTTTGGCTCGCGAAAGCTCATCAGGAAAAAGCGTGTCTCTTGAGATTTGACCAGTGGGTTATCAAGAAATTGGTTTTTGTGGTTTCTATGAATTTTGACATAATATTTGTCGTGCATCAGATAAATTGAGACGAGAAGTTCACACAGCGTATTGATTGAGGTGAATTAAATTCCGATTCTATTCTTAATTCAATTACTTCACTGTGTCTTTCACTCTGAGAACAAACCATGAGAACTGACTATAACCAGCTGAGGTTAAACTCTGATCGAACTGCGCTGACCCTTTCGACCTTGTCTTATCGCAATTTCTAAAGTCTGATCGGACATTTCTTTCGTGACTGACGAGATTTGACCCGAAACTTCTGTGACAAACGTTGAGAAATATGATGGAAAAAGTGAAAATATTCGCGGCTTCGGCCCTTCAGGGGCATTAAACGCCGCACACTTTCGAAACTCGTCTATGAATTAACAGTATTTCAGCCATTTGGAACGTCTCTTATGCTAATTTCCCGGTGAACCGCTTCAATCTGGCTTTTCTGTATAATTGATGCATCATTAAAGCACAACATCCACACGTTTATATTAATAAATTATCTCTCTGCACTCCGGTTCAATCTGGATTTCTGTTCTCTATCTGCATTTGAGTTGACAATTGATTGGGGGAATTAATTGGATTTCATGTGAGTGCATTGTAAGGAAATTTCCCACAAGACATTTAGCATTTTTTTCCGCGCTTTGCTCAGAACTCAATGAGAGATAAGAGAGAGCTCTTTTTGCGCTTCTTTAATAGCGTCAAAAGTGAATAAAAAATATTTGCTCGCGCCACTTTTGCCTCTTTTTGCCTCCAGCATCACTTCGAAAGTGTCTCTGTTTCCCAGCATGATCATCATATCACACGATGATAAGGAGCATCGCGTATATAAATGGAGACGCCAAAGCTCTCGGGCGATCAGTTGAAATTGGCTTGTGGCGCGATCGGTCGTGGTTGACAAAGAGTGAAGTGGAAATCCAGTGAAAAAGTCCAGTGAAGAGCCAAAGAAATGGATTACTTGCTGAATAAATTTGTGAGTTTTCTTGCAGTGATTTGAAGTGAAATTTGTGTTACTAAGCTCTCTTCTAATCATGCAAAAATGCTGTGAAAAATTATGCAAGACGAGAAATTGATAAAAAGTCGTTGCTTGTTAATTACATTCTTATCAGAGAAATTTAATATATAATAACGACTTAATTCATAAAAAGAATGTTATGCAACATTTGTGAATGATAACTCTTAGAGCATGGCTGAATATTTATGCTTATCGTTTCATCTCTGAAACCATAATGTTGTTTTCTGAACAAAGCCTTTGGGGGTAAAATTAGATTCTGCGTTGACTTTACAGACGGAAAGGTGAACATTTAATTGGTGTGATTAATAGGAAAAAAATGGCAAGTCACTAATCAAGCCACTTGGATTTGTAGCAATCTTAATAAATATCCCAAGAAATACGATATGTTAATAAGATAAAAAAAAGTGTTGCAAACAAGTTCTAATCTGAAAGTAAACAATTTTTTGCATGACTCGAATAAATCTGGCAACTTGATTTTCAAGAATGGACTTCATAAAGTTTCCTCGCACTTTTCTTAGACATCTTCCGGGCCGAAGAAGCTGAAGATCGCTCTGATTGGGCAGAGCAACTTCGCCGCTGATGTTCTAGAGCTGCTTCTCAGCGATGGTCATGAGATCGTTGGTGTGTTCACAATTCCTGACAAAGGATCGCGAGAGGACATTCTTGCCGTCACGGCCAAGAATCATGAGATTCCCGTCTTCAAGTTTCCCGTGTGGCGCAAGAAGGGCGTCGCAATTCCCGAAGTGCTGGAGAAGTACAAATCCGTTGGCGCCAATCTCAACGTTCTTCCCTTCTGCTCGCAATTCATTCCCATGGAGGTGATCGATGGCGCTGCGCTGGGCAGCATTTGCTATCATCCGTCGATTTTGCCACGACATCGCGGCGCCAGCGCCATTTCTTGGACCCTGATCGAGGGCGATGCCATCGGAGGCTTCTCGATCTTCTGGGCCGACGACGGACTGGACACTGGCCCGATCCTGCTGCAGAAAGAGGTGGAAGTGGAGGACAGCGACACTCTGGACACTATTTACAAGAGGTTCCTCTATCCAGAGGGCGTCAGCTCCATGGGAGAGGCTGTGCAACTGGTGGCTGCAGGAACAGCGCCCAAAATCAAGCAGACTGAAGACGGCGCGACTTACGATCCGCCGATGTTCAAGGAGGAAAACCAGATCATAAATCTCAATCAGTCTGCGAAGGGCGTCTTCAATTTCATCAGAGGCCTAGATTCCGTTCCAGGAGCCATCGCTTATGCATATGACGAAAATGAGGAGGAAGTCATGATCAGGCTTTTCGGAGCGCAGTTGTTCGATGGCCCAGTTCCAGAGGGAAAGCCTCTAAAGCTCAAGGGACTGCTTAAGCCAGCTGTTGTGACTGAAAAAGGACTCTTGATAACAGGAACTGACGGAAAGATTGTAAATGTTCAGCGAGTTAAGAAGGGAAGCAAGATGATTTCCTCCTCAAAATGGTTCGATCAGTCTTCTGGCCAAGTTACTCTGGAACTGACGGAAGCTGAGAAAGCCATGGAGACGAGCTTGAAGGTAAAATGCGAGAGAAAAGCTTGAAATCAACGCTAAATCTGTCTTCTTTCAGGGCATTTGGGAGTCAATTCTCAAAACCGACATATCTGATGACACAGACTTCTTCGCTTGCGGCGCTGGATCGATGGATGTTGTACGTCTGGTGGAGGAAGTCAAGGATGCATTCGATGTTGAGCTTGAGAACGAGACTCTCTTCATGGCACCGACTTTCCAGGAGTTCTTCACTCAAGTGGTTCTGGTGTCTCGCCAGGGAGGATCTTCAGGAGAGATCACAGTCGATTTCGAGGGATTCACTATCAAGGCGAATAAGAGGGAAATTCCCGTGCCCACCCAACTCTTTATCAACGGCAAGTTCGTCGATGCTGCGGATGGTCGCACGCTGGACATTGTCAATCCAACAACCGAAGAAGTGCTCTGCAAGGTTGCGTTGGCTGGTAAGAGTGACGTTGACACAGCAGTGAAGGGTGCTTATGAGGCCTTCAAGGGTCCGTGGTCTCAAGTGTCTGCGCGGCAGCGTGGACAGCTGATGTTCAAGCTGGCCGATCTGATGGAGCAGCACAAGGAAGAACTGGCGACGATTGAGTCCGTTGACTCGGGAGCAGTTTACACTCTGGCGCTGAAGACTCACGTCGGAATGTCCATTGATGTTTGGAGGTATTTTGCTGGCTGGACGGACAAGATCGAAGGCTCGACGATCCCAGTAAATCCGGCCAGACCCAACAATGTGCTGACATTCACCAAGAGAGAACCGATCGGCGTTTGTGGCCTCGTCACTCCGTGGAACTATCCTCTGATGATGCTATCCTGGAAGATGGCAGCTTGCATAGCGGCTGGAAACACAGTGGTCATCAAGCCTGCGCAAGTGTGTCCTTTGACAGCCCTTAAGTTCGCCGAATTGTCTGTCAAGGCTGGCTTCCCGCCTGGAGTGATCAACGTCACAGCTGGAACGGGATCGATTACAGGTCAGGCGATCGCTGATCATCCGCTCGTGCGGAAGCTCGGCTTTACCGGATCCACGCCAATCGGCAAGAAGATCATGGCGTCATGTGCGGAGTCCAATCTGAAGAAGTGTTCACTAGAACTCGGCGGCAAGAGTCCACTCGTGATCTTCAGCGATTGTGATCTAGACAAGGCCGTGCGTCTGGGAATGTCGGCGGTGTTCTTCAACAAGGGCGAGAACTGCATTGCTGCCGGGAGGATCTTTGTTGAGGACAAAATTCACGATGAGTTCATCAGGAGAGTCCTGAAGGATCTCAAGACAATGACCATTGGCGATCCACTGAACAGATCCACGGCTCACGGTCCACAGAATCACAGGGCGCACATGGAGAAGTTGGTGGAGTATTGCGAGATTGGTGTGAAGGAGGGCGCCAAGCTGGTGGCCGGCGGAAAGAGAGTGCCTGGCATGAAGGGATTCTTCTTCCAGCCAACAGTGTTCACGAACGTGGAGGATCACATGTACATCGCGCAGGAGGAGAGCTTTGGTCCAGTCATGGTCGTCTCTAAGTTCTCTGGAAGGTAGAAAAGCGGACTTAAATTTTGCAAAAAGAATGCTCTCACTTTGTTCCTTCTTTTTAGCAATCTCGAGGCAGTTGTGCAAAGGGCGAACAACACAGAATACGGCCTGGCGAGTGGAATCTTCACCAAAGACATTAGCAAGGCGCTGCTTTTTGCCGAGCAAATAGAAGCTGGAACTGTCTTTGTCAACACTTACAACAAGGTATATTAATCATCTCAAGATTCCTCACGGATCTCTATAACAATTTGCCTCTTTTTGCACAGACTGACGTCGCCGCGCCTTTCGGAGGCTTCAAGCAGAGCGGTTTTGGCAAGGATCTCGGCAAAGAAGCGCTGAATGAGTACCTCAAGACCAAGTGTGTCACCATTGAATTCTAGTGATCAACGGCGAGAAAAAAAACATTTATTCCATTTAGAAATGCAGAAAACACAAGAATTTTGTAATAAACATTAAACGCATTTGAAGCATGATCGTTAATCTTGAAGAGATTTCTCATTTTCGCGCTCCACCTCGTCTTTGGAGACTTTTTTGTGGTCTGTGATTTCGCCTGACGGTGGAGAGAATTCAATGTCCTCAATTTGAATGTTTTCATCAGGCGAAAATGCTGAAGCTTCATCGACAATTGCAGCAGAACTTTCAATAGTGTTGAGGAACTTCTCGATCTTCTTCATCTTAGAATCAGTTGCCCAATTATCCATATTTTCTCCGCAGAACTTATCAAGAAGCTCATCGAATTGATTCACCGGAGGTTTTTCAATGATAGCCGAGAGCTTTTCAAGCTTATTCGTGATCGCTTTACAATCCTCTTTGAAACGTGCTTCTTCATCTCGCTTGTTCACCTTATCAAACACACCGTCAATCAATTCTTTAACCTCCTTGTTATCCTCCCTAAATTGCTCCATTCTCGCCTCGTTCAAGCCATGAACTTTGGCCCCAATTTCCTCAATCTCCTTCTCAAAGTCCTGAACAGAAGACACATCAAGAGTTTCCTTCTCTTCATCTGCTGAAATTTCCTGGAAACTCTTGTCAACCTCTTCGCTGTATCTCTGGAAAAGCCTTTCAGATTCCACTCTCTCTTCCTCAAGATGCTGCTCACAAGATTCCATGAATTCGTCCAGAGTGGAATGAAATTCCCTGGGCTTTCGTGCTGGGGAATTCTTCTGATACTTTGGCGCCACTTCGATCTTGTGTTTTGGCGTGGATTGAAAGGAATCATGAGGAAGAGTGATGCTCAAGATGCTAATCAACGACGAGGAAGTTTGCGAGCTCTGCAAAAGGATAAAAGTGAATTTAATGAGTGCATTGTGTGGTTAAGAATTACTAATTATTTCACCTGTGAGTTGCTGCTGAAATCATGAACTGTTGAATTCGCTGTTGCTGTCGTGGAAACTCTGCTGTCATCAGCAGTTTCTTCTGGGTCATCCGCCAGATTTTCCCTGATCTCCGGAATGATCCAATTTGATGAGGTGCACTGATTTTTCTCATGTTCCTCAGTGGATGGTTGACTCTCATTATCCTGATGATTTGTGGGAATTTTTACTGTAATTTCCTCTTCTGTAGTCGTGCTGTCTGAAGGATCTGAAGTTTCAGGATCATTTGGAGTCTCTGAGGACTTTTCCTCCTTAATCACTTCCTTTTCCCCCTCATTTTCTCCATTTTCCTCTCTTGTGTCAATGGTTTCGACGAGAGTTGTGCGCAAATTGTGCCAAATATCCTGGGATTGCTTGATTTCCTCCTCGTCACTGCTGCTGTGAATCAGCTCGGTGATCTCTTGTCCTTTGATCTCATTCCTCCTGCGAAGGACCCTATTGATGTTCTCTCGCATCTTGCGTCTCTCCTCGCGATTCCAACGCTCATTCTCTTCCTTTTCCGCCTGCAGTCCGCCTCTCTTCCATGCCTCCGCCAGAGCGCGATCCTTGGCAAAGACTGGCCTCGTGTCCAGATAGGTGAGATTCTGGCACTCGAGAATGAGGGTTTTCCGATAGGATGGAATCAAGGCGACAATGGGATTTCCCACCAGAGTGAGAACCCGCAAATTGGGAATTCTCGCCAAGATTTTCACCACGAGTATGTCATCGATTTTGTTGTGGGAGAGATCCAGCACTGACAAACTCAGGCACATCGTCAGCTCCTCAACGTCTGCGGCCGTCCGGATGTAATTGTGGGAGATTGTGAGATTGGTAAGGACGGGCAGAGTGGCTGAAGAAACATTCTCCACACGCCTGAGTTGGTTGTGGGACAAATTGAGTGTGTCGAGCTGAGTGCAATGGTGCAAATTCTCAATTTTCTGCACAGAGGAGAACCAATGTAAATACCCAAATCGGGTTTGAGACTCTCAATAACACACCTTAATCAAATTGTTCTGCAAGAAGAGACACCTGAGCTCCGTCTGATTGTCCAAACCCTGGAGTTCTGTGATTGCGTTGCACTCCAGCCAGAGGCACTTCAGCCCTGTGTACTCCTCCAGACTGGCAATCTCCTGGAAGCCTTGATAGTGTAGATAGAGCACGTCATTGAGCTTTGGTGTGAAGTAGAGATTGTTTTTCTTGCACAGACTCCTCAGCACTTCTGGTGTCATCCTGAAATAACAGGGAAAGATTTTAAGATTAAAAGCAATAAGATGCAGGGAATTTCGTCAACTCACTTATTGCAATTATTGCTCGTGTTCGCCATGGTTTTAAGGAGTTGAATTGTTGATTTAATGAAGGAAAAACTGTCCTCAAATTGTTGAGCGAAAATTGGACTGGTATCGATCAAACAATTCCCTTTAGAATGCTTCGATTGTCTCCAGAGGCGCCTTAAATCATGCATTCGTCACAGAGCTGGGCGGATTGTCTACAAAATTGCATTGTCGACAGTATATAAAGTCAATTGCGAGATTGAAAAACAAGTGTGTGGCGGTGAAAAACCCAAATCTGCATCTTGCATGCTGAAGTGCTCATGGCAATTTCTGTCTATTTTTGCGATGTAAATTATAATTAACACCGCATTGTCGGTCACTTGTTACCAAATCAATTATCCCCAGGTTATTGATGTGACCGGGAGCTGCTTGGTGATTACATAAAGGCAAATGGGCACTCGAAGGGGAGAGAATCTTTGGATCACTGGCGTCAGTGGCGACGCTGTGAATTTCGCAATTTGACTTCACACTTTGATTCTTTCGTCAGGTGTGGCAAAGAGTCAAGTGTGAATTTGTCCATGATAATCGAATTATTTGGAGCATTTGCACAATTATACGGACGCGGTGTGTTTTTTTCCACCAGGCGAAATGGGTCAGAGGCATTTTCTCGCATTGGGAGTGTGGGGCGTCCTCGAGGCTCGCGCCTGAAGCCACAGAGATGCTCCTGACGGAAGATGCTCGCTGGACTTTCCAGTGTGGCCTGGGGCAGGCGCACTGCCGGAGGGAGTCTTCCAGAATTTGATGTCGTAACAGCTGAGGAGTGACGTAATTGGTGCAGGGGCCAATCACGTGGTGAATTTTCTGGAAATCTCCCCAAAATCCGGCACTTTGTCCTCCTGCTCATGCGCCGTGGCCACGGTGGGAGTGAGTGCCAAGAAGTGGCGGCAGCGTCCTTGATTCGGGACAATTCTTCTTCACTCGCTGGGCTCAGAAGTCACACGAAAAGAGTTTACATTGCCATGAATTCCGTTGCGTGGCGAATAAATTCGATTAGAAGGGAATTTATGTTTTTCTTTCCATGAAATTGAAGGAATTTATCTATTTTGTGGAGAAATATGATAAAAATTAACCCTTTGACGACTGACTGGTTTAGCGTGTCCCATGGAAAGAATCATTTTTTAACAAATTGTTTCAAATAATTTTCTTTTCTATTTAATAGTGGAAGCTCATTTTTCTGAAAGAGCTAATTTTCATTTATTCAGCATTTGGGTTTGTCGCAAATTTGAATAGTTCTCTTATAGTTTATTCCGCGTTTGGGAATAATACATTTCGCGGAACGTCTTCTTGAGTTGTGCACTTATCCGCCCACTCGGCGTGCAAGTGTGTGCTTCGCCACCACTTAATAGTTGCCACACGCTCACAGCGATGCCCCATGTCGCCTGGCCCTCCATGGCCGATGCTGCAGCGTCGATCGAAGACGCCACGCAGCCGCCGTGGCGGCGCATTTGCGCGCGCAAAGTCAGCGAGCGCGGGATGAGGAGTCCGTCGGCGGCAACTTGTCCCAGCTCGGCGCTCGTCGGCTCGCGCTCACGGCGCATATATTGGAAAGTGGTGCTGGAATGAGCTCCACAGCAGCAATCAGAGAGTGGAAGTGGAACAGTGAGGAATAGTCTCAATCGGCACTTTTGCTACCCACTTTAGTCACTTCCCGAACAGACCCGTGTCTTTTATTATCGGCATAAGCTGTGCTCCGGTTCAGAGTTTAGGAAGGCAAGAGCGACTGGTTGTGGTGTTATCCATCATCCGAGAGCCTCTGCGCGGTGGAGGTCGCTACATATTTCCGGCTGCAGGATTTCATTTTTAGCCTATCGCGGGATCAGTGAGAAAAGGGGGCGCTCTCGACGTTGGTGTGCGATTTTCGCTGTGGAAAATTTGCCGAGCAAGGTCGTGATCGCGAAGGACAGACGTACTTTGAAGTGGTGATTGTGCAACACCCTTTTTCCTTTCATCGGACATTTTTGTTGCTTTTCTCCGCCCATCTCGTTTGAGGGCAAGGTCGAGTGCGGGATATACAAGGAGAGATTTGCTTTTTCTGCCCAGAAAACACCCCACGGCAGGAGTTTTGACGACAGGACAGCAGGACAAGCACAGCGATGGCCGATAAGAAAGCCGCGGAGCAATTCTACACTCCACCCCCGAAGCTGGGCAAATGGGAAGGATTCTGTTTGTTCCTGTGGAACAGCGAGACGGGACAATTTATGGGACGAACTGGCGGAAGTTGGGGTAAGTTGAGAACAAGAATATTTTTGTCACAGCATGACCGGGTAGAAGCTTCACTCAAGGTGAAGATGAAAAAAGGAGCTCCGCCATTGTTGCATCCTTTGCTCCTTCAGCAGCCACGGCGGCCATTTTGGAATCGCCTCGCCCGCTTTTGTCTGCCGTCACGATAATGTGCGAATAAAATGCATTGAGATCCTTCTGTATCCCCAGAAAATTGTGATTAACCGGAGAAAATTGCATTAGGCGAGCCTAAATTGCTGTATTTCACGCAATAGATCGCGAACAAAGGTCCCACCCAATGCGGGATAGTTGCATAATTTCCTGAGAGATGGGGTTGGGGCGGCGAGGGGAAGGGAGGGGAAGTGCTTCACCCTCAACGTCCCCTGGAGTCAAAAATCGATATAAGTAAATCATTCACATTCTGTCCATGGCCCATTTCATCATGCATATTTCATAAATAATGTCTCTTCGAATTACATGCATCACTGATGATTACATAAAAATTGTCTTCCTCCGAGAAATCGCACATTTTCGCTGCACTTTTGCCTTCCTCTTCATGGAGGCGTGCGAAGGAGCAAAATTAGAACAGACTGTTATTATGTAACCACGATTTTGCTCATGCGGATATTGAAAATTATGCTATTGGGATGTTCTTGAGGCCGAATTTTCTGAAAATTTCCTCTCTAGCAAGCAAAATAATGAAATTACATAAAGTTATTCACTGTTTCAGCGAAATCATTGATATTCTCGCTAGAGATTTCAAGAAAAACTCGCCTGCAAGTGACAATGAGAGGGAAGATAAAAAATCTTTCCGAGCCAATGCTGCTATTAAGTGCAATTGCATTGGAAAATCAACCACACAATCTGAGAGACATTTAAATGAGATTTAATGCATGCAATTACAGTATTTTTTTTATAGTTATGTTGTGGTTTTTTTTATGGGCACTTCTGTATTCCAATGCGTCACCAATATTTGAACAACTCTGCATTTCCCTTTTTTTTGGTTATTTAAAGACCAATTTTATCGTCTCGTGAGTTATTTTGGCAAGTTAATCTCGCTGGAGTCTGTGTTTTGGAGGCTCTTATCAGAAACTGCTCCTCAATTTCTGCTGAGCTTCACCAAATATTTGTTCTTTTTCTCACAAGCAAGCAAACACATGAGCATATTATTAAATAAACTCGTTGAGGTTTTTCCCCATAATTGCTATCTGAGAAATTATCACAATCACAGTAATCAACTTTCAATGCAGCAGTAATTCACACCCTTTTCGGTAGCCATGTATTGAATGGCATGAGGAAAAGAATATCTCACAAATCACTGGATTGTTGAAATATGAATCGGAGTGAGAAGCATATTTGCCGATCTTGTTAATGCTCAGTGACGTTCTGAGATAAAATAACATTGTACGAATGACACTGTAAATAAAATTTATCGGGAAATATTTTTCCCTGTGTCAGCATAAAGGCAAACTGAATCAATGTAGAGAAATAATTGATACAGTCAATAGAGTCGCCGGCACAATGCAGTTTGAACGGTTGTCGAGAAATCATTTTTTAAATAATTTATTGGTTTTCGTCATAAAGCCAATCAATACTGCACATGATTGCCTCTTTTCACGCGGCACTTTTCTTCGCGCTTCAGTGAAGTTTTACTGAGAAAAAAGGGTCTTTCTGGAAATTTAATGGCATTTTATATGGCATTTAGCTTTAAATTGCAATTGCGACAAAAATAAACCTTTTTTTCCTCTCTTCTATGAATTTTACTACACATTAAGAGCGGTGGAGTAAAATAGAAATAGAGAAAATGATTGCTAATGAATGTGTTTTGACTTACGAATACAATGCGATGAAAATTAACCCATTATAGAAGTTTGAAGGAAGATCTTGATTGCAAATGACTTAATTTAAATGCAATTTTATTGCTAACCATATTCTCGTGAATGATTGTTCTGCATGTAAAAATTGTCAGTGTTGTTTTATGTGTTCTTTCAAGCAAATACTTTTTACATTCTCTACATTGCGTCATCAAATGTTCATTGATTAAAGTCTGACTCAGAGAAATTTTATATTTCACTGTGCTACTTTATCATCTTTCTCCATGAGTTTCCATCCAGAGTGCGCTTGTTTGAGCGACACAAGAATTCATTCCAGATGTTCGTTTATCTATTAAAAAATGTTACATTTTATGTTTGAATTTGCTGCCGTGGAATCTGCATTGTTGAACCACATTTCTTCGAAGGTTTTGTTTTTTTGTCACTCGGCGAGACCATGACCACGAGCAATAATCTGAGTGTGAATGAATGGCGCAAATAGAGGAAGAGAAATAAAAATTACAATTCTGTCTACTTTGCATGAGAATTAGTTTGAACTGGCTTAGCAACACGAGTTTGTGTACAGTCATAAGTAAAAGTCTCGTGCTTGTGCGTGATGACGTAGATGAACGATGTCATTTACAACGCCAAATTGATCGTATAAATAGAGCTGTTTTCGACAGACTCTTCGAAAAGCAGCGAAATATTAGTGATTCAGACATGGAAAAGGTGACAGAAAGTCATCTCAGAGGGCAAATCTGCAGATAAGTTAATATTTTATCATTATTCTCTCTGCATGGCACAATCTTCCAGCCCCATCTTCAACTTCTCCAAGTGGGGCAAATTGAGTTTCTCCACCACGACGCCCAGAAGAAGCGCGCCTTTGCATGAGGAAAACCCGCGACGGAGTGTGAGGGACATTTTCACGGAGGAAGAGCTATCTCGAGCCTCTTCCTCTCGAAGGGATAGAGATCTCCTAAGGAGGGAATTCTTGATGATGGTGAAAAAAGTCTCTAAATATAACACACCCACGCACCCATTCCAAAAATACCCGCAATCTCACACTGGCTGAAGGAAAATGGAAGCAAATTTTGGCATATAAACAAGAAAATATTTATATTTGTGTGTCTTACATGCCAATGTCTCTCTCCCATACAAATTTCCCTTTTTCTCAGCCACACTTTCCCAACTGCGATGTTTTTCTCCATGTGTCTTTTTTTCCTCCACGCACAGCCTCAAAACAATTTAGATTGTTGCTCAGTCGTTTGTCTCCATTTCGGCTTACGGAGGAAAATTCATTGCCTAATAGTTAGGCATTCCGGCCCGGCAAATAAATTCGCTTTATGCAAACATCAAATTCTTCAGAGTTCTTCTCATTCGGCTCAATAAATCACACAAACACACGCACAACACTTTTTCTACGACGCGTTCCAATCATTTTTCATTGATTTCAATTGATGCGCGCACAGATTTGTAATTGAACTGATTTAGCGCCTGCATTCAATGAGTAATTGATTTTGAACAAGTGCGTGATATTATTTATATCCCCAACTTTCACAAAAATTTATTATTATTCATTTTTGGAGTGATTTTCAATTAAGAAAATCGGTCTCTCTTCAACCTATATTTTTGCCAGTTGGAATGGTGATCATGTGAAACAGAGTGTCGTGAGTAATTTGGCGTAGGAGACATACAATATTGTGAAATTCAAATGACTTATCTAAAGAAGTTGTGTTTATTTTCGTACTTTGCTGAAAAACACACAGCTCTCATTTGAATTAATTATCACTCCCAAGTCAATATTGAATTTATTGTGTGTTGCATATTTTTCAATATAAATTTATACATGAAAATACTTGAAAATACTTTAAGCGTCCCGAGAAATTTGTTTAATGAGTAATATTTGTTCATGAATTTAGCTACAGATTAATCAAGTTGTTGATAAGGTATGCAAAATTATGGGAGCTACAAAAATAGCACAGGAAGAGCTTTTTTTATGATCCATGAGACGTTTATTGGTGACGCTTTTGTGACGTAAAGTCTATATTTTACAGTCGAGTGCTCGTAATTTGGGGAGAAATGATGAGAATTGATAACATCCTTCTCAGTTAATGTGAGTTTCAAGTCAATTGGAGAGACCAATCAATAGACATTGGTATCAATTAGAGATTCTTTGAGATGAAGATAACCATTTGAATCGATTGTCAGAGACAAATTGTCTCATTTCCCTGGCAGTTTATAAAACATGCGTTATCTCTCTGTGCCAATCGACCATTCCCGCGTTTGGAGTGAAAAATTGATATTTTGCCAAGAAGATCAACCCATGGCGAAGTGTGACCCAATTACGACTTGTCTCGAGTGCATTTCTCCATGCTGTATCTGTCTCTGAAAATAGTGTGACGATGGATGCCATCATCATCAATAAATGTCATATTACTTGTGCTCAACAATCACGCCAATTTCCTCAACTTTTCTTCACGTTCTCGTGTCTTAATTGAGTGCCAAACGGCCGAGTGATGTGGCAGCTCCGGACGTTGGGCGAGGGTCAAACGCACAATTACCACCCTCCGGACAGCGCCCGGGGGTGCAGGAGAAATGCCACCTGAGCGGGGCCACAACGTGTAATTGAGGTGGAATTCACTTAATTTGACGGCAAGACGAGCAGCTGCCGTGCCCGAGTCTCTCTCATGACACATTTATTATAAATATTAACCCCCTCGCGAAGGCCCCTTCCTCACCCCGCCGTGCCGCAATAGACGTCATCATGCCACACTGTCACATGACGTCATGCGCAGTGAGGGTGAAAGAGAGGCCGAAGGATAGGTCGAAGGAAAAGTGCTAAGAACGGAGGCAAGAGCTATTTGGGGAATGCATATTTGTAGCAAAATCAATTAAGCGAGATGTCGAGTGGAAATGCTAAAATTCTACGTTGAAATTCCATCCGAAATATGCGGGATGCGTAACTGGGTGGATTGCATAACACCCCATATGAGTTTCCGATCAATTTAATTAGACTATGCTGAGATGGGAGAATCATGCGATAGCACCGATGCATCGATGATGAATGGTTACATTGAATTTTGGTCGCTTGCAATGCGAGTGTGTGTGCTGATCAATTTATCCGGCGGACGAGAATGGCATTTTCCACTTCCCACTGGCGTCTTTGAGATAAAGTCAATAAATTGGATCATAAAATCAAATACTGTGCAATAAAGCAGAAAATATTATCATCGTATTTCATCTATAAATTTTCTCATTTCCTCGGTCAAACTGGAAAATAAGTTTGATATGATCAAGAAAAGGAGGGAAAGATTGATACTTTCAACGCCTTTTTAACTGCAAAGGAATAAATTTTTCCATTGGGAAAGTGAAATTTAATAATTCTGTTTCTGTGATGCAATATTATGTACATGATTTACAATTCTCATCATTCTTTCACTTACATAATTAATAAATTTATTGAATTATTGAGGGAATTTTTGAATTGATTTATGTTTGTCCTCATATTTTTTGTTATTTCACCATGAATTCTTCATTAAAAGTTTGTGTGTTACAGCAACTATTTGATTATCGGCACAGACTATTCATCTTTGCAAAAAGAGAAATGATTCAGTATCTCTTTAACTTCAAGTCAAGAAGTTGAGATCTGATATCGCATGCTTTCCATAAATAGTCTGCGAGAATCGCTTCAGTTACAGTGAGTCGGAAAGTCTACACATTTTTCTCCCATCTTAATCAGCCTCCCCTTCTAAGTTGAACTCTGACATTTGTACCATCCAAACCACGATGGCAATAAACTCAGCTGTACGACTCGGTGGAAATTCACCCTCTGCCACAGTTTCTAAATTAGAAGCTTTTATATGGCATTAAGACTCTTTTGCCTCGCTCCTCTTTTCCATATCCACACACCCGAAATTGAGCCTGTGAAAATCCGTGTGAATAGGAAACGAGAACAGGCGAGATGATACAATTGAATATTTATATGCTGCGAAGCAATAAGTGGAGGAGAGAATCCAACCATTAATTTTAATTAAAGTGCTATATATCTATGCAATATTTCGTGCGATATTAAGTTTCTCTGGCAGCTTTTGAGCTTTTCTCGTCTGATGGGGGGAAAAAGGAAGCGTTGTGCATTGTGATGATGAAACTATGGATCCTTTCTCTTAAATGCATTTGAGGATCTGCGGATGCGAGATGCGACTGTTCTCGTGATCCAAATGATAGGATGATGAATATATGCACGAGACATTGTCTCGCCTTCCGCCCACTCGTGTGACACTCCAAATGATAAAATAGTCACTGCGGGAACTCGAGGGTGTGTGCTGGGTTGGAAGTGTCAGATAAAAAATGAAATGACATTCATGGAGAGTATCATTTATGTATTCCGTACACGCGTTTTCTCTTTCACCAGGTCGTTTCTCCATCAAATACGGCTGAGGAGAGAAAAAGTATCCGAGAGACTTTTGTGTATATGAGTCTGGGTTGAAAGAGAAAATTGGTGTGAAAGCTCCGAAAAGCTCCATCTTGTTACTATGCCGAATTGGATTCTATGCTAGCTCATCTATTTTCGGGTCACCCCACACCTTCGCGCACTCCTCAACCTCAGAAATGCGCCCTCTCTCGCTCTCGCCTCTACGCCGCTTTGTCAATTAAGCGAGACAAGCTCATAAGCAGGGAAAAGAACTATACATATCTCCGGGGCAAAATCTTCCACTATAATGGGGGCACATCCTTCGTCTAATTTTAATGAAGAGACCACACCGGAGAAGCAACAATATGAGGGTTTGTCAGGGCGAACCCTTGCCGTTCCGAGGTGTGCTCAAATTTAACAGGTGAGACCGATTCCTTCTGCCAACCCGCAGAGCTTTGTCTGAGGCCCATATTCGCTGTGAGCTATTCAAATTGTTGCGTGCCAACAGCTCTCAAATACGGCGGAAAATATCAACATTGCACAATAGGAGTCTATTTTTCATTTATTGCTCACACCCTCGAGCTCTTCGCGCTCCGCAGCAGAGTTGATCAGTAGATAAAGTTGAAGAAGAGCTTTCGGGAATTCTAAGAGTTCTCAGTGAGAAGAAACAGGTTTTTATTGTGGTTTCGCGTCTTTTTTACCATTAATATTGATGTGGAAAGTTATCTGTCCAAACCATGTTTCAGCCTTTATTATTAAGGTTTCTCTACTGAACTCTCCGCAATTCCATCAACTCTGACGCTTCGATTGAATGTCTATGACATTGTTATCGCAAGGGATCATGGTGAAAATTCGCCACGCCTCGTCTTCAACAGTAAATATTTAAATATGTAATTATATTTCGGAAATATCGAATGAGGGGCCGGGAAAAGGTCAACTGAAAGTGTTCATAGGTCGTGAACGAGTGAAATTACACAGAAGGGTGGGTCATTTTCAATCATGCGATGAGAGGCTCCGATAAAATGCTTCACCATTAATTTATGCAGAAATATGAAAGTGGATTGAGTGTATTTCCAGGGGATTAGAAGGACCTTTTGTCTATAGACATACATGAAATATTGCGCCTTTGCACGCGGATGGCAAAAAGTTGGTGAAAATATGTGAGAAGTCAGGCGTGTAGGCCGCAGTGGGAATAATTAATAAATTGTTCAGCATCCTGGGGAGATGCAACTGACATCGATATTTCATTTGTGGCATCTCTCCACCCTCTCGATGGGCTTTTCATATACTACACAGCATGCAATATGGGTAATTCAATAAGCCCTGTCTCTGGCACGAAATCCCCCCAACATGATGTGATTAATGAAGCGAAATTGTATCACTCGAATCATCCCCTTTCGCTTTCTCTCTCACCCCGTTTTTCGCTGTTTTGATTGAAAGTCTCACATGGAATGCGATTATTGAGCGCTGCTAATGTGTCAAGTAAATAGCGCTTCTGGGCCGCTGAGCATTTCACATTCAGCGCGATATCGGATGGGAATTGAATTTTGATCGCTCGCCAAGCAATTCAAGTCCAACTTCAAACAGTTGAGCATGGAAAAAGGGAGTACTTTTCCAGGGATTCTCGTTCTCTACTCTCTTTCTCTCGCTTTCACCTTGATCAATCACATGACATTGCTATTTATAAATCAATAACTCACATCTCGTGCCACCATCCCTCGTCAATCCACGTGAATTTTATATAAGGGGACTTTTACCTCAATAGGAATTCCACCCACACTTCCTTCCTGCTTCGCGGCGGGGACACAGAGATATATGGAGAGCATTTGCGGGTGAGTTTCTGGGGAATTCCCGTCAAAGTGTCCCCCTCAATAATTTTCACGTCGGAAATGATAAAAAATTCTCTCGCCTGTCGAAACTCGCCGAAACTCTCTGCGGCATGAAAAGCTGAAGGATGCTCGACAGAGAGAAAGAAATGAAATTTTCATGAAAGTCGTTTAGAGCGCGAATGAAAAGGTTTCTTCTTCCAGAATAAATCAAATGTGAAGGAGTTTCGCAAAAGTTTTGTCGTTATTGTCTTGTTTTATAAATTCAGAGCTCTGGCTGTGTTTTGTGCTGCACGAATTGAAAGCTCTGAATAACACATGGCGACAAAGTGATTGCCTTTTCAAGGTATTTTGAGGAGCTATTGTCGAATTGAGTAGCGCAAAGATATCAAAATAAACTCCCTGAAATGAAAGTGGAAATAAGAAATTGAATATTATGGAATCCTACGTTGGTCTCTATAAAATCTAAATTAGAACACAAACTCTCTTCCAAAGATGTTCTCTCGAGTAAATAAATATATAGAGTTTCGCAAATGGAAGTTTATTTAACTCTCTGTGTCAGGAAATAATTTCCGCCCAATCGATTTGTAAATCCTTTTACATCGCTGATGTTGTTTGAAAATGATTCCAATAATATTGATTTGGTCGTAAATGTCGAATTTCCAGGAATATTTCAGAAAGCTCAAAAGCGGCGAGCGTAACATAAATTGGGCAATATCGCAGCACTTGTCGTTCGCCCACACACATGTTCTTTAATTACCCCTGTGCATAATTAACATTGTCAGTGTTTAGATAGCACAGTGAATTGCTGCGATAAATCTCAATTATTGATTGTAACAGTTTTCCCTCGCACACGTTGTGAGATTATTTTTGGGGGAGCTTTAGCGCGTGAAAGCACACTCATTCACCCCAAAATTTATCCTCTTGTCTTGACCTCTGGCAGAATTTTTCACACTCCTGATAGCAGCAAAACTCGTTACATAAGCATGTGACTTCTGCTGCAACAGTGTAGATTTTTATTCCCATCGCTTCATGTGTTTTATGGCGAGAGCTTTCGGAATCGATTCTCACGTCGGCTACACATTCACATTTTGGGCGGCGAAGGCTAGCCAGTTTGGCGCCCCTTTGGCTGGGAATTAAATTTCGCTGAAATTGCCCACCCCTTTGGGGAGTCGTGTATTCAAATGAAACCTTACGTAAGTGCACATAAAATATCACGACGAGAGTGGAGACTTGGACTTTTACCCGCATTCCTCTCTTTCTCTCTCTCTCTCTCGCGCTCTCTCTCTCTCTCTCTGGGAAGTATGAAAAATGTATGGTTTCCTTGCACGAGCATCACGATTACATAATGGGATGTTTCTAGATTTAAGTAAATTCACCTGAATATTTAAACGCTGGCAGTGAAACTGATATTTTTCTCCCTCTTCTCTTTCTTTTCAGCGAAAATCCTTATTTTTTACATCCTGTTCTATGCAGCACTCTGTGGCTTCTTTGCAGCAATGTTGGCTGTTTTTTATCAAACACTAGATGACAACATGCCAAAGTGGCAACTCGATAATGGGTTAATTGGAACGAATCCAGGTGAGTTCTGGGAATTTAACGCTGCAACTCATGCGCTAATGGCGATGTTCTGTCCCCAGGATTGGGCTTCCGACCTATGCCCCCGGAGTCGAACGTGGAGAGCACCTTGGTCTGGTATAAGGCGTCGAGTCCCGAGAACATGGAATACTGGGTCAATGAAGTGGACGAATTCCTGAAACGTAAGTGGATTTTTAGATAAGTCACAGTTTGACGATAAAATATACGAAAGTTTCCTCACATTCTTACGATGTCATGTGGGAAGTTTTCCACAATGGCCACACCATTGTTGGGCAAGCTGTGTGTGCTTGAGGAAATGGGTTCTATTCTTTGCCTTCGCCTATGCAGATGAGGAGCACTTCAAGAGCTCCCACATATAGAATTCATGAGCACGAGTGTACTATTATTAAAAGTTTTCCTCGTTACTCTTCCAGCGTATGCGGACGAAAATAAGGTGGAAAATCGTGTGGACTGTGACTTTGATAATCCGCCGCCTGAGGGAAAAGTTTGCAATGTGCCGGTAAAGAATTGGGATCCCTGCACTGCCGCGAAGCGGTATAACTTTCCCAAATCAGCGCCGTGCATATTTTTAAAATTAAATAAGGTGAGTCGAGTGTGGGTGTTGCTTGCGTGAAATTTTAACGCTGTGAAATATTATGCAGATTTACAACTGGGTCCCAGACATCTACAAGAACGCTACCACGTTACCTGACAACATGCCCGACGAATTGAAGCAGCATATCGCAGCCGAGGAGAAGCGAGGCAGTAAAAATGTGAGTATCGATCTTCCAGGATCTCTTCCTCTCCTTTCTTCCTCTCGCCAGAGAGACTTCACCATTGCAAAATGATTCTTCCATCTCTCGCAAACACATTCTCCTCACCCCAGGAAAAGAGAAATCACTTTGTCCATTTTTGTGTGTATAAATGCCTACAGGATGAAAAGTGTTTTTTGTGTGTAAATTAGCGTCATAACGAAATTCATTCCATCAAATTTTTCACACGCCTTATTTTCTATATCCAAAATTTCTCTCTCGCTCTCTATGTTTTCCCTTCTTGTTTATAACCATTTATTCTGAAGCGCACACGCATTTCTATCTTCTCTCCATTATTTGATTAAGAACAAGTGCCTTATCTAGGGTTGTAACGTTTCATCAGACTCCAAATTTGACTTCTTCACTCAGTGTCTGTGTGACGCTGAAAAATTGGGAGAACATCTTTCCACCCCACTCTACAACCCTAGACTAAATTATTTTTTTTTTGTAAGATTTTTGTTAGCCGAATTTGCACATTGTAAACACATCCAATTGGCAGTGCGAATCGTGTCGTCGTGAAAATGCAATTTGTAGATGCATTTCGATGAGTACAACAGGATCACATGTGACTAACACGCAATTGTTGTGCAATTTGTGTATTCTGATTTCTTTCACAAATCGTCAAAACCCTCGTGAACGTGCCAAAATTACTCTTTTTGTCCTACTTTTTTTTTATAGACTTTCTCTAATCAAACTGTTGAGATTCTTTCAGAGTGAAAGAGCCGAAAAAGATAAAAATGAAAAATGAAGAATGTAACAAAAGTCTTAAATTTTGCACTGACACGAAAAAAGAATGCATATTCAACAATTTTGATAAAATCAGAGACGTTTACAGACCAACGTGGTGTGGGTCTCGTGCGAGGGCGAGAATCCGGCTGACGTGGAGAACATCGGCAACATCCAGTACTTTCCACGAAGAGGCTTTCCCGGCTACTTCTTCCCCTTCCGGAACCTCAAGGGATACCTTCCTCCACTCGTCGCTGTCCTGTTCGAACGACCTAAAAGTAAGTACTTCCATGGGAGGGAATTGAATGGATTTTCAGCTTATCGCAGAGGCATTAAACTTTGCCAATTAGCAGAAAGCTCATCCCCACACAGTATAGCGCTCATATCTAGTTGACTGGCATTGTGAGAAGTTTCTGTAGTTGAAGCGCCTGTTTACATGCATATCAACAAATAATTATCTCTCTCGGGCTATTTTTGCTGCAAATTGAATGCAAAGTGAGCAATATTTGCTGCCCACGTAATTGAAGGCGGAATCCTTCGGATTTTAGTGGTGGAAAAAGTCCTTCAGACATAGTGGAAGCCATATTTTTCCATTTCGCACTCTCCCAATATTGGCAAAGCATGATTGAAAACACTTATTTGACATTAAACAAATCCTATTTCGAATGTTGCTTTCCAAACCCCCCCTGAATAATTTCTGCATCACTGCATCAATTTACGTGCAAATGTTTGTTTAATGTTAACTATTTGGACAAACACAGCCCAAAGTTGATGCTTTCGAAGGGGGAAAAAAACTCCGTGTGGCCGGAAGCGATAAATTCTGTTTTGAACATGTCATGCTGTTCACGCTACACCGGATACTCAATAATCCTCACCCCGAACTCTGAGCTTCGTCTCATTTTGGGGGACTGTGCGAGTGTGAATGGGATCTATTACAGTTTCCTGTTGAGAGAATGTCCTTGCGCGCATCCCTGGAGTTGGTTTGGGCCGGAGATAAGAAGTTTCGGCGGCTCATCGATAAAATTCACTCGCATTATCCAGAGAGAAATTGTTGATTTTTCCTCTGCGCCTCCGCCCTCCGAAGCTCTCTCTCTCGCCCTCTCTGTGTAGAATTTTTATGAAATAAATTGAGAAAGTGCGGCATCTCACCCTCGTCATCTATTTCCTTTGACCTACATAATGCTCAGCTCGGTCGCAATGGGCATGCGCTAATTTTTCGTGTGTAGAAATCTCCATGCATCGACATAGCCACTGTTATTGATCCATAATACATACACTTTGAAGTGGATAATATAAATGTCGTTCCTCCTTTCGTCCTCTAGCCTTCTTTTTCTCCAGCGCACACGGCATGATTTAATATCGAGAGACCCACATAACACGAAAGGAGAGAGGATATCGTTTAATGTAATTGAGATGCTAAATAAATACATTTCGAGAGCGTTCAGGATTAAATGCCAACAATGGGCGGGGTGGCAAAACTTGGCCTTCGACAATCGTGGGAATTTCCGAATTGATTTTACCTCAATGCCGGATTAATTTGTTCGCTCTCTGGGAGCTTTTCAAATGCCTCTGACGTGAGGGCACGTCACGAGGGCCCTTGATGTGGGTGCCGCCATGGGATTTTATCCATTGTTGATCCTCTTTTACGGTATAAACAATGGGGGTGCATTTCGCAACAACATAAAGAGGGAGAGTGTAATTATTACAATGTCTCGCATTTTGTAGTTCCTCCGCATAGTGAAACATTTCGACTAATTTAAGACTCATTTAGATAGTTTGCAAGTTCAGTTGGCTTCTTCGTATGAAGACTCATCTCCAAGTTCATTTCTGACTCGTAAACTCGTGAATTTGCAAGCCAATTCGGTGTTTTTGTGGCCTATAATGAATTGGCCTTACTTTGCCACTTGCCCTGTACTACAAACTATTCCGATAAACTTCCGACCATTGAGGCTTCTGTCCAATCAATCAAGTCGTGGGAAGTTGTTGTCCAATTACCGCCTCTGTAGACACAAACTATACTTAGATCCATAATGAGTGACATTAGCGTCAGCGAGAGATGTGTCTAATGTTAATTTTCTTGTCTCTCCTTAGCTGGTGTCCTTATCAACATCGAATGCAAGGCATGGGCACGCAACATTAAGCACGATCGCTCCGAGAGGAGGGGTTCCGTCCATTTTGAGTTAATGATTGATTAAGGGAACACACACATTCTATGACTAGTAGCGTTTAAAAAGAATCTACCAACCAAAGTTAAGCAGTATGGAAGTGAAGGGTGAAACATCGCCTGCAAGATAGTCAAAAACATGGCTTAGGCAAAAAAATAATAATGCACACACCAAAAAAAAAAAAACTAAATGCGTATGACTAGGAGAAAATTGAAGTGTATGAGAGAAGAGAAAATCCTTAGTAAAAAAAACAAAAAGCGTAAACCAAAAAATGATTAGAAATGACTTAAAAAAATTACAAAGAAAATATCAAAATGTGGAAAGAAAGAGAGATCATCAAGAGACATCATTCATTGTGCAATGATAGTGACTTGTAGCAACTCGAAAGCGCCACGTTTTTAATGGAATGTAATACAATGCAGAAGATCTTGAAGCTGGAGCGACACTCGAGACATAAAAAATTTCTTAATGTTCAACACCTTCAAATAGTGTGGCTTGAGTAGATAAAATAAATTGTAAAATAAGGTTTTAAATACTTTTAAAAATGATGAAAATTCTGTTAGTTCTACATCTTATAAATCGAGTTAGGACCGATGGGTGTTCGAAAAAAATCATGAGCCAAAAGAATTAAAAAGAAGATAAAATAGGCAAAAGAGAAACACTTAAAGGGGTCTCTTAAAAGAAGCATAATAAAAGAGGAGGAGAGTAAGTATTTAAACCAAACGCCCAAAAGATACATGAGGAGAACAACTTAAGAAATAGTATGACTAAATACTTAAAACAAATTATATGAAAAATTTTGTGAGTGTGATTGGAAATATTATAAATAAATGTAATTTATAAGTATGTAATGGTATATTTTTGACTGATGATATTGCTGAGTTATTATTTCAATCTGTACAAAATGGACGTTAATTGATGATGAAAAATACTTTATTAAATTATATATTTGTGTAATGGAAGTCCTGTGGCAAGAAGTTGACATGCTGAGCTTGCGCGGAAAGATGAATTCCAAAAAAAATATAGAAACGAGTAACAAGAACAACCGAAAATGCAAATTATTAGGTGAAAAACTAAAGAGAAAGAAAAACTTAACGGAAACCATAAATTAACAGAGATATTTTTGTTAAAATCTCTAGTATATTTTTAATAGTATGAATTAATCAAATAAAATTGAGAGACAATTTTCATCTATTATTTTTTCACATAATCTCATACTGAAAGTGGTGAAAATGAGGAAAGATTTTTTAAAAAGAAGAAAAAAAAGTAAAATATCGCAAATATATAATTTAATTAAAAATGTGATAGTGATCGTGTGAAATCTTGAGTGAAAGATTATAAAAAAAAAATTATATTAAAGTATATAAAACACTGATAATGGCAACGTATCTTAAAGAACAAGACAAGGACGAGGTGTAAAACTTTGAAAATAAAGGTGGAGACTAAATAATAAAATTGTAGATGGCGAAATATGAAAAATGTGAGCATTACAAGGGCCTGTTTCCATTCTATTCCATTCACTGCCCAGAAGAAAAAACACAAGAAAATATTAACTGTGGAAATTATGCTAAAAATTCAATGCCCATTGATGAACAGACACCAAAACAAATTACTATATTAGAATGTGTGCAAGAATCGAAGATAGAAATTTGTATAAAAGTTTCTCACAGTTCATTATAAAAAGATGAATAAAAAAAAACTGAGGTGAGGTGTAGTAGAAGAAATAAGGTGGAAGAAGTATTGGGGAGTAATTAAATGATGATAAATTAACAAGATGAATAAAGAAATGATATATTTAGTCATTAAACTGATGAAAATTCTAGTGGTTAGGCTGAGGAATAACTGTGAAGGCACTCTCAGAGCACGGAAAAATGGTTTTGCATTGAGTTTTCATTAATGCAAAAGTATTTTGTAATGAAATAAATGTCTCTCAGTGTGTTATCACGCCAGATATCGAGGATTGTGACAGTAAGAAATTGATCCAAAGAGAAGAAATTGTGAGGAGATGCATGAGAAATCTCTTGAAGTCTAAAAACGCAGATGGATTAAATCACTGATTGATGATTTTTAGACAGTAACAGATGAGATAAATTCGTTATATTGATAATAAACAATAAATTGAAGCCTCGTATATAAGTGTTAAATACATTAAAACAAGAAGAAGAAAACAAGAAATCGATTGTACGCTACTGCATCTTTAGTCTTTAACAAATAATGAAGAATAAAATGAAAGAATACTTGTATATTAGTGTTGCGTAATTAGTATTGTTAAAAAAAAACATTAAATATATTAGGAACTATTGAAAAAGAACTCTATTTAAAATGAACCTACACAAAACCACACACCTTCATACCAAAAGAAAAAAAAACTTTCAAAAAGTATATTTGAATTTCATGAGCGTTAGATGATAAATTTCGGTTAAACGATTTAGAGGTTATATGAATATTGAAAATATATAAGATTATTTAAGAGGAACTATTTAGGTTAAATGTATATTTACTTGTTTCGCAATATCTGAGTTTTTCATAAACATATTTATCACTTTGACGAATTGATCGAGAAGCCCTTTGTGACATATTAAATATGATTCCTTTCGTAGGCGAAAAAATTGATACCCAAATATGCTTGAGTCGTCAGTTGTTTGATGAATAATAAATATTGTTCAAAAGAATTTTAAACAATCTTTTTCTTCAATTACACACATCATTTTATTGTTTTCTTTTTAAGATAAAATCTTAATAGAAACCCACCTCTTTACGATTTCTAAGCGATTGATATATTTACAAAAACTCTGGAGTTTATTTTTGAAAAAATTTTCGGTGTCTAAACACCATAAAAAAAATAGTTTTTCTCTTGTATTTTGATTGTGTTTCACTAAAATGGCGATAGAATTTTTTCCAATAAGTGCAAATTTTGAGATGAAAAAATAAATCATTGAATTCTTAGTGAGTATAATAATTATGAAAAGAAAAATGCGGTGGCGTACATAAAAAATAGAGCTTAGGCATTGTAGTTATGTATATTTGAAATAAAAGAAAAAAAATTATGTATGAAATGCGCAGATAAAATTTTAAATTAAACATAAAAAGATTATAAAAAGTGAAAGTATAATTATTTAAATAAAAATAATAAATTTAACTAATTGATAGAATGAAAAAAAATCACAGTGGATGAAAGATCTGTTAGCAATTAATAAGAAAAAAAGTGGAGAATCTGGAAGAGAAAACAAAATTGATAAACACTCACACGTAAGAGGTGGTGAAGAGGAACTATAAATACTACTTACTGAAAAGTGAATTATTAATTGAGAAGGAAGAAGAAAACAATAAACATTTAATTATCATTCTCGTTGAAAAAGAATACATTATAGTTATAAATGCGTCATTGAGTATGTTAAATGAAATTATTTAACTAATTTATAAAATGAATTTAAAATGATGAAAATCACACACGAAAACACCAGCAGGGTAGTGCTTCTCGCAGTTAAGGGAATTGCATGGCTTTTCCGCACTGCAAGACAAAAGGTCAGTCTAGTGATGAATACGCTCCAATTGTATGTACGAAGACACTTTTGACACAATTTTTGCAAAGAATCCATTCATTGAAACGAAGTAAAAGAAATATTGGATGAATTTAACCAAAAAAAAACATCACAGATGAAAAAAGTAATCATTTATAAAAACAGAGATGGAAAAACATGTAATAATGTGTAATGCTAAATGTCAGTTAAGTTACATGGAAAGTGAAGAAGGAAAAATGATGAAAAATACATAAAATATAAGCAAGTAAAATTTAAAGAAAATTATTATAAAAGAAATTATAGGTAATGAAATAAAATGATAAAACACAAAAGTCTTTTCCTTTGCATTGTCTTGCAGTAATTTGACGTTTGATTCCCTGATTTGTCGACAAACAGGAAGAATGTGATGGAAAGTCATGTCGTATTTAATAATTGAATAATATAAATGGAATTTAACAAAGGGTGAGCTTTCGTCTTTCCTCAGAAAATTTATGACAATTGATTAGTCATGAAATATTTCTCATGCTATTCACTGTCCGTTAGGAAACACAATTAATAGGATTGTTCAGGAGATCGAGGACAAAGGTAGAGTTAACAATTGCATTAAAATCTTGTGTAAATCGTGAATGTTGAGCCGTAAAAATTTCGAGACAGTGCGATAAGACGAAATATATTCTCCAACACAGTCCACCTTAAAATCAGTCTTAACTCTGTCATCGCGAAATAAACATCAGAAATTGGACATTCTAATCACTTGAGAAATGGCGTCGAACAACGTCACGGCGGATTACGTGAAGAGTAACAGTGAAAGCTCAAAGGGAAACCAAGTGAAACTTACTAACAATACTGAATCCAGACAGGAAGTGACAGAGCCAGTCTGTGTGAAGAAACACGTAATTATGCTTGTTCGTTGAATGTACTTTTGTAATAAGTAAAATGCATTTTGTTGTAGATTCCAAAAGTGTTCAACATTATCAAGGCTCCGACTGTTTGTCCTCCTGGACAGCGAGCTGATAAATTAGGCAATTGCCGACCGATATTCTAAGAACCACCAATTATTGCAGTGCTAAAAATATTTCACAAATTTTCTATGACGTCTCAATAAAATGACAAGAAAATTCACTTTCCGTGTTGCCTCACCCAATGAGGTGTGATTTGTTTGCGATATTTTGTTGCTCCTCTGTTTTGGTTCACCTTATCAGATTATCAATGATGGTTTCTTGGGAATGTGCTTAACATTCACGCTAAAAGCATTTCAAATATTCAGCCTTTTATCCATTATGAGCCGGAAATAGGACTACCGAAAGAGCGGAAAATATTTAATGCCCAGGTCGCCATAGTTGGTAACCTTATCATGCTCTGCCTTTATCAATGAGCGATCGTCGAAGGTGTCGAGATAAAAAACCACAATAAAACAAAGCGCTGGCAAACGATACTCTCACAGTTGATCAAAGGAATTGGCAAAGAAGAGAAGTTGTCATAAAGTTAAAGTGTTTCAAAGAGTCTTCAAAGTTTGACAATGGATACTTCCAAGCAGAATCTAACGCCACCCTCAATAGTGGGCTTCTCTGCAGCTGCGTTTTCTGTGCCCGCGAACACCACGAAAATGGTGAGTTTTTATGTGACTTCTAGTGACAATCCTTGGAATTTTAATGGCAAAAGAGATAAA